AGAAAGATGACTGAGAAATTAAAAAAGAGCAATGTGCTGGAGTTTGGGCGACTTTTCTTCGATGGTACGTAAACGATTTACTTAAACATTACTTTATTCTGGTTAAGGAGGAGCAAATATTTGTGACGTAGGCCGAGCGATAACAGTTGTTGACCGTTTCTTTTGACTTGGTGGCAAGAAAGCCGGCTTTGAGCGCGATGATACCATCAGACACAAGAAGTCATGAAAATCATAAACTTAGTTACAAATCTTAGTGCGATCAAAGAAGCTTTTACGTACCTCTAGCCGGCTTAGAGGCGCTGGTCGAGCTGTAGAATCAGTATTTATTCGGTAAAGTTTGTTTAAAATTTAATTTGCACCTTTAAGCTTATTAGTGAATAAACCTTTAAAAGTTTAAAGCTGTTGAAGTTTTGGGAAACAATCACAAGTTGGCTCAGCTGTATGTGAGTTTTCGTATTAACTATGGGTTTTCCTTTTATGACAGGTTTGAATGAAGCAGAAGAATCAAAAGATCTAGACTTCGAAGAGAAAAATAAATGAAAGTTTGTAAAGAGTCAGATTGTGCTTCTCCCTGTAATGAAGCTTTTAGAGAACTTCAAGTCATTGATACTTTTACCAGCAAGCATCGACTGTATTACTTGCCCATTTACTCTTTTCAACATTAATTTTGCCTGTTGTCATATACAAAAATTTATAATAGCTCTTTTGAGCTGAGCCAAGAATGAGTCATAAAGGGAAACAAGTTTGGAAGAAAGAACTTGATTGAATTCGAAACCTCAGTGAAACCAAGCGAGATGTAACAAGAGAAATAACTAAAGGACGATCATTCAAGGAAAAACAAAGATAACTAAAATGTACCTTTAATGCTGACACTGATATGATGTCCGGACGATTTCTTAGAACTGATAACATATTGATAATCTGTACTTTCATGTGTTTACGCTTGAAAATGTACACATTCGAATGAAAGAATTGTTTTCGGCTTCGTCTGTGCATCTTCTTTTGTTCATAGCAAAAAAAGGGAAAAAATTACGAAGGTGGAAACGAGAATTCAATAAAGTATGAAATAATCTACCTTTAGTTTAAATGGGAGCCTTGAATATTCGGAAACCACCTTAATAATCGCCAAAATGTGAGGATGTTTTGAAAATCGTTTTGCAAACGATACTATTTATAGCGGGGACGCTTCTTTCGTGCGTCTTCTTTTGTTCATAGAAGAAAGTAGAAGAAAAATTACAAAGGTAGAAACGAGAATTAAATAAAGTATGAAATAATCTACCTTTAGTTTAAATGGGAGCCTTGAATATTCAGAAACCACCTTAATAATCGCCAAAATGTGAGTATGTTTTGAAAATCGCTTTGCAAACGATACTATTATTGCAGGGATGAGGGAGAGTTGAAAAAACTGACCCCCACTCCGCGGACTACCCACTGACAACACCGCGGCAAAACGCAATGCGCATGAGCACAAAATTTGACATCCGGTCAGCTTTTTATTTCCGGTCTAGTATATAAATCAATTGCGTAAGCATAACATCGCCGTCGCACCAAGTTTAAAAGCAAAAAGGGCGAAACAGACAAAAAAGGGGGCGAAAAAAGTCACTTCAATCGAAAGCTTATATATTTTTCTAGTGTCAAACTTTTGCACCACATGGTTATCTGTTTGCACCAACGGTGAAAATGATGTTTGAAGTTTGCAGGTCGCGAGCGCTCGACATGACGACTTTGTTTTTACTGGCTTTCTTGCATGCTTCTGGCTTGGCATAAGTTAATTTGGGAGAAGGCGACAACTAAGAAAAGAATAACAATACTTATGAAAGAAACCAAAATAAAGACGTCATCATTATCATTAACACTAAAACCAGGAATTAAAATTTTGGTCCGTTTAATAATTTTTTTATTATCAGAGAAAACAAGAACTCAAAACAAAAGATGGGCGGGATTTAATAACAACTTCGACTTTGACGACTGCAATCACAAACACTCGGAGTTTTCAGTGCCGGGAAACTAAACATGCCTATAAATGACTTTCATTCAAGAAAATGCCTATTTAATTCTTTTACATGGTTTTTCTTTGGTTGAAGACTTCAATAATTTCATTCTGTGCGGCTCGGCTGCATCTCATGCAAACACGAAACTTCCAACTGCTAAATACACGGCATGAAAAGTTCGACTTCTAAAAGCCATCGAACCAGCTTTCGCTCTCTGATTCTGAGAATGAAAAAATAAATAGAGTTGTCAACTTGCTGCCAACCTCAACAGTATAATTAAGCTTATGTTTCATGGCAATCATCTCAGAGGAGTTTCGTTTCAGTAAAACTCACTGGTGAAAAAAAATTAAAAAAGCGATTGTGTAATGTGGTTTCCCAAATAAAGCTCGAATCGGCTTTAAGACATGTAGACTGAGAAATTGAAGAACTGAAAATTAGAACTAAAATACGCAAGCTTGCAATGATAACTTTTTATGTCTTAGTTTCATCCAGGTTAAGTGAAAAATAACAGTCAAAAACTTTGTTTTCGTGAATGAAAATCAGTTTACCTGAGGCTCTAGTCAAAATTACACACTCTGAGTTATTATCATCTTACCTTTTCTGAATCTAATCGACTAATTGTTTCAGTGATCTGTGCCTGGTTATCCATAAAAGCAATTTCAATAACTACAAAATAGTCAAAACACGAGCAGCATGAAGCAGAAGAACTGAACCACAAGCTGCACACAGAATTAATCCGAACGCGCGCGGGAGACTTTGATCTGACTGGAAAGTGTGACTGAAAAAGAGACCGGAAATGTTCATCCTGGCGCATGCGTAGACGTTTTGCCGCGGTGTTCCCACTGACCCCACTCCGCGGACTACTCCGCGGACTACTCTACGGACTAGTCCGCGGACTACCCTAACTAATCAACCAAATTTACTTCCACGGAGAAAAGAGTTAGAAGAAGCGTACCTGCCTACAAGATCACACTTGATAAACAGCCGCCATCTTGATTTTCGCCATTTTACTCGACCCAGCCCTTCTTCTTCATTGCTACGTCCATTGCAGCTTCCGTTCTTGGATCGTCACGCAACGCTTCTCTCCAAACCTCGCGTGACGATCCAAATAACGACTGCGTGCCCTACGTAGGAGAATACGTCTCCAAGAGCCTTCTGGGCCAGGTGAATCCAAAAATATGGTGACTTCCAAGCACGGCTATAAGTAAGTTCTTAAAAACATTTTTAAGCTGAATATAACAAAAACTGTTACCAGCGCCAATAGTGGTCATCGATTGGCTGATCTATATGAAATATAAACTATCAGTGGCTGGCATGACGTCAATGATGTCTTTCGTTGATTATGCTGGCGAGAAGTATGCAAGCAGACCCACGGATCAACCTTCAACACTCTTTTATTTTTTTTTAAATTTTAAAGGCATTTATGAGTAAAACTATTTAATGGAAAATGAAACTTATAGGACAAGTCACAAGATGTTGCTTAACTCATGGCTTCAACCTTGAATCTTGAACTGTCTTCTATGTATACGTTGTAGTTCAATTTTATCTTTGGTTCAATTTTCAATTTCCTTTGTTTAAAATTCATTATCATATATTAACATAGAAAAGAACAATGGAAAATAAAAATTGAACCAAGGATAAAATTGAACCACAACATATACATGCTAACACTTACTCGTTTGTCACATTACATTTTTGTGATGCGATGTTTTGAAATAATAACAACAATTATAAATAGCACGGTTTTCAATTGAGTGTCATTAATTTGCGTTAACTTTAGTTTTGCACTACTTTTTTGTGATTGGTTAGGAAAAGTTCCTGGTACTTTCGTAACCAATCCGCAGAAAAAAAAAACATCATTTCCAATCGTGACTTGCTCTCGTGTTTTTCACGTTTGACAACATTTACATATATTTATTTTCCTTCTCAGTTTTGATTGGCTCATTGTGCTCTCTGCATCTGATCTGTTGATTAGCCAGAGTGGTAACTTTAGTTTTGGCTTTACGACACTGATTTAAAACTGTTCTAATTATGTTTAATTTGGTTTAATGCTTACATTTCACATTTTCATGTGCACAAGGAGAAGCTACATTATTTTAGATTCAACGTTGCACATTTCGTGTAACCGAATGTGGTAAACAGGAACAGTCAACTACAACAACTGGAACTATACATTGAAAACCTCATCAGTTTCAGAAACACCACGAAAACTACATAGCCAGAAATTCCGACTCAAAATCACATTACACTCCTTGTCCAGCCCTAGTTTTCAATTGAACGTTGACATTTTTGACGGCAGGGTTATTTTGCCAAACACCAAACGCCAAATGTACACAAAGTCTTATAATTGTCGGATGTCTGTCCTAACAAACACCGCAAGTTAACCGTCTTTGGGCTAACCAGAGTGTTAAAAAAGCTAACCAGAGTACTAAATAGGCTAACCTTATACATGTAAATAAGTTTTTAACCCCAAATACGGTCAAATACTACATTCTGCATTTGCCGCATTTTTGAGATTTCGTTCTGAAAATTGGGGGTCCTGTGACATCCCAAAACGCATTGCGCGACGAGAGTACACGAGAAACAGTCGCCATGTTTGTGTATTTCAGACTGTATTTGCGTAGGACAATTCGTCATCGTGTCGATATATTTCTTTGGCGGGAATCAGCGAATCGACAGTATGCAAGCACACCTGTCGTGAGTATTAGACTACACATGAGTTCATCAGCAAAGTATTTATGATCGTGTCATTTTTAACAGCGAATTCCAAACTAAGATGTCAGCTGAGATTATCGTAAACATATTTTCAAAAAAACCTCACAGGAGGATGTTTCAGTCTAATATTTTGAAAATTAGACGATATAGTTTGCTGTGGTGTAAATCATTATTTAGCTAGTTGTCTGTTTACAAATCTTCTCGTAAAGATCTCTACAATGTGGGCAGCGATTTCCCTTAGCTGTCACTGACAGTTAAATGAACATGTACTGGTACGGGATTTGAAATTTCTGGCTATGAGCTTAAATCGTAATCAAACCTAGCCCTAACCAGTTGTTGTAATCCTTCAGACACAACAAGACTGGCTTTGATATTCACGCTCGACTCCTTTCCTGACATCTTAGTACAAACGGGATTCAGGTGGTTGTGTCTGGTTGAAGTCGTCAATTGCCACCGGTTTGTTGCTTTGTTCCAAAAGTGATAGGCTTCGAATCTGGCAAAACAACACCGTTGATCATCTGCATCCTGGTAGCCAACAACAGCAGACCTGATTGATTTAAGACAGCCAGCACACTTTCTGATGTTTCCTGTTATCTCTTTCAGCACTAGTGGTGCACTAGATGGCGGGTCGACAGGCCTGGCTGATTTCCTGATAAGAAGGGTTGTTGGATTCAAAACCTCCGCTTGTAAATGAGATCCAGGTGCTGTGTCTTCTACCTGTGTACTTGATTCCATAACGACATCATCCAGCGGACGCTTCCGGGATGGAGCCTTTGCTCCCACATTTTTCGGGGCGATTGCGGTGGTTATCTTGTTTAAGCTTCGGCCTTTGTATGCCTGGACTACCTTTTGGACACAACCACGATGAATGGCAACAGCCAGGGAATGAAAGCACAGGTTGTTTCTACTGAAGAAATTGCAACCACAAGAACATTTGCCACTCTTCAAGCATTGTACGCGATGTGGCAGAGGTCCCTCACTATCTACAAAGAATACTCCTTCCTGGAAACCCTCCCGAAATTTGGCATTGTACAGGATACTCTTCGCCTTCTCAAGTAGACTCGCCTGTTCCTCTCTGGAGAACTCGCCATCAAGTTGAGCAAGGTCACTGATGTCGCAAGACATCTGACTTGATGAGCTCTCAGCTGAAGTGGCCGTAGCAGTTTTGAACTTGAATGAGCGACACCGCTTGTAAGCCGCTGGGTCTGGACACACCTTTTCAACTTTCCGCATGAAAGCCTTCCTTTCTTCAGGTGTCATTTCTCCATGGCTTTTTCCTGATAAATGCTGCTGAAACTGTGGGCAAATTTCCCATTTATCAGATAACTGAAACCAGGCAAGCTCTTCTTCCTGATCAAAGGATTCTACGAAATCGTATAAAGTGACAATGAATTTGTCCATATCTTGAGGGACGAAATTTGCCCAATCTTTTAACATGTCATTAATTGACTCTGGAATGTTTTGCTGGTAAGGCTTGTCTCCTAAGCCAAGGTTTTTCATCACGTACTTTGACATCCTTGTCTGCATATCTTCCAGCTTGTGTGCTCTAAAGTACTCTGCGAACATTGGTGGACCACCCTTCTCTGACCTCTCCAAAGTCTCCCATTCCTTCATAATAACTGCTGCCCGTGCATCAAACTGCTCCCTGGAGCTGGACCAAATAAGACCACTCCCTTGTCGGTAGAGATCTTGGCATATGCGTTCAACTAGTGCTGATGACAGGCCCAGTTTTCTTCCCTTAGCCTTGACATTTCTTTCACTATGGATGTAACACAGCAAAGGAGCAGCATGCTGAAAGCCGGCAGCAGGGGCATTTTTCAAAGCACACTCGTCATCCGTTCCAGTGGCATGGAGGTGTTGAGATAAGCCTGGAATCTCACGATTGAGACAGTGGATGAAGGAGAGATAGGTTGATTCCTCTTTGGTCATGCAAATCATGACTGGGCCAATACAAGACGATTTGTTCCTTTCACTTGGAGAACAGTGTTTCTGTAACTTGTCACAAGCAAGTAGAAGGGGCCAAGTTGAAATGTGAGGTCAACACCAAGCTCAGAGACTTGATTGGATCTTTTGTGGCAGCAAAACTTGACTATATTGTTTAGCTGACGGTCAGTAAACAGCATTACAGTTGGTAGGTCGTTACAAACGATTTCACGTATAAAACCACGAAATGTGGTTTTCTGTAGTTCCATTACAGATGCAAGTGGGTCCTTGTTAGCTGGTCCTGGCTCTTACTGTTTCTTCTTAATGTACTTGACTTGATTCTCATTACGGGGCAGTGTGCCCGTACTATCCACACCACAGACACCACCAGCCTCCTTTCTTACTTGAAATAAAGCTCTCTTTGGCCCATACTGCTGTGCCTTTTCTGCAATCGACCGCTTTGTGCTCGTTTTAGTTCGTAGATATGGCATGTTTGAGGATGTACGGTTGCCATGCTTTTCAACTTTGAACTCTGTAGGCTTGCCGTCGTAGTGGTAGTGGAGAAGTACAAGTGGGAACCACTTGTCTATGTCCTTTGAAAATTCAATAGACACAATGGTTCTATGGTACAACGGGTATGAGGAACATGTGTACGATCTTCTTCGCACAACAACATCAGCATTGCCTTCATTACGCACTCTCTCCATCTCAACTACTCTTCCGTTCTCATCTCTATCAATGGTGTAATATTTTGGCCTGCAACCAGTCATCTTCCAAACCCCATTCTCATCAGCATATAAATCTGCTCTATTTCCTAAGGCACTAATATCTAAGACAAATGTCGCGTTTTGTTGAATCCGTATAGGAACAGAAGTACTGATCATGTCCTCATTATCGCTTTGGCAGTTGAAGAGGAAAGGGATGATGTAGGGTTTTTCCAGAGATTCCAAATCGACGATTTTGCATTTGATGTTTGCATTGTAGAGTTTTAACTTCTTAAGAGGTTTGGCAGGAGATTTTGAAACGTCTATTATGTTCTCTGTCTCCTCATCTTCATCAGTGTCATTGGCCTGTAAAAAAATATTTACAAACAAAATTCATATTTCACAACATTCCCTAAATTTATTTAATTAATTTAGTTTAATTTAAGTTTAATTTAAGAGGGATCATCGCTCAGGAACGAAGCAAAAACCCGTGTTCCCCCACCTTGGGATAGCTTCCTTTCAGATTATTAACTTACACTATTGTAGGATAATGTTACTGCTCAAGATAGAATAACATAAATAGCTCCACAAAACCCACAAATTGAGGTAACAAAAGTGAAGTGTTTGCTTTCTCCATTGAAAAGGAGTTCTTAAGTTCACAGAGCCGCCCCTACGACGAGCGACAAAAGATTCAGTCTCAGTCCTCCTCAGAAAAATAAATCAAACATCCCCAGTGTGGGGCCCAAACTAGCAGTAAAATTCCCAAGGGGGGCGGGGATGACTTGACAGTTCAAATGACCCAAAAATGTCCACTCCCTTCCCCATCAGGCTTAAAACCGATAAGTGCATAACTTGAAAACAAAACCCTTGGTAACCAAGCGCTTTGGTTCACAGCATGGAAACAAGGCAAGAAATGCAAAGTAAGGCAACCTATCTCATCCATTGGTATCCTGCCAATAGAAGTATCAGTACTGTCACTGTCATCCGAACTATCGTCAACCTGGCCTTCTACCCCCCTATGAGAAGTTAAAAGTACAATAAATATCTTGTTTTGCAATCTCAATTTTTTTTAATTTCCGGTGTAGCTTGCTTCCTCACCTTACTCTTCCCCCCACCCCTTCCCCCACTGTTTGGTAAAATTCTGAATCTGCCCCTGGTTATATTTTACAGACTGAAATAGACCCATCTCAGATACCCAGAGGGACCAGTGCATGTCATCACATTTTAGCTACTTAGCTACTTAAAATTGACGTCAATTTGCAAAACATGGCCCGCTACCCTTGGAAAGAATAATAGAACGAACAACAAAAATAATAAAAAATAAAAGCAAAAATAATAGCAGCCGCTATAGAATTACAGCTTACAAGAACTGCTACACTACTGAAAAATATAAGGTTACCTGTTTGCTTGGGTGGCATCTTTACCTTCATCACAGGAACTGCTGGAAATCTCGAGGATCTCGATTTCTCTAATTGTAAAGAAGTTGTAAAAGAGTGGATTTTCATCAATTGTTAATGTCGATGGCAAACAATTGAAACAAATTAAAAGGGATGAATATTCAACACACAATTACCGGTCATCCATTGCTCAACGGCGTGCTCTGACTTGTGGCCGGTGAAGACTGGGGCGAGGCTAAAGGAGAGCTGGGTCGAGTAAAATGGCGAAAATCAAGATGGCGGCTGTTTATCAAGTGTGATCTTGTAGGCAGGTACGCTTCTTCTAACTCTTTTCTCCGTGAAAGTAAATTTGGGTGATTAGTTAGGGTAGTCCGCAGGGTAGTCCGCGGACTAGTCCGTAGAGTAGTCCGCGGAGTAGTCCGTAGAGTAGTCCGCGGAGTGGGGTCAGTGGGTAGTCCGCGGAGTTGGGGTCAGTTTTTTCAACTCTCCCCAGGGAGGGATGATTCGTTCTTGCGTCTTCTTTTGTTCATAGAAAAAAGTAGAAGAAAAATTACAACGGTAGAAACGAAAATTGACTAAAGTATGAAATAATCTACCTTTAGTTTAACTGAGGACCTTAAATATTCAGAATCCACCTTAATAATCGCCAAAATGTGAGGACGTTTTGAAAATCCCTTTGAAAACGATACTAGGTTAGATTCCAGACCTCTCCCGTCTCGGCACATGCGCAGACCTTGTTCAGCTCTGTCAACCTCGTCTTCTCGTTTCTGCCGCCGCCATTTTGGAAAACGAGAGGACTCTGGGGACGAAGTGGTGTCCGGTCCTTTCCGCACGCTTCGCATTTGCGTGCTTTTTTGCTAAATTAACCTAATTACCCGCTAAGGGAGTATCCACTCTGATGTTTGTTTATGAAAATATCTGTTTACGATCGCTTATATGTAGACGTGAGGTTTCTGAGAAACTTGGGTGCACTCGTGTGTACATATTCCACTTTTAAAATTAACATCAGTCAAGTTTTGTTTGCTTAAGTTTCGATTTTTCAGTTACGACATCCATATTTTGATTAGTTTATTTCCATTGAAGCCGGCTGCTACCATCTGCCACTGATGACCACGATTACTCATATGCCTCGTTCCAGACATTTGATAAACATCGTTCGGTTTAATACGGGCCATTTGCAATCATATGGGAAAAATATATTTTTGGTTTTCGCACGTATCTGAAGATTTCAAACTCAGAATTTTTTGTTCATAAAAATGCCATTTAAAAAAGATAAGAAGTTCCCTTGATGCCCATGCTTGAGAGGATCTCAGGTCACAAGTGATTTCAAATGCTGTAAATGTTCGGTTTCACCTGTGTTGAATTTATTCAGACCATTCAATTCTTTGTCCTTTTTAACTCGGCCATTTCGGATGATTTCATTTGATGTTATTAGCTCTGTTTTTACCTTCTATCAACTGTTCATTCATTCTTGGAAAGTTCAATATCGGAATCGTCGTGGATTTGGTATGTTTCTCCCAAAGGTCTTCTTAAACCCAGCCAAAATATCGCCATTTCGAATTGGATGATCGCGATCATGAGGTACGTAAACCAGCTGTCCGAGATGAGTTTTCCGAATGCGACAAGCAAAACTGCAGACGCTATACCAAATCCAAGAACGTTAAACATGTTCCGGTGTAATTTTAGTGTCGTCGTTTCTACTTGCCAGACGAAATTTCCTGTGAACGTAACGTTCTCGTTGTGGACTGGATAAAAATCAAATTAAACAGCTCCGAGAAGCAAACGCAACTAGGTGGAAATGCTCTCTGTGACTTCTATCTCAAGCTGACGACTAGTTGCCAAAAACAACAGCGCATTTAAAGTGATCGCAGTGTACGGTTTAAAACATAAGAAAATTAGAGAAGAAACCAGTAGGAAAGTCTGGCGGACAGGATGACCGACCGTCTCTCAATGGTGATTGTCAAAGTACTTTTTTGCTAGGATGACGCAAGAGAACAATCAAAGCGCCAAAACTGCAATTTCCTGCGATTAAATTTGCATGCTTTTGTTAATTTTAAAGTTTGGCACAAACTGAAACAAAAGCCATGAAAACGAAAGCAGCTGTGGAGAAGACCATGAGACAAGACGGTGCCACCAATGAAAACAAATCAGCATTTTCCAGTTGAAAAAGGAGGAGGCAGTGGAAGTGACTCCTCTCAGCTGGGGAAACTTATCGGGCTTTTCGATAAGATATACAATTTTTCACTATTTGGCGTCTTGAACAGGGTTTTTTGGACCGGAAGTCTTTTAAAAAGAGTGTCGAGGCTGGTGATGAGCAGTCCTCATTTCTGATACCAAGAACTTTTTTCCCAAAAAATCTAATTCCATGATGTTAGTTTAAAAAATTACTCAACTTCTGGGCGAAACGAAATGATCAGTGTCATGAAATAAAGTCGCTTGTCTTAAAGAAAGTAGTGAAGTGTACGATTTTTATCTTAAAACAGGTTCAGGTTTTGAAGGCCTTGGCGGCACCTCTCACCGGTATCGACCCAAACTTCCCTTTACTGCCCCGGGGGCCACGTAGGCCATTTTTGATTTCAAAAAAAAAAACAAACAAACATCTTCACTTAAGGCTAAGTGCAAAGACTTTCATGCAAAAATTATTTTTGTTCACATGAGAAGAGAATGATCATTTCCATATCAATGATTTTATAATTGCCCTGGTTTGAAAAAGACGCAAAGAGCAATCCGGAAATGGCCCGGCCATATTGCAGAGGCTGGCAGGTGGCTTTTAGCTTTGGAAAATAAAGACGGCTGGCATGGACTACAGGCAAAACAGATACTACCTCAGATACGATGGCAGACTGAACTCGTCAAGTCTATTGAAAGTAATAAAAACTTGTCCTTCATCAGCCTATGTTTGTAAAGTTCTTATTGCACTTGGTACGTACGAAGGGAATTGGTGTTCCTCTCGGTTTTTCGTTTTTTGACAAATTGTAGAAAATTCTTTTTTTTTTCGATTTTTTTTGAAATTTGTTTGCACACGGAGCACTAAGGAGTTCTTAAGAACTTCTTTAAACGTGTCCGTGCGTTTCAGATCGAATTGGAATCTGGAAGCGTTGGTTAACATGAAGAGGGGAAAACCGGAGTACCCGGAGAAAAAACTCTTGGAACAAAGGAAAGAACCAACAACAAACTCAACCCACATATGGTATCGACGCAGGATTCGTACCCAGGCCATATTGGTGGGAGGCAAGTGCTCTCACCGCTGCGCCACCACGTTACGAAGTTACAACATGTAAAGTTGCGTAGCTAAATGGTTACATGTACAGAACGCAACGAAGGTTAATTAATCTTGGGAACATTGTAATGCCTAACGTTCGTATTTTTCTGACTCTTTTTGCTAATGAATTTATTCAAAACAGGGTTTTTTTGGCTAAGAGCCAAATTAAACATCATATCAACATTTTAGCATGATACCCAAACGAGGTTTACAAATCTTACTACCTACCAAAATTATACATTTTAGGCTAATACAAACACTTTTTCAATCAGATGATGTAACACCTTTAATAGATTTTCTACTGAAGCAAATTAATTAGTATTCCATTTTGTTTGTAGTTAATTATTAACGCGAGGCACAACAGCACCAGCTTGTGCGATCAAAGCCCTGTATGCAATGACTATATGTCTACTGTCAGGTGTTATTTTCTTGACTAAGCTACGCGCTAAACATCGTTATTTCCGTATTGTTCATGTCGAGCCACTCTACAGCTTCGTAAGACCCTAAAGCAGTATTCACTCTTCTAATGGTCGACTATGATTAGTATTCCAGCTGAAATGACTACACAATTTAGCTTTTAGACGTAACTGTCAATCTAGATTGAACAACAGTTCATGCTATTTGTCAAATTTAAGACATTTAAGTTATGACTTAGTAGATCTTGCGTATCTTTTTTTTTAAGTTTCAAACTATCAGCATTTTATAAAGTCAGTCGATTCTAACGTTCCCTCAGAAAAGACAGGGATCACTTTGAGCAGTATAACGCACCAAACTTTCTGCATGGAACTATTCACTGTTCTGTTTCTTGCCAAGTCGTTTCCTCCACGATCCTTTCTCACTTTTATCTTCATCTCCTTCCTTTCCCTTTTCTTTTTCTTCCTTCTTCTCGGCTTTCTGTCGTTCCTTCTCTTCTTCTTTCTCTTTCTTCTTTTCTTTCTCCTCCTCCTTTTTCTTTTCCTTCTCACTTTTCTCCTTTCCCTTCTCACCCGCTCCATCAGCCGTTTCCATTCCAGTAATTGGTGGTACACTTAGACTACGCCTAGGAGCCGACCTTGAAGGTGAACCTGGGATGCCGCTTTCTCTTCTTCCCTTATGATCTTTTCTTGCCTTTTGTTTATCTTTGACCCTTTGTTTTCGGGGCGAAAATTCAGCGTCTTCCCCAGGCGCAGACACTGTTATTTGCGGTGAGTTAGACCCATCAACCATGTGCTGACCCTTTAAACCAGCGGGCTGAAATACGTCGTATTTTTCTTTAGGCTTGTCCAACGAAAAAAGCACAGCCTCAAAAAATATCACAACTCCCATCATGTAAGGGAAAAAGTGCGGTAGGAAAAACTTGCCAAAATTCACCACAAGCGTGGCGACAATAAGTCCAAACGCAAGTGCATGAATTGTGTTTTTCAAGGAACCTTCGATGACCGGGGGTGGACCAGCCATGACTTTCCGTAAATGAATTTTTTAGCACTCTACAGCATTCAAATGAGCGGTTCACTGGTAAAACTTCATTATGAATTTCAAAAAGGTTGTGATCACTAAATAGTAAAATTTTCACTGTTCGGACAAAAGACCACCAGTAATTTTAGCTGACGCTATGTACGCAAGTAAACAAACCCTGGAAGGTATTCCTAGTGCCAAAATTGTAGCGTTCGTTCAATTGCCAACATGTATAGATTGCTCTAATTTTATTAGAGTCAATAAAATGGACACCGTCTTCCTATTAATTTGAAGCGATTATAGAAGGGAATTCTACAAATGCACATCACGAAGTAAAGAATCTTCAAGTTTTTTGTTAATTAATATTGCACTTTTAAAAGAGAATAGAGTTTAAAACAAAACGTAGGGGAAAAAAAGAAATGTTTTAATTAAAATTAAGGTGTTTATTCAACCCCCGCGTCGATTCCAAGGTCTGTCTCAAAAAATATATCTTATATTCAAATTAGCCTAATGAGTTAAAGTAACGTTTATAACTGTTTTACTTTCGCTGTCAGGATTGAATTTGGTACATTGCCAAAGTGTCTTCGAATACGAGCCAAGACAGAACTTAAACCAAATAGGCACGACAGTTCAAGTTTAAGTTTATTGATACTTTACAATGATTTAAACTCTAAAAAGGTAAAAGAGGGCGGAATGGTAGCATAGGAAAACTGATGAATTTCCATTCCAGGGCTACTCTCCTATCAAAAATGTAATCTGACTGGTACATGCACACAGTTGTGTTGGCAAATCGTCAAAGCGCCAAGAGGGGAGTCCTTTTGAGATTGAGAAGATGGAAATTTTTGAGCTTTTTGCAGGCTTTTTTTCAGCCAATTATCCTTTCAAACCAAAATTCATAATTTGCTCAAACCCCTGTCACGCTTTGCGTACTAAGACAAGGAGAAAGCCCTGAAAGTTATAGGCACATTACACTTAGGTTACCCCTCGAGGTCTCCAGAGAGGTAACGATATTGAATCTCACTGCTAATCAGGAATAACTTGGTTGGATTCATATTCCTACTTTGACCGCGAATTTAAAAAATGCAGGTTATTTTCTTTACTCACGCAGCCTGAATAGATTTCCAACTGATTTTTACAACAAAACCGCTCAGTTGCGTTTTGATTATTTGACCATACCATTATATACTGCCAGAAACAGATAACAGCGGGACAACTAAGAAATGTTTATCCATGTTTTCAATGCATTGCGTTTCATGCACGGGCCCTCGAATAGTGAAGAACGCGAATTTTTTTCCCCCCCTTTTCTCAACGATGAACGTCAAAGATCTGGATTCCCATTCACACGACATTTTGTTGAACTGTAATGGTTTTATTACTTCACCGAGATATCAAATGCAATTTATCTCCTCATTTTCATTTTCGGGAGATGGATGGCCTAATGTTGAGAGCACTCGCCTTCCAGCGACGTAGACTGCACAACAGCCGACTTTTCTTTATTTCTTTTGTCAAAATCGGTTTTCGAAGGGCGAAGCGAGCCAGCCACACACGCCCCTGGGGCGTTTGAGGCGAAAGTCACCAGTCTGACCCTTCGTTTTCACCATCGCTCTACGGATTTCGTTTGGCCTGTTTGGCCGCTCGCGCGTTCTTGACCTAAGCAAAAATACGGACTGTTTTACAGTCTAACCCGTCACCAATTTGGGTTAGAAGAAGGGTTAGAATCCAGGAGGCGAGTTTCGCGGTCTGCCAATCGTCCCCAAAACCAATATTTCCAAAATTCAATTCGATATTTAACCACGACAAACCAAGTAAATGTGCTGCCACTGAATTCATTATTTTGTTTTATTTATTTGTTGTTCACTTTACTGCACCCCATGAAACCTCTTAAATTACATTTCAGAGACAAGTTAAAACAACATGTATTATTAGCAATTAGCAGTGAAAATAATATGAATGGTTTTTTTTAACGAGAGAAAAGGTCTAATATGCACCAAAAAAATGTACAGCACTTCTGAATATAACAAAAGCTTCGACAGTAAGAAAGTACGAGGAGTTTCATAAGGTAAAGATTATGCTAATAATTTCCAACATGTCAGTTTGGGCTAAAACCACCCGTAAAACCCCTCCCAAAAATAATTAGTTAACAAGTAATATTTTCTCGGTTTACACTTTTTATTCCTAAGTCTTGGTCATAAAACTAAAACTGTTTAGTAATTTTTAAAGAGACATAATAAAGAAAGTAGAGAATCAGTTCGATTAGAATTTCTGTTGAAGTCCTTTATGTGATAAACAGCAAATCATTCGTAGTTAAATATAAGTCAATACACCAGCCCTTTTGATGTGTTTGCATCAAGCCAGCGAGGCGTTTCACTTTGTTTGAGTTCTTTGACAGTCTCCATGGTTTAATTTTCTACAGACCTTAGCAAATTCAACAGTTATATATCCTCTTTAACTTGCTGCCAAATCTTTCTCCTTGGTAGCATCCGTCTGATCTGCTCCCTCTTTCTCCTCTATTTTCTTGTTCTTTCCAAACAAAATAAGCACGATAACCTTAAAAGTCCCCTTTATGATCAATTTGATGCATTTTGTGAAAATTTCCAAGCCGTACGACCATAAGAGTGCAGTTAGAACAGCACACAAGAAAATGGCCACTACTCCAAACAATGAAACGTCTAACATGCCTTCCTTCCTGAGGCGAATAACCGAAGTCAGAAACTTCTTTGTTACTTTTTTCTTTGCTGCGTAAAGCTAATACGCTGGAAATTGTTGCCTTGAATGCTTTAGGTCCCTCGATTGTCTAGCTTCTGCTCTATAATCATAGATCTCCTTTTTTACGGCAAGGCTAAGTGCTTCACTCTATAAGGAGCAATGATATCACTGCAACGTTGTCTATCTGCATGGCTAGCTGCTCTGCGTATGGGTCACAAAACCGTTGCGTTTGAAACTGTGTGACTTGCCTTGCGGTATTAGTTGTAGGCTAGCCAAAATCTTGCTGAGAGTACAAACACCTGTCTTTTTTTACAAGTAATTAGCAAGCCTGTCTTTAAGCAGGTATATACGCGTTTTGAAGCCGTAGTTTATCAAAACTTGAAGCGTCTCAATTTTTTCATCATTCACGTTCCATTTCTTCAAAGCGTTCCGCTGTTTATATGGTCCATTTGGCGATTACAGAAATATTTCAAGAAAGAGGACAAATGGTTTAGTAACATGATCAACGAGTTAGCGTTTTGATAAAGTTTCAATTCTTGAGTCGCGCATGAAAAATGCATCAGTTTGGTGGCCTGTAATTAGTCAGCTCAGACCTGAAACAATATCTTTTTCTACGCGCAAAATTTGTTTTGCAAACCGCAAGGGCTCTTTCCGCTACGGCGTAGCAGGAAGCGAGGACCTGCAACTACATTATGTAGCTTAGTTATTGCGGGCTCAGCTTATAACCTTTTTACGTATTTTTAAGATGCTTTATACCGTAAGAAAATCGTTTGTCAGTTGTTATGAAAATTTATGCCTATATGACGTTAACACATATCAATAAACGGGCATACACCCATACTTTAAGAATCATTAAGCTGATTACGAAAATGGCTTTGGTCTTGGGTTTCTCTTGAAGTGCTTTCCCCTTTAATTATGGGTTGTAGCTCAAAAGGAAGCAGAACCAAAACCAAGAAGCTTGATGGCAAAAAATTGAACTTCACACAGGGCGCCAGTTGTTGACGAACTTTAATAATACTGCCTAGCCATCTCTCTAAGGGTTTTTTATCCATGGATGTAGGTTTTTATATCTTGTTCTAAGAGTTCCATGTTTTCATCGGCCTTTTTCAGAATTATAAATTGGGGTAGTTTAAGTGGATTAACAAATGTATCTTTTGGACCCCATCAATTTTCTGAAAACCGGTTTCAACAGTCAAACAGATCTGTGTTGATGAAGCCCATGTTAACGTTCTATTTTTGTTTCACACAAAATTGAAATGGATTAAATTTTACATAGCATTTTGTCTTCCAAAACCTTGAAAAAATTCGTCCCTAAAGAATCGATTTGGCAGCAAATCGCGCGCGCTTGGCTAGCTTCCGCCGATTCGACCGGTTACATTGGTAGAGAGTGAATACTCAATTGACCAATAAAATTAAGCGCTTCATTTATTGAAGGTATAGAATGAAAGCATTTCTTTATTTCTTATTCCAAAAGTGTTTTAATGCTTCATACTCGAAACAACAAGCGAGTGACAATGATAAAACAGAACAAAAATGTTCGATGACCTTTCTCGACTGGCTAAATGTCTTAGCTGCAGTTTCGACAGTAACAGATTTGAATTTACGCGTACATATTACATCTTTATTGGAAATGACGGGAGCGATTAAACTACTACAAATACAACTGCCTCTCGATCATAATCGCCGAAAGGCGGATGTTGTTTCTCTTTTTACCTTTTTAGCCCGTCACCGTATGAAATAACTCTCAATGCTTTACACAATTAATACCCCCCCCCCCGCCCCGCTTCCAGCCTGTGAGTTAATTCATCTGCGTTACTGACAGTAAAGGATACATTAGCCACCTGTTTGACAGGGTCCACTTTTCAATCAATTTATTTTTAGAAGCGCACCAACCTTCTACAAAAAACTTTGTTGCACCGATGCAACTTTCAGAGCAAGGAGACAAAGTTAAAAAAGAATATAAAAATTTATAAAAATTATCGGACAAAAAGTTAGAGACATGAATGTATTTTAGATTTTAAAACAAGCTTTAGCAAACATCTAGGAATTAAAACTATTGTTAGAAATGAAGGATTAAAATGATTTTGTACAAGTTGTAGAAGTTTAAATAATTAACTATTCTATGGAAATGTGTCTTAAATTGGAGAGAGTAAAACGGTTTCCCCTGATGAACAAATACTTATTTCTAAATGATGAAAATGTTACTGAGTTAGGGACTCTCTTTATGTTGTTTAAAGTATGTAGTTATTTGTTTAACATCCCATTTCTTCGTTTAGTAGATGACAATATTATTTCTAATAATATAAAAACTCCATCAGTGTTCGCATTGAAAACCGAATAATGCAGAATCATTGCCAGAAAATTAGATACAAGTTTATAAGGAGCAGTGAATGGGGAAAAGATTTCCACTTCAGAATTGTTGTCTAATTTAAGTTGCAGAGTTCATTAACCAATGAAAGGGTCCACTTGGAAATGTCCAAAATTCAATGCAACGCGCAATGAATTAAAAGAGAATGAAATAGTTTAAGCCGATAACGAAGCCATAGTTCTCATTTGGCAGCGGCGGCTGCTGCCTTTGCTTGAGCTTTCTTTGCTGCCTTGTCTTGCTTGCTTGTCGCTGCCGATTGACCGCCGGCCTTCTCTGTATTTTTCGGAGATGGGCTGTTTTTATTTCCCCCCGGTGACGCGGGCGGTGCTCTGTTCGTTCTTCCTTCTTCACTTTTCTCTGACCTGGTCGGCGGCCTTTCAGGTTGAATTGTCTTTCCCTTTGTCATGGAGAACATTCCAATCTCGAAGAGGACCAAACTGACCATAAAATAAGGAAACCAGTTTCTTACGAAATATTTGGCAAACGTGATCAACAGAGCTGTTGTTGTCAAACCGAATCCAAGAACTCCAAATATAGCCATCTTTAAATCAATATCTGTCTGTCCTTTCTATCTGGCAGGTTGCTGGATTTTAGTTCAAGTTCAGATACACAGATGGACACGAAATTGAATGTTGCTACAAAATCTATAACAAAATTAGACAATCCTCGTCATGTTATTCTAGGCGTCACGTGACATGGAGGCACTTGTTAAAATGGTAGATGATTGGACGAAGCATCCAGGAAACATTTACGCGCATTCAGCTGCTGAGAATACTAATAGATACATAACAGGATTTATAACAACACTCACCATCTGCACGACGGAAAGCTAACACAGATCGAATTATTTGAGCATGTAACATTATATTTATATTTTTTTAATTGAAAAGCTTGAAATGGCCTGGTTATCAAGTCATATCAATTTTAAAATAAAGACCAAACATCAGGAAGAAACAGTTAAAAAACGCAGAAAATTTCACTTAATGGGGATCATCAAGAGAAATAAGAGATTCTTGGTATCTACGATAAAAGTCGCTTATGTTGGTTCTCGTTACGGAGGCGTTTGCTAATTGCCTAGCAGGTACATTCTATGCCTTTTGACAGGCTGACAGTAAGTGAACAATGGACGCTGGCAGAACACCAGCTAAATTTAAAAACGTCATGTATTAGTGCAGCATAAATATTTAAATTGTTTGTCCGCTGGCATAGCTTTTACTAGGACATGTTATCAAACTGGAAACGTGTATTCCTAAATCAATCTAATTTCTGCACTTTGACCATACGTAAAACAAAACAGAATAAATATATTCCATATTCCTTTCTTTGCATTGTCGTGGCTTATAATTAAGAGTAAAGGTATCAAGGTAGACTGGTTTACGGTTCGAGAGCGCCCTTATCTTTGAACAACCCCAAAAATACCTCGGTGGGAGAAAGGCGCGGATTATATTGTACTTTAGTATCCTTGTTTAAATCTATTAAGATATTCAGTGAAATGGAAATAGTCTTTTTTAAGTGTATCCTGAAGAGGTTCCCGATGAAGAAGGATCTTCGTTCGTTGCAAATTAATTAATGACCCAGAGAAGGAGAATGTGGAAACTCCTGCAAAAAAGCATTCCACAGCGCATGCTACCCGCTTAAAACTACTGGCCAATGACTGCTGACGAGTGTTGTCTATCTTTGCCTTGCTATAGATCCACTGCCATGCTTTTTTTTCTGTACGAAGTTAGCTGGTTGCTTTAAGAGATTTTTTAAATCTGGAAAACTTTTTGCTCAGATAAAGGAGTACAAAGCTCATTTTCTCCTGAAAAGTAATAACAAATTCAATCGATCCAAAATGTCTGTCTTTTTTACTGGCAACGCACGAAACCAAAACAAAACGGAGGACGTGATTGTGTTTGCACTTCACTTACGTTCTGTTCTGTACATTGGATCGATATAAGGGAAAGAAAGGCGCTGACACATACAGTATAAGGAATATTTTCAACCGAAACCTTAAGCTACAAACTAGTTTTATTTTTCTTTATTCTGGCTCTATCGGGAGATCGGCCAAAGTATACGTAAGTAAGTTGGCAAGTAATTACTTCATGTTGTCTGACTTCAAGTTGGGCCTGTCACACAAAATTTTAACCTCGTAGTCAACTACTGATTATCACGAATACTGAAGTTAGCAGACATACGGTAATGGTTAGCATTAAATGGGCAGTGGCGCACGGCAAAAATGGCTTCCTTGACAGTGGGATGGGCCAGCCAAGCCAGACACTTCCGAGCTTGAAAAATACTCCCAATAGCCATGTTGTGGAGTTATAGGGCTTTCTAATTATATATATATATATTGATACTGAGAACTTTGACTTTCGATCTTGACAATTTTCGATTAGGCGCTTTCCATTTTTAGAGTACTACAGGAGCTCTTCCAGACCCTTATTTTCATCGGGCTAAATAAGCAATAGCTTCTTTTGTTTTCAGGGCTACGGATATTGTTTGTGTTGAATCGTTTATTGTTTCGTTCTCCAATCGCAGACCATGTCTGGAGAGTTACTGACCTCCCAATTTTTCTAAATACTTGATGAAGACACCCCTATAAATATTACTTGGAATGTGACTAACACATGCTTGACGTATCATTCAGCCTTGAAAGGCAGGTGAAGACTAGAAATTATTTAGAGTACCTTCAATTGGTTGTATTTTGGAAGAACAATATCATAAAATAAGCAGCCTACAAACCACTTATTCAGCCCGGCTAGCGTAGGTTGAATAGAAGGAAAATGTAGTCATATTTCTATATGTTTTTATTCGGACAAAAGATTTGTTGAACACACCTTTAATTTCCTAACAAATGTATTCAATCTCAGCGGATCTCACAAAATTGTTACTGAAATTAAATTCAATTAAAATAAATCGATCGACCATTTCCGCGACGTCATTAAGCCATTACGTTTTGCTAACAGGTAGGACACGTGTGTTTCAAACAAAGATTTGCATTTTCTATACAAATGCAAACAAAAAGCGACTCGAGCAACTTTTACCGAATATTTAAAGACATGAATTTTAATACATTTCAGCGATGGCCCTGAAATATAAATCATCTCCTATAAACAGCCTTTTTAAAGAAATTGCTAGCGCTTCAAACGATCGAATATTCTCCAAATGTCGTGGCTTTTATGTCTTATATTGCAAACTGCTTTATCAAGAATTCCATGCAAATGATTTTATATGCAGAGGGGAATTTCTTTCCACTCTACTCGAAAATGAAATTTCCAAAACTGGTTCACATATTTGGTCGCTTTCAACGAAGCGATAAACTTATAATCCCCAAAAACATTTAGTTTCGTTCAATTCTATGCTAAAAATGCCATTTCTTTGCGAGTGAGAAGCAAAGGGCGAATTTCTTTGTTTTCCGTCGAAGCTATTAATGTTTATTGACTTTTTATACTTCGATTTTCGGATAAATTATTCGCACACACCTCAGTATCGACCCAATCCATTCATCGTTTCATCAAAATCTGATCTAACATCGTCAATTTTCTTTTCTTCCTCGCGAATCTTGTCTTTTATAACGTTAAGTTCACCCTGAAGTCTTCCAACCTTCCTCTCTGCCGCCTCGTATCGGATTTCCTCATCCCGCCTCAGTTGCCACAATTCTCGTATCTTATTTTCGCATGCCTCTTCGCGATCACCACGTTTCTCCTCATCAATTGCCAATTTACGCAAGTTTCGGCCAACTAATCTGTTCTGCTCCTCCAGCTCTCGGCCCCTTGCTTCTGCGACTTTTAATCTCAGCCTGTACTTTTCCTTTTCTTTAGACATGTTCTGCAACTTTCGCCAGCATTCGGCGCATTTGTTCTCGCTGTAGTCGGCGGATTTCTTGTACTCTTCTATCGACAATTCGAGTTTCTCCAGTTTTCGCTCGTCTTCCTCCTCCATTTCATCCAAGATCTTTCGCTGTCTGTCCTCCCTTTCTAACCTTTCAAGCTCCTCACGGTACGACTTTTCTTTGTCGAAAATACGATCTTCTACAGAGTCGAGTTTCGCCTCAAGCAGCCGTTTTCTTCTTTTCAATGCATCGACTTCTTTTTCTTTTTCATCCGCTTCATGCCTTCTAAAATCAAGTTTCTTCGTCGCAGCTTTTTCCCTGTCCTCAGCTTGGTCGATTTCGTGTCTTAACCTGCAAGTTTTAGCTTTAAACTCTTCCATGCTATCGTGTTTAGACTGAATGGTTGCTTTCGGCGTTCCTCGTTGTTTAGAATTACGTTTTCGTAATCAGAAATTCACCTGTTTCGGAAATCAGAATAAATTATCACGCCTCTGCACCAATAACATGTCGCCTTACGGGCTGGTGGCTTGTTTAAATGTTTTGACCAATGTCCGTAAGGATACTGCTAAATATATACAGAAAAAGAAGGTGGACTGCTGTCAGACGCAACAGCAGTTAGAAAAAAGATACCATAACAATAATCATTGTTCTTTAAGAGAGATGTAAAATTGAATTACGTCTCACTCAAAAAATTAAAAACTACAAAATGCAAAATTAGCATGGATATCATTCAGTGAACGGTGGATTTCAAGAGGGTTCGAACAATCAATCATGTTTCGTTTCTGCCATTTAATTCTATGTATGACAAATAATTCAGCAAATAGTCTTCGAAAAGGGCCGGCTTTCCGTCTAACATCCTGAGTTTGTACCTTCTTTTCCGAAAATAGTTTTCAAACTACAGATGTAATTATTTCTCAGATCACTTCGTAATTCACTTCGATAATTTCGGAATAACCTTGGTCGTGCCACAAACGCTTTTTGACTTCTTTCTTTTCGCGTAATCGTGTCCCAAACGAGCATTTTAAAAAACGCTTGCATCCGAAAAAGATTTTTTTCAACAGCTTGGAGCCCAATTCAACAGGTGTAAATACTTCACACTGATCGATGTTAAATTATTTTGTCAGAAGTGTTTGCGTCCATTTTATCTGATGAAACCGGTTCATCATTGTTATCTCGCTAACTCCAGCTGCTGGTACATTTGAAAACGCAGAGCCAATTTAAATACAAACTGTGAAAACTAGAATGTAGTATTTGAAGAAGGACAAAGGAAACTACAAAACAACAAGCGAAATCATCAAAAAACAGCGATTTTTTTCCCCTTAAAAGTCAGAATTGCCTTCGACGCCTTTTAATTATTTGTTTTCATTTTGGCATAATCAGAAAAATCCGATTCCAAACGAACCAAATGAATTGTCTGTAATTTGGTTCTTAAACCAATGACACTTTACCAATTCATTACTTGATATTTAGATGAAGCTTTTGTGGTTCAATTTTATCCTTGGTTTAATTTTACTTTTCTTTTGTTTCAAACTCGTTATCACACATTACCATAGCCAAAAACAAAGGAAAATAATCTAAACCAAGGATAAAATTGAACCACAACAAAGCCAAACTAGCATTGGTATTAGGCTTGAAATCTTTGTTGGTAGAGGAGGTAGGTTGAAAAATAGCTCCTACCCAAGGTAAGTCTGATTAAAAAAGTGGTACTGAGGTCAATTTAATAACACTTTTACAAGTGTCATTTACAAATGTGGCCATTGGTTTAGAGTCTAAATACAATAGCTAGACTTGTAAAAGGGTTATAAAAGTTGACCCCTAATATCAAATGGGTCCTGTATTTGTGCTTGACAAACTCTTAGTCCAAGGACTGCTTACCATCTGTCGGTCTGAGGTTGCCCAACCTAACAAGTCAAAAGAAGTGCTAAATCGGTAATTATTGGCTCTAGTCTTCGCATACAGCGCAGGCGCCTTTTTTGGGTAAATTAGCGCTCAGTATTTCCTGCGAATTATGAAGCCACCACCATAAACGCATAATAACCACAGGGATCCCACACAATCTGTACATTAACCAGATTTACTGGATTTGCTTCATCTGTAGCGATATATCGTATAAATATCAGTCAGAGGCAAAGAGATCGACGAGCTAAAATACTTACAAAAACTTAGATCTTAGACTTTGTGAACAGCAAAAAACTATTTAAGTCAAAGTAGTTGGAATAAAAAACCAGGCGTAGATTAAGAAAGGTGTTTATTATCGGCAGAAAATGGGACAAAATTATCCTTTCATAATACAGCTACTAAATACTTATATGTAATATTAAGGAAACAACAAATTGCGAAGTCAAAGTAAATATAAATGTTAAAGAAAATGCTTGGGAATAAAAATCAAGGTTAGTCGCGACAAAATGCTAATATTAACCTGTGATAATTACTAGTGTTTAACCAATAAGGAAAAGACACAAAACCAGAAGCTCTTTCAGTCCTCAGGTAAGAGCGAAATTTCTCAATTTTTGTAAATTTTTAGGGACGCTAAATAGTTCAAGGAAGAATCACTTGATTTTTCCTCGTCTTCTTCAGTTTGCCACATTCTGAAAGTTTTCAGAACGCCACTCAAATAAAATCGTTTCAAGCTATGAATTAAAAGAACTCCATATTGAACAACAAATAAGACTTGTCAACTACACATGGTTTGAAATGATAGGATTCAAAACTTCCCACAATATGCTGCAGGTTGGCAGAGTTGGGTATAAGATCGCTAGTCTGTTGTTCTTGAAAATTATCCGTTGCCAGTTGAAAGCGCGATTATTCATACAAACCACACGGTTCGTATAAAGCCATCAGCTGTTGAAATAAACCAAAAAATGTAAGTTTAGACTAAGTTTTCAAGAACGAAGAGAGCAAAAAGGTTTGGGATAAACAAATATATAATCCTTACCAATACTATACAGAACAACCTTGGCCTAGAAAGAAAGAACACAGGCAATTGAGTGATAAGATAATGAAAAATAATGACTCGAGTATGTTAAACTGACACTGCTATACAAAAAATCAAGAGCGAGGGGAAAAAAGTACTTACAATCCTTTCCGTAGCCATTTCAAACACGTAACAATAAAAATTCTTGGCCATGGTACATGTTGTCTCCCTAAAAAAATACGATATCAACAGATGAGCTGATCCTCGTATTTAGGAAAGGTAAGCTCTCTCCAAATGATTTTGCTAGTCGGGAGGGAGATACTAAAATGAAGGTGGCGATAAGTTCTGTTCCAAGGCTCAAGCACTTTAACGTCAGTGTCATGTCCTCAAGTGGGTTCTTCTCTTCTGGTGATTTTGTATGTTATGCCATTTTCTTTGACGATATATGTCCACTATACCCCATAGTACCTATATTTAGCAACGAGTGGCGGTGGCGGTGGCGGTGGTGGTATATGAGAGCTTTTTTAAAAACGGCAACTGACTTGTTTTATACTTTTAGCCTAAGGGTGGATTTCCACTGTAGGGTAATTTTTACGTGCATACGCGCGTAAAATTTACGTTCGCAAAGCAAACGCACGTAAACGTAAAATTTCAACTTCGCTCAACTTCACGTTTAAGCTCAACACTTTATATCTTGCCTCTCTTTTATTTACGTAATTAAGATTTACGTTGGTGTACACGCACTTAAAAATTACGCGACAGTGAAAATCCACCCTAAGGGAGGAAGCTAATTTGAAGCGGAGGTAATTAAAATGATAGACTACGAGAAACTCTTTATATTCCTGTAAATGATAAGAGATACGCGGGTGCATTGTCACACTCGACGAAGGTGTCACGCGGAATGGCAATTTTCACGCGCGCGCTCGCTTACTCTACTATCCTTTGGGAAAATTAGGAACTGCTAGTACTTAATACAAAAAAGTGATGGTTACCAACTGTTAGTTAAATATCCCAGAAAAGAAAACTTAAATTATTTACCCCGAAACAAAAGCTATCATTTCTTTTCTGTCCGCTCGTCGACCACACGAAGAAGTCTCAGTGAAGGAATGAACTCCCAAGACCTGCGAAAACAGATATTAGCTTGAACATTAATGTATTCCGGGTCCCACAGGGCAGACTGATATGCTTTGTGAGGCAATCTCACGCTTTATTAGTTGGAGAGACATAAGAAAATGCACGCCGCCTGGTTAGCTCTAGCAGACATTGGAGGGGAAGGCCAGGGTCGAGAGAAAATCCTACTTAGGTTTTACATCTGCAGAATGTTATTTGAATTTTTTATATTTTTGAGTGGCAATTCCCGGTTTCCCTGATCTAGACTAAAATCTTCAACCAACTTATCAGTTTCCTGGAAAATGATACCCTATTCTAGACCAAAACTCTATGATTTATATACCCTATCCCAGAGAAAACTGCTTGAAAACCATACCCTTCACAGTATATATCCCATATATGGCAGCAACCCCCTCCCAAAACCGGGGTTATACCTTAATTCTAGTCTTGAAAATGAATAATTGTACGTGAACATTCGTACACTTAAAGTGCGGATGGGATTTAACACGTGCAAGATCATCGCGGTTTATGTGCGCAAATTATGTAGTTTCGAAAACAAAACCGCCTAAAAAAGTTTAGGTTAAGCATGTTAAATGAGATTTGACCCCATGACCTCTGCGATACTGGTACAATGCTCTCACCACTGAGCTGTCAAACCAACTGGGATCTAAATGCAAGAAATTGTTACGTCCTTAATGACATTTAAGAGGCAAAATACAAAAACAAAGGTACTCAATTTGGAATTCCGTCATAACAACTTGCCCTGCCGACCGCCAGAGCCTGGGCACCACGATTAACGGCGGCATAGGCTCCGGTGCTTAAATGAGCCATGCAGGTGCCATCCACGAGAATATTTGTTTCCATTCTCCCACCCGGATAATAGAACGGGGCCGCTGAGGTTGCTGAGGTCTAAGTAGGAAGTCCTTGTACTTAGTCTACTAAGCTGAGAGGCAGGGCTCGAAATTAACGCTCGCAAACTCGCAAAATGCGAGTGATTTTGATAATCTGCGAGTAAGAAAAATAGCCACTAGCAAACGATTGCGAGTTAGAATTATCCATGTCTCCCAAGCAAAGGGAAATAAATTGCTTGTGGTCTCACCAGTTTGCTAGTCGGAAAAAATCTTACCAGTAAAACTTTGCAAGTGCACTAAAAAGATAACTTCGAGCCCTGAGAGGGCAAGCAATTTTGAGGATGTGCATGGTTTATCTCTGTCTGTAGCTGAATTACAGTCTGGAAGATTACCTTGGACGTTTCTTGGTCTGTGACAACAATGTTTGTCTCCGAAAGGTTAAGGAAAACAGCCTGGTTTAAACAGAGAAGGAAAAAAAAAACAAGAAGTAAGCACATAAAAAGAGTTAAGATCAAAGCAATACATAGGCAAAGGCTTTGGTGCAAACTGGTGAGCGTCAGGCGAGTGTTAATCCTGATTATGAGAAACGTTCATGGCTTACCCTAGGTTTGTTTGCCTGTTTTAAGACGTCCAAAATGGAGTCTTCTATCACTGCTACACCACCATCCTGTCAAGGAAAGAGAGAAAAGGGAATCATTAGTGGGCGTTATGTATGTTTAGTGATTCCGATTTGTATAAGTTTGTTTTGTGAATGTTTAGCAAGTTTGTTATCACAATTTTTTGCTATGCCCAAGGCCCAGTTATCGCTTGGTTGTATAAGCTCCCAATGAAAAATAGTTGCACCGGCTCGCTTTGTCCTTCATGTCTCAGTCTGCTCTATTTTTTTTTTTGCAGTTATCTCAGTTTATCAAATATTCAAGGAAGTCCGTGCTCCAACTTTTTGACAGGGCGAGGTTGTTGTATATTGATGAAGCACGTGACCTATGTCGTGTGCATTCTTTATCGGGATATAACAACACTTGGTCTCTGTCACCTGTAAGAGCGCGCATAAAAGAAAAAAGTTTTTCCTTGTGCATTGTCAACTGACCCACAAGCAAGCTCGTGGTTCTCTAGCACTTCTATCATGTTCTTAAAAAATTCAACGCGGTTTTAACTTGCACCCAGTGCGAATTTCATTTTATTACACGACATCCGTTCACATTTGACAAACTGCACGTTACAACGGGAAAGCATGGTTGGCAACTTTGACTAAACGAACAAACCTTTTATAATATCCACTGTGCCTAAAGACAAGAGTATACCCAAATCAGTGTGACTTACTTTTCCAACATCCAGCTTTCCATAGTACGTGGCTGCATATGTTGCACTACAAGCGGAAAACAAACAAGTCAATTATTACAACTGAAAAGCGAACTTACCGGTAAAGGGATTTTCTGAACAGTTGTTTGCGACTGAGGGATGTGGACAAGGATGTTAACAACTAAACGGAATATTCCACGAAGATACGGAACTCTATATCAAAATATCAGTAGACTGATTTGGCTATACATTTGCCTTGCATAGTTAGAAGTGGGAGGGTGGAATAGTGATCGCTGATTAAAACATTGAAGTACCATTCTTTTGTCCTTCCAAACTGAGTTACGGGGCCAATAAACCAAGCACTGGTACATTAGGTCCAGTTTATCGGCAAAACAAAGCTGTAGTAGTAACTCCACCCGAGGTCAGCGAAAGTTTATTGTAAACTACCGTATACAGTGGAACCCTATTATTACGGTCACCAACGGGCCCAAAAAAATTGGCCGTAATAACGAGGTGACCGTATTGAAGAGGGTTTCTTTACAAGAAAATTTATGGTCGTTTTTGCTGGGCGGCCAAAAAAAGTGTTCGTAATAACGGGGTGACCGTATTAACGAGGTGGCCTAAGGCGGGGTTCTACTGTATACAATCTATTTTTTCAAGGCTTTGCGCAACTCAGATGGAAGGGACGATGTTTAACGGTATCACGGATTACGATACAGATAAGTGAATATGGAAATAGATTTCTTAGTACTTTTGACAAGAAGTAGTTTATTGCAGTTGAGTTAAATAACTCTGCAACCTTTTTGAATCTTGTCATCTTTTACTAATCAATTCAGTTCCAAATATTATTTCAAGAAAAGGTCTAGAGTCATTCCCCTTTTTAATTACAGTACATTGTATCTGAGGCGTGAACGGGAGTCTCCTCGAACCCTGCCAGCTGCTGAGGTGCTGTATCCAAACCATTATGGCCTCCTTCCTGGTACGGGTCAGCGGCTATTACAGCCATGCGCTCTGTAGCCGGAGGAAAACCTTTGCCATTGTAAAATTTACCCTAAAACAAAACAAAACAAAAACCGCACTTTCAGTAAAATCTCTTGACCACACTAACACGGCCTATTCCGATTCCGGAACAACGCTTTTTGCGCTCTCTTTTAGGTAACTTATTATTAAACACATAACTTCCCACATTACATTCGAATTCATTCAGTTTCATTTGACCATTAAAAAAGTGACGAAAATCTCGCGATAGCTTTAGTCTACGTAAACAAACAAGGTTCAAACGAGTAAGTAATCACCTTCACTAAGGTACACGAAATAGGCCTTCCAATGTTCCGCTTCAGCAACTCCGCGACCTGAATTTAAAAGCAAAAAGACGAAACAAAATGCACATTATTTCGAGTGTCAATGTATTAAGAACGAAAGCACTAACTGGGGACTCTATTTTTACGTCTCCCACTGGAGAGGGAACCGCCATTTTACGTGGTCATCCGAGTGAAAGTGAAACATGCATTTGATTACCTACCTTAGCGGTTTTTGCCTTGTGAAGGACGATTCCGAGCATGTCGTCCAATGTATCACCGCACTCAATACCAGCCTGAGGGAACACAAATATTTTAAGACGCTTTTTAGAGAAGGCATTTTTTTTCTGTAGCTTTTTATACATGTCTCTGAGTTAAGAGGTCAGTGGAATGCAAAAGACAACTGACAAAGACCAATTTTGATGGGAAGGTGGATCAAGACAGTGGCAGGTTTTATTCAGCCAAATATTAAAAGTAGCTTACATCTTCTGCTGCGCTGTTGGTCCTTACACAAGCAACCATGACTCTTCGGTTAACGGTCCTGCAAAAAAAAAGTTTTTAAAGAAAGTTACTTCCTAACATCAAACCTACCTTAGGTAAAGTATTTGCAAAAAGATGTGATCTTTAGACATGGGGACAGGAGTAATCTTTCTTTTATACTCGTGGACGGTTAAAGACACCTAGGGCACACATTTATAGCGCAAAACACCCATCACATGTAGAATTATTTACATGTACCAATTGTTTGATCCTTTTAAACGAAAAGACAAAAATTCTAGCAAGAGCTACACAGCGTATGTTTTCGTCCACGGAGCACCGATATATTTTCGCTCCTGCAGAGATGACTGAAAAGTTCGTTCAACCTCTTGCGTTGCTTGTAAAAGAAATTTGTCCTTCGAACAAACAAACGAGTCTACAAAGAAGTTTTCTAACATAAAATAAAATCCTAACTGGTCATGTAATATGAAAGTTGTAAGGTTTCCTAAACTGTATACTAGTCCATTACACGCTTGATGCCGCAATGAAAAGACGGCGACGAAATGAAAAAAGAAGGATCATGCCCTTCGCCAAATGACTCTACCGTTTTCATCTCGTTTATGCACACGCAAAACAATTGCGTATGTTGCGTCACAAACACAGTACTTTACAAGCGCGCGCTTCCATTGCGCACGCACAGTACCGAGTAAAAACGAGCTTGGAAACGTGAATACAAAGGTGCCATCGTTCGTTTATGTACTGACAACTTCACTGCAGTTTTATTTAGTGGGAAATTTTTAATCTAGTGATTAGACGTAAGGATTGTTTAGAAGCGTTTAGAACAACACTCTTAAAGAAATAACAACAGAAAAGAACAGCTGTCAAGCAGTGGAATTTAAGTGATTCAAAGACTAATAAGCAAAGCAGGTTAAATGCTTATTGCTCCTCACCTCACGACCAGTCCTAGCTCTTTACACGGCACAATGTCTACATGCCTTATTTCCTACACGCAGCAGAAAAAATGAGAAGATCGAGAGCGAGTTAGGAAATCAATAAAGCTAGCAAAAACATCATTACTGACAACCACAAAAGGAAATGAGAGGACGAACTTACAGGAATAAGCCACGTTTCATCCAGAAAACTGCAATTCTGTCGGTAAAACATGAAACCAATGAATTACACTCGTAAATGAAGAGAAATACTTCGTAAACTACTACGCCTAACTTTGTATTGTTACAGTCTTTCTGCCAACAAAAAAAAATGGTAATTTACCTTCAAATCCAAGGAGAATATCAGTTTTCCCAGCCCTTTTAAAATGTTCATGAAAGATTCTAAAGGGAAAAAAAACATCTTAGGTAAGAAGTTAGGCGTCCCTTTGTCCTTTGCGAAGTGAGAGGCAGAGAGAAGGTTATTCAAGCGGAGTTTAAGTTACAACGCTGATTAAGATAAGAAGTGGTGATTCAGATTTGGTTCTGAAGGGGTAATTTTCTAGTCTTTTTTTGCCTTAATGTCGTAAACATTGTTTAGACATCACTGACAGCTAAAAAAACTGATTAAAAACTGTTTGAACACAGTTTTGTCTAACACCGGCTGAACTCCGTTTTAATGGTTTTAAAACAACGGTAATAGCTATCCCGCCGTCGGTGATTGTCATTTTGTGGAAGGAAACATTTTATCCGTCTTAATTCAGTGTGGACGGAAAACGTTTGCTGAGATTTTGCGGTAGTGGAAACGCTTTTTACAACATAACTGGCGTAGTGTGGAAGAGTGAGTGTTGAGTTTCGAGGAACAAGGGGGTAGTCTTTTCCAAGGGAAGGGTGGAAGATACTTAACGTATGCATGTTCAACACAACGGTACCGATAAATAACACTATTTGTTTGGAAACAGAAAATAAATTCAGTTTGTGATACGAACCTCTCATGACTTTGTCCCGCAAAATCGCCGTATCATTATACCAATACTACAAAAAAATGGAGGCAAAACAATTATTAGAAAACGCCAACCAATTATTGTGTAAAAAAGACTTACTTACAACACAATACAATTACTTTATTATCTACTCCCGAGAAGTTTATTCTGAGATAACTTACAAAGGATAATAATGAAGATGATATGAACTGCGGAAATACAAATTTTTAAATGAAGATATGATCGTCCCAGTGGTAACTGCAATTTAAGCAATTGCTAATTCACCCGGAAAAAAAATTCGCGACTTCAACGGGATTGGAACCCATGGCCTCTGCGTTAGCGCTGCAGTGCTCTAACCAATTGAGCTATGAAGACCCATGCATTGGGAGCAAGCCAATTTGTTACAATAATAATTACCTTAAGTTACAAGCATCATATAAAATCTCTCCCGAAGGGGTTATTCTGGGATAATTTACAAAGGACTGATAATTACCTTAAGTAGACTCGGAGGGGCTATTCTGAGATAATTTTACAAAGGAATAATAATTACCTTAAGTTACAAGCATCATAAAAAATCTAAACTAAAATCATTCGTTACAATTTATAAGCTAAATAGTTCACGCCTTACATTGTTTTTAAAATTACTGAGTAATTTGCTGTTTCTAGAGTTTAAGCAAAGGGAGTTCAAAATGTTTATTGAACGATAAAAAAGGAACGCTGAGCGGTAGCAGTTCTGCTAAAAGGAGATTGTAAATGATCTTTATGTCTTGTAACTATGTGCATCTAACCTCTTGCCGATCTTACTGGCTAAGTAAGCAGGCGCACGTCCACTAATAATCTTGTACAAAAGTGTGACATCCTGTACTTCCAGCTAACTCTTAACTGAGGGCCACCGTAACTCACGTAATACTGGAGTAACATGATCGAACTTCTTGGTGTTAGTCACAAGACGAGCGGCAAAGTTTTGCACCAGTTGCAGCTTTGGTAGGTTTTGCTTGAAGGTAAATCACCTCAGTTCCAGGGGGGTAATGTTACGGGGAATGACGGAAAAGGGGAAATAGCGGCGACCAGGAACAGAAAAATAATAATAATAATAATAAAAAAAGGAACAAACACAGAGAATGGGTAATGGTTTGGGTTGGTTTTGTTTCCATTCTTAATTTTCCAGTTCGCCGTGCTTGTTCCTGTTCCCCTTTCTTCGTTTGAGGAAAGCACCGCCTGTCCTCAGACCTTCCCCAGTGCTGGTTTATGAATCCTTACTTGAGTGTACGAGAGGTTAGCGTTCGTAGCAGGCGCCGGGTTTTTTGGGGCGAGGGGAGAAATTTCGAGCACCCGCGCTCGTACGAGGAGAAAAATAGACAGGAGGTGCGAGGAAGGGCGTATTCCCCTCGCGCACGCTATAAAAACTAACCAAACAAAGTAACCGGCGTCTGCCAAACTCTCTCTATCTCTCTCAATGAACAAGAGTCGAAAACGTCTTGGAATAGAAGGCTTAATTTCGGAATAATGTTATTGTACCTTTAGAAGTGCTGAATTAGAAGCAAGGTTCTGGATCGTGTAAGGAAGCAGCCTCTTCATCAGACCGAGGCGGATAAATTGTCTGCCATATCCCTGGTATGAGTTTATCTGCGATAATAAAACAAAATGATCGTAAACAAAACTGCAAATATTTTGTCATACAAATAAAAACAAGGTTAAGGACCGAAGTTCAAGGAATCTTCAAACACAGAGAAATACACTGTGACTATAAATGATTAGAGTACAGTAACAAGCTAAAAATGAAAGATATTCTCACCTTCTTACAAGATTTTACAAACGTAACCACGTGTATATAGGCCAGTTCCCCCCTGAAAATAAAAAAAAAACATTCTTCAAAAACTTGATCATTTTCGAATTCTCCATAATACATTCTACTGATCCGCCTTCCCCCCACCCCTGCCTCCGCAAAAAAAAGAGTATGCGTAATTTAATGCTTTCAAATGCTCTTGGGAATATACAGTCATACCAGGAGCATTTGAAAACAACAGTTTATATAAAAATTGGAGGGCAAACAGAGCGTATTATTGGGGATTCGAAAATAGAGAATACAAGCTAATTTACCTCTACTGTTATTACACAAAAGAAAAAAAGAAAACATCAAAGAAGCAGCGCGTTGGAAATATCATAAACTCTCAAAAGTGAAAGTTGCTCAAACTTTATAGTTTTGAAGTACTTTGTTTAGATTTTGCACACTTCTCTCGTTTGCCCGCGGTGAAGGTGTGAAGTCCCCTCGAGGATTCTGGAGGGACTAACCCCGCTTACTATAAGAACTTGAAAAGTAAGAGGTCGAGTTCGCATACTTGTCATTTTGAAGATGATTGACAAGCGCCTCTATCCAGCACCAGTAATCCCATTTCTTCAGACCAAACACAGAACCTGAAAATATTTAGAAGAAATGACAATTACTGAGTAGATCTCGTACCAAACGAATATTTACACCAATTGTTCATGAACGCTGATTCGTTCAAGCGATTCACTCCAAACACAAGCACGTCGAAATAGGCTGGGGATGTGAACTCGGGACTACCGGAGCGGGACATGTAGTCGGGTCCAGCACTCTAACCGCTGGCCAAGCTACCTCCGAACATCAGACCTTCCCTAGAGGGGTTAGGAAATTGGATATTTGAGGTTTGAAGGGGGAGGGGTGAAGGGAGAGGGAGGGGAAGGTTAGGTCTCCCTTTTTCGCTTCTCTCTTTGCCCTTTCCCATGAGAAACGCCAGCAACTCAAGCTATAAGCGTACAGCTGTCTCATTTGCCCGTTGAAATTGTTTTTATCGTAATTCCAACTGGCAAATGCGATGGCTATACGCGTATGTTACAATAAATGAATCCACCGATGGAATTTCTTTAAGGGCGCATCTCATCAGTCCCTTTTCTATAGACCAATCCTCGCACATTTTAAAAACAGCTTTGCTATTTTATAAACAATAACGTTTTTGTTAACAGGTAATCGGGCAGAAAGAGAGTAGCAAGAGGTATGCAAACAACGCCATGTTTTGTTGAGTGAATAAAGAGCCTTACGCAATAACGAAACGCTAAATCAGTCTTTTAGTGTAACAGTGGTAAACATCACTTTAATATAAAGAACTGAGTTGGCGCTAAAAGAACATAAATTTTATGAATCAAAAGCGCACAACTCTGAATATCTGCAGACTTCAAGATGAATTTAACTCTAGTCCCTAAAGGGCACGGAAAGTAGTATGTATATTGCTTTCTGGAAAGTGAATTTCACTTAAGAGCCGTAGAAGTGACAAACAAGGGCTTTCTTTTTGACTTAGTGTAATTAAAGAGCATAAAATTGGGGTTTGGAATAAAAAAAACTGGATAACACCAGCGAAAAATGAAAGCAGGGTAATTTCATTCTTTCAGTGGATTTCTTTCGCAATCCCTCGATCTTTCATGAGACATGATATAACGTTATTTTCCATAGTTTTCTTTATTCATATAGGACTTCGAACATAAAAGTTACGAAATTTAGGTTGGCACACTCCATTCTCCGAACTGCATTCTAAATTAATTTTTGAATTTTGCTGTCAGGCTTTTTCAGCAAAAAGTCAACAATTGCTGGTGATTTTCTATACTGACTGAATACCACGCAGTGAATGGCTATGTTACCACAAAGCGTTATGTGCCATTCATATGACAAAAAGCATCTGAAACTCAACAAAAATACGATAATCGCTAAGAAGGGAAAGCTGTCTGTGAAACAATCTATTGAAGTGTATAATAATGTATAATTCAACACTGAAAAATCTCAGACTTTTAAGCACAGCAATAATGAGCGGAAGTTATTAGTTTGCGCATGGTTGAATGATTTTGTAATAGTTTTCAGGCGCAAAAATTGATTCTGTTCATGGACAAAAAAAGTTAAAACAGAAACTGCAGAAAGCCTTTTAACGACTCACGATGGCTGAATAGATGAGCCTGGCATCGGCCTTGAAGGAATCTTGAACTTTCAAAATCCAGGCCACTCTTTTCTAAGCAAAGGGCGGGTAAAAGACGTTTCGAGATTTAAACAATGTTTAGAAAACCATTCAAGTTTGACAAACACTTTTAGCGCTAAGCGGGCAGTTTGAGTAAAATGTCAGAGAACGGGTTCTTGCAACACCTGTTACAAAGAAATACACGGAAAGATATAGTTTCTACTCATGAATCAGTAATAATTCTTTGCGTTAAAACTTATCTGATCGCGGATGATTTATGCAAAAGAGACGAAAACGTAATAACGTATAACATATGAGCATAAGCATAAGCATAACATGTCTCTCAAAGATGTTAATGAAGTCAAGTCCATGGGGAACTCCACGGGTCACTGACGGATGAAACGGCATTAAAAGAAACCGCGTAACACTTCCTAGAAGACGCGATGCAGACTCACAACTTGAAAACTTTGTTGTTTTAAAACGCGCGTTTGCTTGTTTGTTTCGTGGACAGCGATTTATGACACAAGCACACGGCGAGAAGTCGAACCATTAGCAAAAGATCGAGTAATTCGCAATCACAGCGAAATTATGATAATTTATGTCGGTTTTCACTTACTCTTTAATCCTTGCCTGAAAACTGCCTCGATTCCTCCGCACACCGATATTAACAGAGGATTATCATCTCCTATAGTCTTCTTCACAGAACTCTCCAGCCCTTGAGCAGCTTCTAGAAAACGAAAAGATCGCAGTTTAGAGGGAAAATTCACGCGGGAATTCTTCAGTGAAACGTTTGGTAGCTTTACCTTTAAGATGACTGAGACGGGTCTCTGCTTGTAAAGCTGACATCTGTCGACAAAATGCTGCTCAACTGTAGGCAGTTTCTCTTCTCTCTTCTCACGGCATTCGCCAAGTCTACATTTTGGCAGCAAGTTTGATCCGCAATCACCACGCACTAATTCACAAACTCACAATGAACAAGCCCATTATTTTGATTACAAGATGACGATGATCATTGGTTTGGAACCGGAGCATAAATAAGTAATCACTTTAAATCTTTTCTATAGACCAGCCAAGCATGTAAAGTGTCAACCACACACAATGCGCGCTAACCAAATTGAAATTCAGTTTGATTGTAAAGAGATCTGTTTATGTGTGTTAAGAAACACAAACCAACTAAACAGAACGAATGGAAATTCCGATAGAAGTTCGCGCGTAAAGGTAAAATATTTCTGTTCAAAATGGATTGTTTTACAGCCGTGTATCCATGCTAATCGTGTTGTTTCGCACACACACTGGGAAGCAAATAACAAATTGATAAGGAAGAACAAGGTCTATCAATTAAAATCAACCGGAAAATGGTTTTGTTTTAGCGAGTTACTATTGGATGCAACGATAAAACTGTTGAAAAAAAGAGAGTTTATAGAATTTGGGTTTTCGACATGTTACCAATTTTTTTTCAGGACGAATATTATATAAAAACTGAACATAAAGTTAGCGGCAAAAGGAGCTTTTCTACTAAAGCATTTGTTTGAAAAACAACGAATGGAAATATCGCTGTCAGAATTTTACTGTTGCGATAACAATAAACAAATATAGTTTTTGAAACAATATTTATTAGCCCTAGAAGTATTTTTTAAGGACGGTATAAGATACCTTTTATAAAGAACATCTTCTCTTCAATATCAAGAAATAGGAAGCGGAGTAATTTCTATTATAGTGTAAGAGAAAATGCTGCTGATTAAAGCCCTTATCTTACCGGCTTAATTCAACATTATATTGTTAGTTAAGACTGAATGTTCTGAGACCGCGGAGGTTGCAAGCTGACGTTATATCAGATTTAAAAGGGCTATTCAAAGTGAGTTCAACGTTTTTTCATCAAAGTGAGCTGAAATGTTGACAAGGTGTTCTTAGTCATGCATCTGTTGACATACTTAAAACTCTAAGAGAAGCAATATCAAAGACAAAGCAAAGCGTGATCTGTTTTCGGTCATTTTTCTGCAACACAGGAGCGTTACTTGAAAATGTTGGTCCTGTTTTTTTTGAGTTGCAATCCCTTTCCATCTTGGCCATAGAAAGCCAAAGACAGAAACTTACAGTTGAGATATAGTAGCAGTAATTATTATCTACGAATAAAACTGAACCATTATTTCAGGGGTTTCTTTGATTCCAACGTGTTTTGAGGGTATGAAAGTAGTATCGAAAATCGTCCCGTAGCCCCTTTAAATCAGAGTTTCAATTTTTAGGCCCCCTCAAACGAATGCCACATCATTCAATGATAAAACATAGAGGGCAAGGCAGGCACGAGGCAGGCACGAGGCACTCACGCCGCTATTAATGGGTCACCATTGGGAGCCGACCATTTGACTTTTTAGGGGGGGGGTGATTTTCAAAGAAGAATATCATGTCCTGAAGACTGATTCCCAGGGAGAAAATTCTTGCAAGGAAATACCTGGCGCAAAAAACCGACACTGAAAACAATCTTTCATGGGGTACAATGCTGGAAAAAAAAATCTTACACCGTTTTAGTTAGGAAAAAACTCTATCATCAGAGGTTTGGAAAAAAAAAGAATTCTTACATAAACCAAATCACCCATACTACCCCCTCCCCCCTCAAAACTGAGTCAAATAGTCGGCCCCTTATGAAGATCCCCCTCCACAATGAAAGATCATGTTAGTCAGTTTTTCAAAGTAATAAATTGAGTATTTCTTGGTTTCTTTCTCGTCGCTGTATTCTTCGTTCTCTAGGAGTCAATGCTCGCACTGGTCTTGATTCTCCTTTCTCGTCAGTAGTTTCTTTTTCAAACACTTTTGCAATAGCGGGCCTCAGTTTGTGCAGTCTCGGAAGGTCACTAAACCGAACCTGTGGTAAAAACAGAAATAATCCCTACATGACAGGTGCGATAAACGGACTAAATTGGGCCAAGACAATGAGATATGTAGGTCACCATTGCCTAATCCCTGGTTCGTGCGGCCTATCAGGAAGTCCCTGTCTTCCTGGTTCGCCCGGTTAGTCTTGGATACATCACCCAAATACATTGACCGCGAAGGTCTCGGTAAACGCCGAAAAAGTATCAATATTAGCTTCCCGTATTATGACTGGCGCCAGTGGTGGAAAAGCATTGTAGGCGATCATACCAACGCGGGAGAAATAAAACAGTAAGGACCTTAACCAACGACGACGACAACGGCAGAGAAAATTTCACCCAACTCTTCTAGTTTGTCATAGGTTGGCGATTTTTTCAGGAGTTTAATTCTAAAGGACTATATCTAACTTCAACAAAGAAAATAGACTGCGAGCAGTCTCCCTTTTTCTTCAGATTTAGTGAGAGCAATCCACGCGCGCGGGAGCGGCGAAGCCGCGAGACGCGCGAAACGAGGGCGGCAGCCATCAGTCACGCGCGTGGCTATTTGCGTATCTCGCGTTTTGCTCGTAGTCTACAAAGAAAAAGAAAATCGTTTTCTTGTGCTCCCGTCCTTCATAAAGGTGACGTTACATCAGACGATTCGCAACAACGATTTTTAGCGAAAACAACGTTGCAACATTGTTGCGACATTGTTTCGAATGGTCACAACATTGTTCCAACATTGCAGCGCTGTGTTGTTCTAAAAATCGTCGTTGCGAATCGTCTCGTGTAGACGGCACCAGGTCTTCAACCTATTGCCTTTTTGCCGTCCTCGTTGCCATCCCCGTCGTCGTTGTGTAAGCTCTCTTGTACCAAGCGCACGAAAACATGGTCGTTACAAATCACCATAATATTTCAGCAAATTTCAGTTGCAAGGGGAGAGTAACTCACTGCTTAGCCCTCCCTGCTGGCACGATTGGGATATTGCTGGTTTGCCTGTGACGTCACAGCTGCCATGTTGGTGGTCAAGAACAAAAGCATTTCTCTCCTCTGGGAACGAAACTCTATTTTCATGTTAATTCGTTGAGAAAAAATTCTGTTGTATTGACCCCCAACATGGCCGCCATGTCACGTGGTTGCAAACCAAGAATATGAACACTGAATCAGTCACGTTTGCCAAACTAGGACGTCCTAATTCCTATTCATATTACACGTACCGTCATGAAGTCAAAAGCCGTACTTATCCCGGGCCCCAGCCTTAGATTGCCACATTCTTGAGGCCAGTAATTTTTCCAGTGCTTTGAGAAGTGTGTAAGAATGGTGTAGCTGGCATGCATATCTCGACTGACTTTGATTGCTTCTGAAAGGGTGCTAGGCAAGAAAACAAAATATTACAAAATGTTTCACTCAAAGAGTTTATTTCTGCCGTCAAAGTACTACTAAAACTATCTTACCAGTGTCTCCCTCTGACTGGCTCATCCTTAGGAATCTCAAAATAAGTTGCCTCGTGGATCAACAGCGTTGCATTTTTACCTGAAATTCAAACCTAAAGTTAATAATAAAGCAAAGTATGCAGAACCGAGTAAAGTTACAAAGCCATAGAATTATCGAAAGACTTTCCATTTCGTGCTTAAAATAGTAGTGTTGAGAAATTTAAGAAAAAAGCGACAGAAGTGTTAGCCCTAAAGATGGCGAAGCAGTAGGCCACTTCGAAAAATGTCTCCTTTTTTATCCTGATGGCACAACGGAATTCACACATACGTAGACAGCTGGAACTGTAATTAGCTTTCTCTGTAGTTAAGGAATCCTTGCAGCTCAATTCTCAAACAATTTGGACGTAGGCTTCTGAACAAAACGATGTCAGAAACTGCACGTCAATGTTTTTAGCTGACGTTGGCACAGCTGCGTGGTCGACCAATATTCAGTGTATGCAAACACTGAAAAACAGCACGTGCAGCTCGTGCTCGGAAAGATGCTAATACGGGATGTTTGGGGCGCTTACCATTTGTGAGGAAAACCGCTTCGAAATGGATGGGCCATTCCAAGTTTATAGTGGAAAGACAAAATTAAGCGTCGTGTCTTTACTTTCTCTGTAAAACCCGCTTGAATTTAATCATTTGAAGTTATTGTTTTACAGGGAATAGCAGAAAAATTACAAAGACATTAAAACGCACGTGCAGAAGTATTGTTTTGCTAATGAATATGCATGTTTATTGTGAACGGTTACATTTGTTACATTTGGCGGGAAATTTCGCCAGTTTTTCCATAGAAATGCATGGTCAGCGATAATGATTAGCGACCCAAACCTGCGCTCAAAAAGAATATTTGGCATATTTCGAAATCAAAACTGCTGTTCTAGTTTCATCAGAGGTCAGTGTGAAGAAACCGGAGATGTAGCGATGATGCTTGCTCACCTTCCTTGATCAGGTTATGCGAAGGTACACAATCTCCTGAATACACAAGCTTCCATCCAGATGGATGATTCAAAATGATTCCATGGCTATCTCTAGTGTGAAGTACTGGAACAACTTGAAGCTAAAGCAATATAATAAACTCCGTTTAAAAGGGGCAATTGGCACGAAAGAAATATACGTTAATTCACAGGCTAGCCATCGTTTTTTTTTTGCGTGGTGGGCTGTGCACATGGGCCTACAGCAAGAAGATCAAACCATCTAATGTCTAATGATTATTAACTCATAAAGGAACGTCTACAAAGAGTTGTGTTCTATGTCGCGATAAGAAAGGCAGTAAAAGAAAACTATACATGGGTTATGTTTACTCCGACACCTTTTGGGCCTTTAATACAAAGATCTGCTTTAAGAAAGGCGCATGCGTATCCTTATCTTCATTGACAGATTCAGATCTTTCAGTACATGGAGGACCTGCTCATCCAGACCCTAATTTTTCTCAGCCCTGCGGGCTTCAGTTTGACCTGAAAATAGGAAACTTAAGCACGACGACAGCGACGGCCACGAGAACGGCAAAAAGCAACAGGTTTAGATTGGCAAAACAAAAACATTGGACGTGCATCACGCTTTTTTGCACATTTCTTTGCTGTCGTTGCACGACTACGACGCGAAACTTCCTAATTTCACGTTTTATGGAGGACGTCAACACAAGACAACAATTTTCGTTTATTTTTCCTGAACTTAGATATACAGTCCTTTAGAATCAACTCAGGAAAATTCTCCAACGCTTGACAAATTAAATGAAATAGAATAAGAGGGATGACGTTTGAAGCAGCTCAAATTCACTTTTTGGGTGACGTTTTCGTTGGCGTTGCCGTCGTCGTTGCCTAAAGGGACAGGTTCACGGTTAAATAAATAAATAAATAAATAAATAAATAATTCCGTTATTTAACCCCGGCAGTATTTATAGCACTAATGCCAGTGGGGCCGAGCAAATGCATGAAACAAATAATTTAAATTGAACTTAACAGGGTTAAGAATCCCAACTGGCCAGAGGCAATCCAGCCGGCTATTTACGGTTAAGAGCATGCTCATTAATTAAATTACCATTTTTCAATTTATTATTAATTCTATCGGTTAATAATCCCACTGACATGTATCTCAGCGATCTCAGAGTATATTTCACAGTAGAAGTGTATTTCGGAGTAACCTGAAGTAGGAGGAAGGAGTACTAAAATCGCAGAAAAAATTAGTGGATTATGCCAACGCTACCAACGTTGAATTTATTGTTGACCCGAAGGTTTTATTCCATGGTTGATTAATTTACAGCTATTTGCAAATACCGTAAAATTCCGAAAATAAGCCCCTCCAAATATAAGCCCCCAAAACCGGTGACGCAAAAAACCCTCCGTTAAATCGCCACTCCAAATATAAGCCCCCTGGGGGCTTGTACTTGGAAAATTGCCCTCAAATACAAAGTAAAACAACACAAAAACGGTAAATTTACTTCTAACTATAAGGCTAGCCCAATCGATTTGTAAACGCAAATTTCCCTCCGTAGATAAGCCCCTCCAAAAATAAGCCCCTCAAAAAGGGCCTTTGAAAAATATAAGCCCCGGGGCTTATTTTCGGAATTTTACGGTATTTAAGTTCATCAAGTGCAAGTGACTGCCAGGGGGAGTGTGCAGATTGGTTCTTTGACAACATTATGACATGATCATATTGCTTCCATAGACGATACAGCGTGTCCCGGCAGAAAAACAGCATTTTAATAAATAAGCATGCGTTGAACTGTGAACCTGTTCCTTTACGCTCTTTAATAAGGTGGGGCCCAGACCCCTCCCCAAGACCAGCTACTGACATTGTACTTTCAAAGAAAAAAACAGCTTTGCCTTTGATATTAGGACTTACTCCGCTAAGTTCCAGTGCATCCAGAACTTCCTGAATTTGGTTGTTAACCTTATGCGCCTTTACTTCTCCAAAAGGAAGAAATCTGTGCTCACAATAAAGAAACTGAATAAACATGACCGCTCACTGCGCTTTTTTTAGTTCATGCACGTTTACTTCACAAGTATAAAAGGCAAGGAGAATATTTTAACAAACTTTTTTTTACCTGATAGGAAGGTTTCGCCCAATTGACTTAAAGTGCTCTTTTAGCCATTGATGTAATCTCCATGGGCCCACAATTGTTATAAAATTGAGCTGTATTAAAAAAAAGTAATAAAATAATAAGATTAATAATAATAATAATAATAGAACAGAAAAATCCATGCACTGACTTAAGTGATAGTAAAATATTAAAATATAAAAAGGAGACTGCTATGGAATCAAAGAGAAACTAAAAATTGATTTATGTCCGAGTGCGTTTAAACCAGACCACACCCATTTCTTCTATTTTGAGGTATTGCAAGAGTTTGCGGTGTTGCAGGTTCCAGTTTATCCCTTATAATTAGCAATGTTCTGGATAAAATGAAGGACAGTATAGTTTGGTGGCTCCCCCATCTCACCTCCCGCCCCATCCAAAAAAAATAATAACAAAAATAAGTTCCTTGATCTACCCCTGGACTTACGTGGATACCGTCAAAAAAGCAATAGGACTGGCTGTGAAAGAGTTGAAAAGAGTAAAGGAGAAAAGTGAAATTGGGAAGGGCAGCACTGTTGTTTGAGGTCTTGATAAAGCAGGAAATGAAATAAATAACCCTTGTCATTGGCAGATTCAACTACAAACAGTATTTACCTTTCTTTCATCAAATAGTTTTTCATATTCAAGAAGTAATCGCATTAGTCCCTGTCAATGATAAATTAAGATTAGAATAAACAAGGGGTATTTTCAGTTTAAATAACTGGCCCTAAGAATCTTGAGCTTTTGTCTAGTGTTTCAACATAATTTGAAGATTATTGAGGCTATATTTTCCCTTCTTACCTGGTTGTCCTTACATTCGACTTAATTTTACAACAAATGCTTATTTTACACTGAAGCCGCTGAAGAAACCTTTCTGAAGGATGGTATATACATTGTAAGGGATAAAACCAGTAGAATTAAAAGAAAATTAATTCACCATATGATGGTCAGGATGCCTGTGTGATATAAACACGCATTTAAGGGAAGCCAAAGCATCCGCTGTCTGTTCCTTATACAAACAACGAAGTTGAGAAAATGTCCCTTCTCCACAGTCCAAAAGAATTGATCTGTCTTCTCTGTAAAAAAAATAAAACAGTAACAGCACATTCACTGGAATGACTATTGCATTACTAGTGCTCAAAATAATATTGTGAATGAAGAGTATATTGCACCCCACCCCCTCTTAGGACCCCCTCTTGAGGTTTCTTGACTCACTCTTGAGTCTAGTGGAGGAACATTGGCCTTGGGTTCTGCAAATTTTTGTTTTGAAATTGTTAATATGCTTTGTTACCTGAAAAAAAAAATTCATACAAGGAATTTGATGACATAATAATATTCCAGCGGCTTGAAAATTCCCTTCCCCCCCCATAACTTTTCTAATGGTCCGTCCCTAATCAGATTTACCTTGTATGAACAAGTACTGCACTTTGGCCACGGCAGTAGGAGGGAAGTGCATAACCAGTTCCAAGAAATGTAACTTTGCTGTCAGACATTGTTTGCAAGTTTTCTTCTCCAGAGGTTACAGTTGAAGTGCCAACAGTAGCAAGAGTCTCATCATCTAATTTTTCTGAAGCCTTACGTAACCTTTTTAACATATCACTGAGTCCATATCCCACACGTAAGTTCCTTCTAGTTAATCCCTCCATTTTTAGCGGACGAAATTGATAAGTCAACAAATTTTCTGCCGAGGTGCAATTGTCTGGTAAACTGATGTGTTTTATCTCTGCAGGACTTTCCAATATGGGTGGAAAAATTTCATGATCCACAACAGAGAGAGCAGTCTGGAATGCAACACTTTTTAAGAATGGAGTCTCTTGCTTTACAACCTCTTTGTTAGCTAGAATATGTACAGTAGTCTTGCCAAACTGATCCTTCCATAATTTGTAAGACTCAGACTCAAAGATTTCTAGTGGGGTCATGTGCACAATAACATGTGGTGACTTCAAGTCCGTACTGCAGTGAAACTGAGAAAACTCATGATTTTGTACCAGTTCATTCCTGATTTCCACTGATGGGCAGTCCACAATCATAAAAACTTGTCCTGGTGTGGTAGGGGACAGGACCTCAAATGGTTCAACCTTACATAAAAATAGAAAACCCATTAAAAGACATAATGCTAAAAAAGCTCCCCACAAAGCGAAGGAACCATAGAAAATCCTACAACTCCGAGTTGTGCAGACTACACTTGCTGACCAAAATGCATGTTATTGTGTATGTTGGTTAATGTGCATCTGAAATTGTTTAACCTATTATAAAGAGCTACCTACTAGTCTATTTTAATCATCAATATTAATCATTTTTACTCAAGACAGTAAAGATGAAGAGCTACATTGTCGAAATGCTATTATTAAACCATTAATATTGTTATTAAATATCATTTTATTGAATTCTTCAAATTTGTGTGAAAAATTTATGTTGGTTTAGTTCATATATTTCATTTTTTATGAACATTTTTACTGAAGCTTTCTATATAGGTTTTATGAGATATTATTATTATTATTATTATTATTATTATTATTATTATTATTATTGTTTGTATTAGTGGAAGTAATAGTGGTAGCAGCTCAGGGGAAGGGGTACTGCCGTGGAACTATATAGGTATATGCCACTGTGAAAGCGTATAGAAATCAGGGAATTTGGTTGAAGAATAGGGTATCATTTTTCAGGAAACTGTTCAATTGGTTGAAGATATTACTCTGGACTAGGGAAACTGGGAAAAGAAATTGGCAATTGACTCTAGGATAGGGAGGGATATTGGGAGTTGAGTCTAGTATGGGGTAGCAAATTTCCGCTGAACTAGGTCTGGTATAGGCTAAGGGTTCCAAGGTCCCAGTGGCACATCCCCACCCAAAAATTCCTTAAATACCCCTCTGGGGGTGGGGTACTTTAGGAATATTAGTAGTAGCAGTGTGCTACCACTAGTGCTAGTAGTAGTTGCAATGTGCTACTATCACAGCTCCTCCAGCACCCCTCCTCCCTCGAGCAGTAGTAGTAGCACATTGACTGTAGACCATGATACCTTTCTTCCTTGAGATGTTATGACTGGATGTCCAATAGCTAGTTCATTAAACCATTCCCGTGTCACACCCAACTTTTCTGCTTTTTCACGAATAAAGTGCCCAGGAAGGTCTTCAAATTCACAAATGTAGCAAACTGACTGCCTCTCGGAATGGCAAGTATCTTTATCCTTTCTTTCAAGAACAACAGGTCTGATGGTAACATTGTCATCGACGTATGGCTCAAGCTGGCCTTGATCAGAATTGCCAATAAATTCTAAGCTATTGAAGAGCTCCAGGGATTGTAGTCTTTGCAGGCCAGTGCTTGAGAAAGTTGTTACATCTCGGAGGAACTTAGTGAGTCCCTGGGGACCATACACAGTTAATCCTGTGCCTTTTAATGATCCATGGCATTTGATCAATGTAGGAAGACCAGCTATGTGGTTTTGCCAAGTCATTCCAGTCAAGAAGACTCGAGTGACGTTCATTTTCAGTCGATTTAGTTCATGAAGTATTCTTACTGTGTTTTCTCCACAGTTAAATAAATACCTAAAGAAAAGAAAGGCTCCAGTCAAAGTTATTGGAGAATTAAAAAATGGAACCACCTGTTTGTCATATAAAATGTGCCCACAGCTTATTTGCTCTTTAAACAAAATGTTCCTTTGTTCCATTGGTTCAGCATTTGAATGACACAAATTGTTTACAAACATGAACAATCACTATTTTGAACATGTTCTTTGAACTGATATAAAAAATGTCCAAAGATTTTGTACACAGAGAACAATCAGAAGGGCATTTTCTTACACCTCTTAACAGTTTTATGCCGCTAAAATAACAAGAACAACTTAGCTGAGGTAGTATCGAAACGACCGGTAACCGTGTGGGCGATTGAAGGGGCATGGAGAAATGAACTGATACTTTCAAAATGGATGGTTCTCTTGAAAGCATCCAAATGACCAAAAAGGGAGGTATTTTGAAGTTGCTGCCAAAAAATAAATAAATAAATAAATAAATGAAAAGGAAAGTCACCTATAAGAATCAGTGAATAGTAGAACGCTAGGTGAACTATAATCTGTACTTGTTCCCAGAATCTGAAGATACGTTCTTGTTGACACGAGTTTTCCTCTTCCCCCATGTCTGCCACACCAATGCCAGCGAAGCTGATATCTTGTCAGTCTATGGAGTTCACGTAAAACGTCATTCCCTGAAGTTCGGGAGTTTGTTCTGCCAAACAAACCCGCTAAAAGGCTCATACTTACAAATGAAAGGCAGCATCGGCCATATTGACGAGTGATACTGGAAACTAGTCAGCAGGCTTTCCTTTGTATCGGTATGTACTGCATATAAAAAGCAACCTTGCATCCAACTCCAACATGGCGGACTCACTGGTGGGGATGTGAGATTTCAACGTCTTTTCACCGGCACTTACATGGAAAAACTCGTAAAAATTGTGAATGAGGTTATTATTCAGACTCACGAGCATTCAAAAACAAAGATTTCTGACATTTATGGCTGCCACCTCTAGTACTAAAGCGTCTCCTAGAGTCTACCTTCAAGTTCTTGGAGCCCAAACTGAGGACACTTCTCCCTCGCTTTTCATCTTCGCAGATTCACAGAGGTACAACAGTTTATCTCTTATTAAAAAAACTGCAACTACCACAATAGTCGTAAACTTTGTTGAAATTAGAAGAATATAAAATAATCTTAAATCAGTTTATGTTATTTATATTGGACTCACTGATACTCTGCGAGCCTGTATACAGACTCCCCCTCCCCTCAGTAAAACATTCGGTTAAGGGAGGGGAGGGGGCGTCTGTACACAGGCTTACACTTTGCAGGATTATACCTGCTAACTCTCACACATCATGTGTGAGTCTCACGCTCACAGACTAAAGACATCGGTCTCACCCATCAAGGACAATTTCTCACACCTGACTCACAAATCTGAACAAATTGCTTTTTAACACATGAGTGATAAGGAAAATTCAATTCACCTTCCCCAAAAATGTTCCAATAAGGCATTGAATGATGACTCGGTGTCCCAACGAAATCAAAACACACTTAAATTGTTGTCTTTTATATGGCTTCGAAGTGGTCAAAGTTTGTCGGAACATCTTCGGGCTTTTTTGGCAACATTCGATAGCCTTCGGAAAGTCATCGGAAATCTTCGGGAGTCGCTGGGACATTTTCGGAAATCCGGTCCATGACAAGGCAAAAATCTCACGCATTTTGTGTGACTGTTTGAAATTTGGCAGGTCAGGGTGCAAAGAAAGTCATTTTTACAGCTTGCCGATTGGGCAAGCAGAAGCTAGCATTTACTAGCCCAGATGTCATTTCAACTAGCCCCAGATGCTTTTTGACGAGCAGAATTGATTTCATAGTTCTTCTGTTATTCGAACTGCTCAAAAAACCTCACTTGCCCGTCAGGCAAGTTAACAACAGAATTCACTAGCCCGAAAGCAAAATCCACTAGCCTCGGGCTATCGGACACTACTTTCTTTGCACGCTGCAGGTATACAGGATCTAAGAACAAAAAACAGTAATTGTTGTTTTATCCATTTAAACCATCATTGTCAACATTCAATTTCTCACAAAAAATTCTTTGTTATCATCAGATATCTTTTTAACTGTGGAGAGGGGACACAGAGGATATTTAATGAACAGAAGTTAAAACTTTCAAAACTAAACAACATCTTCTTAACACGAATATGCTGGGAGTATGTTGGAGGATTGCCTGGTATGGCAATGACTTTAAGGGACAATGGAAAATCAGAAATCAAGCTACTTGGACCTAGCAACCTATGTGATTTCATCCATGCCACAAGATTCTTTTTGTATCATGAAAGCTTGAAGTTTGATTGCGTAGGATTTACTGGAAGTGATGGGGAGGAATACAAAGATGAAAATTTGACAATATGGCCTGTTGTCATAAATGGTAGGTATGATCAATCTGTCCCTTTAGACACAGTATTAAATTTAAGGATTCAAGTTCAAACTAATCCATTTCGACACCCATTTTAAGATTAAGCAGCTTTTAAATGATAAGAATCAGAATAAGAAAGTTCTTTATACAGATGGCTTATGTCACTCCAGGTGGTTTTAAATGAGACACTGTACAAGAAAAAATGAAATTGCTAAAATGCAAAAAATACCAAAAACCTAACATTAAAAATAATATCAATTGAAATTGAACAAAGAAAAATGTCACAACCAAGAAGACTGAAATTGAAAAACCTTCTAAGCTACTACTGAGATTTAAATCTGTTCTTATAAGGAATAATATTCTAAAAGCATTATAGGATGGGTTTCGTATCTCCACACGGAGGGCATTCCAATAGACCTATTCGGCTAACACAATGTTGTACCCAATTCAAACCCTTTGGGAATAAAACGTTTTGTTTCAGGAATTTCCATATCATTTAAATGTGAATGCCGCATTATAATGCAAATCAATACACAAATTATTCATTCAAAATCCCAGGAGTTTTGAATTGGGTAAAACATTGAGTTAACCTCCATAGGTCCATCTGGTAAGTTCTTCTTCGCATGATGCAGGCACTTTAGGTTTGTCCAGCTCCGCAAATATTCTCCAAATAGCAGATGTCGCCCTTCGAGTTGTCTAATGTCCGCCATTTTTCAAGTTCACAATCAAAACAACTCAACCTGGGGAGGTCTTCTGGGTTAATGGTGGTAACCTGCAACCTGTTTTTGGGGATTTCCTCGTTAAACACCCTTCAAATTTGGTCATCACCTCAATTAAACGCTTTTAAATCAGAATCGAGAAAATATTTTGAATGAATAATGATATCACTTTAATAACTGATATAACAAAATCAATATTTTTATTTGCTAATTTACATCAGTCCAGCCTATTCCCTAGGTGTCCTTGGCTCACTTATACCTGGACTCTACCGTGAGCTCTGACATCACCAGGGGAGACTCACCAGCTCCTTTCCATACTTTGCACGCACTAGAGGGCAGGAGAGAACAGCTAGGGATGAGGCTGGCATCAGTCTAGTATTCTTAGATATTCACAAGATTACTGCTGTGTTTCCTGCTATTATCTCATGCATTAAGAGCTCATGGGCAAAGTACCTTCTAGGATAAGGGATAATCAATACTTTTTGCATATTTTCCACCTAGCTCTTTCTTGAAGATTGTATAATGTAAGTACTCTTGACATGACTAAGTCTCACTAAACCAGGTACGGTCTTGTGTGAAAACTCTCACATTCATATTGTTTACTAGATTCACATCAACTCTCAAGTAGCCATGATCATGAGGCTGAGCCAAGCTCCAAATCATTGCATGACTCATCCTCTTCCTCAAATGACGAAGAAAACCTGCCATCACCAAAGAAGTTGAAGTTTGATTTTAAGGTGTCCACTGCTATTTCATACATCTGTCAACTTGCCCCACTACCAGGGAAGTTTTTTCCTAAGAAAGCTATTGAGCTTGGTGTGCCAAAAGGTCCATTGTTTGGAGAGTTACAATCGGGAAAAACTGTCACATTACAAGATGGACGTCAGGTGGGTTTAGTATTGCTAGTAAGCAGGACCATGTAAGTCCGCTACTGCCTTGAGAATGAGTGTTGTAAAAATTAAAGCAAGAAAGTCACCATGGTAGAAAACTGTTATCCTGCACTTAAACAACTTTTAGAAAAGTTGTAGAGAGCCATGCTCTCTGAACCTATGAAATCAAGGGTGCCAAATACCTATGATTTGTTCAAAACTAAGTTTCCCTTCTTATTACAAGGCAAAAGAACTTTACCATGCACCACCTGTCTACATTGGAAAACAGCCATGTTTAAGGTGACCAGATTTTACCTGTTCATAAACTAAAACGTCTTAAAGCATGTAGGTATCTGATTCAAAGAAAGTTCAATGTGATGTTATGACTGAACTTATACATGTATTTTGGTTGGTACAATACTCTCCAGATCCAACCAGAGCAAGTGATGGAAGCAAACCAACCGGGGCCATTGTTTATGATTATTGAGTGTCCCACAGTAGATTACATTCCATCTCTGGTGACCAACAAACAGCTAAACCAGCTCTGGGAGGAAAACTCACATGTTACGCCTGCCGTGATTGTCCACTTGACGCCAATGATAGTTTTTGAGAATGAAGAGTACAAGCAGTGGAGAGAGAGGCAAGTTAACTCTTAAGGTCCCAAGAGTGACCAACATCAATTTTCTCCTAACAACATCAGCAGATCATCAAGAGAAAAGGTTATGAGAATTACTAAATTGATTGTCAAAGGGAGACTGCTTTGATCTTAAACCAGATTCTCTCAACTATTCTTAAAAGAAATGTATGCAGATCAGTGTGGAGAATTTGTATGTGGATCTTGGGGCTTATTAAAAGGGTTTACTTAAGATGTTTTTAGTCAATAAGCTAGTGGCACTCATCTCTCACCTCAGAAACTGTGGTGTGGATTAGATTCTCAGGCAGGATGTTCATTTTATTATTTGAGTTGATTTTTTTCTTGGTTGTTGGTCATACACTGAGTTTTGTATCTAGGTTCTTTTGTACCTCTCCACCCCCTCCCCCCTCAACAAACCAGGGTTCCTATTTCCAGCTCAATTGAGGACTTGAGTACCACAGAACAGTAAATGCTTATTGGTCAAAAGATCTCTATTCTTTCTTATTCTGTGCTAATTGTATGTATTTATTTACTCTTGGGGGGTGATAGGGGTGTTGTTGTCTCAGTGGCCCTTTGTCGTTTCACATAGGAAAACGTTTTGAAGGTCATATGCCTCAAGTTTTGACCTCCAGTTTGAGATTAAATTGATCATTTAAGTTTGCATAATTTTGTGTCACCCACTTGCCAAAATGTAATGGTCTCATTGAACCATGTCCACCCCTTACAGCATTACTAGTGGTATAAGAGGTGGCTACCCTGTCATTTGGAATCATCTGCTTGTGTATTTGTAAACCAGCTAAGAAACTTTCTGTTTGTTTTCCAGGTTTGGAGATACTGTGTCGCATTTGTTAATTAACAAAGACGTGTGTGCAACACCCTTGATCTTTCAGTCTCAAGCAACAGTTCAGTGCAAGCTACATTGCATTGATCCAGAGATTTTTCCTTTACTGGAAACCAATAATATCCCTGTGAGTAGTCATGGATTTATTAAGTTTTAATGATATAAATATTGTTGCTCCTTTAAAATCTGCCTTATAAAAGAGATGTCCTGAAGTCTTATCATTTGTCAGCACTAGACTATAGAAAGGTCAGGGGGTTTATTGCTCACAGTGAAAACGGTAAAGCAGTCCTGACAAGTGTTTAAACAAATTAAAAATCAAGTTATTGATGATATTAATAATTAAAAAATCAAAAATTTTAATTCATTGTTTTGGTAAACCAATTATTTAGCCACTGTGGCATCATGTGAAAATTATCTATTACAAAATATGTTTCTTTCTCGTTCATGGCATTTTAAATGCAAAAGTCTAAGTTCCCAATCTAACACTTGTGCACTCAATGGGTGTGGAAGTTCGACAGCTTGGTTTCTAAAGTGTGTATAATCACTCAACACTCCTCCTTATTTCCTTATGGTATGCTTATGGTATGGTATGCTTCAGAAATAATCATTGAAATATGTTGTTGACATGATTATTACAAAATGTTGCTGTCAAATAAAGAGCTAATGAGTGGAGTAGTCTTGATTTCAAGACAGACTTCTTACTTCTTAATAGCACTCTTTTCTAACAAACCCTTAAAGTTTTTGCGTAAAATACGATTGTTGCTGTTTTCTACAGGATGTCACAGCTTTACCAAAGAACTGTGTTTCTGGAGAAACTTTCTTGCAGTTTCATCTACGACCACTAAAACAGCAAGGGTTTGATAAAACAAACATACCACAAAAATTGAACATTGACTCTACTTTACAAGAAACTCAAACTCTCTTGGCTGGCAGTTTAAACACAATAAGTGTCCCAAGCTTTCAACTAAAACACTATGACAGAACAGAACTAGCCACCTCACTTGCCTTAGTGAGGTCTATTTCAACAAGCAGTTCATCTGGATCACAAGACTTAATTACTGATCTAGGAACAACAAAGACGATTAAAAACTGTGTAAGAGATGCCTTAGAGGCAGTTGGGACAAAAGTGAAGTCTTTGGCAGGGTCAGTGGAAAGGAAAGCGCAACAGTTCTTTTCCAATCATGAAAACTATGAAGTTGTTTTCCTTGGGACTGGTGCCTCTATTCCTTCTAAGTACAGAAATGTTAGCTCAACACTTATCAACATGAGGTAGGAATCCGGGTTTTTGACAGTTTTTTAAAGTAGCGGACATGTATATCTGAAAGCACTGGACTCAAAATTTTGTGGGTGCTGCAAGGCACCTTATGAGCACCAAAGGTGTGAGCTACCTGGTGGGGTCTGGGGACATGTTCCCCCAGGAAATTTTTAAAATAGAACACTCTGAAAAGCTGTTTCCAGTGTTTCTGTAACCCATAATAAAGAGTCAGTTTGCCAGGCAAGGCTCACTCAAATTATCTTTAAAAAGCCAAGTTTTTCGTGAAATTGGACAGTAAGTTGGTCATGTTACGGGGAGGGGAGAATGGCAGTAAGTTTATGAGTTGCTTAAGTAAAAAAAATTATGATAATAAAAATATAAATAAAAAACCTTCAAATATTGGCATCAAAGTACCAGACATAGAATGGCAAACAACCGGACGAAACATCCGGCCTGTAGCCTCAATCGAAAACCCTGAGGAATATAATAAAATCAGAGAGTTTGGGTGTAGAAGAGGGTATCATTTTCCAGGAAACTGATCATCATTGGTTGAAAATTTTAGTCTAGACTAGGGGAACTAAGAAATTGTTGACAATTGGCAAATTATAAGTTGCAAGTTTAAAACCAAGGAAGCATTTATCTCAGTAGTTTCTGGAAAATAGTGAACCTCTAGGATAGGGAGTGAATTTTGGAATTAAGTATTACATAAGGACTGGCAACATTTAGCTGAACTGTAACTCTGGTAGAGGCTAATTAGCTTTCAAAGGTCCTTACAGCACATCCCCATCCAAAAATTCCTTAATTCCTGAAGAGCTCCCTGTTGGAAATATTTAACATCAATCCTTCCCAATTTTGTAACAGTCGGAATTTTGTTTGGTTTTATGTACATGTTCTCAGCGATCAAGGTTCAATTCTATTAGACTGTGGTGAAGGAACATATGGACAGCTATATCGGCATTATGGAAAATGTTTGGATCGGGTTCTTTCACAGGTCAAGTGTGTGTTCATATCACATATTCACGCAGATCATCACTTGGTATGACAGAAGAATTCTTGATTATTATTTTATAATCATGGTAATTGAACTGAGTGGAGTGCAGTTTGGTCTGAAATCATACCCATGATTTTAAAATTGTGCGAGTTCGATTTGAAATCACAAGTATGATTTCAGACCAAAATTGCACGACACAAAGTTCAATTACCACTTTATTACAGCCATTTTGAATTCTCAGAATTCAGTCAGTACCAATATTTATTTCGCCAAGTAGCCGGCTGCAGCAAAGTGGGTAATACAGATGCAGAGTGGGTAAGACATTCCATCATGCTTACCTGGGCAACCAAAATGATAAATAAAACAAATGTGGATGTATTCATAGAATTCAGAATTTGTTTCATCTTTTCTGCTCATGGAGTCAGCCTTACAAGAAATAACTGTTTCTGTTAGACTAGGTAATCAGAGTTATGTGATCAGTTGATCTGATGCAAAATTTACTAATTAATCATTAATGCCAGCCATGTCACCAACAGCCCTAAATTCAGGGCAATACCCACTAGGACAATCATGTTCAACCTGCTTATAATTAATATGTATTACTAAATAATGTCTGCTTGAAATATTCCTTATCTTCCTGTTATGGTAACTGGTATTTTTTTTTATGATTTAGGGTTTGATACGGATCCTACAAAAAAGAGACACTTTGGTGAGTATATTCCTGTGATATAGAGTCATCTAATGAGCCTGAAGAGTTAAAGGGTTATTTATTTCCAGGCCTCAGAAAGAGTTGAAGGAGTGCCTATTTACAGCTGTGTTATTGAACTGCAGTTTTAATCAGCAGGAAAATATCCCTACCCCCCCCCCCCCCCCCCCACTCTCAGATGGTTCATTGGCTTACAAGTCATATTCCCCTACCCTTCTGGAAATTTTTTTATATCTGTAAATTTTATATTGCTCAAATGATATTACCTCATTGGCGCTTAAATTGGTGGATCTTTCATCTCGTGTTTTTCACTATTGTAAACAAATCGTAAAATTTAATGCCCTTCTTTTATATTTTCCTATTTACAATGTATATTGGTAAAATATCCATAAGATCCATTGTTTTGAAAACACTTACATTGCTCAACTCAATCTTTACCAGGGGAAAGAGGTTAGTTGTGATCCTCTGCTGGTGATTGGTCCTGATAAGATAGGACAATGGTTGACAGAGTATAACACAATGTGTGAAGACATCAATTACAGGTATCATGACAGCCTTTTAATCCTTTCATTCCAAAGAGCAGTGAAAATAAAATTAATGTAGTAAATGGCCCCTTTAAGTAAAAGTGCACCGCCCCTCTTAACTCAGACAATAATAGTGCCCTGCGATTAATTCGATTATTCATTTATAATAGTTTAAGATAATAATACTTTTTGTCCACAGACTTAACATGAAAACAATCGGTGATTACATTGTTGGGTACTTCACAGAACAAAACAGTCTGCACTTCTCACCGTCTCTCCTCCATGGGTTATGTGTTGTTTCTTACAGGTAGCTTGTACAGTGGCACAAAATTGCTTGGATGGGGTGGAGGAGGGATCAATTTCCATAATTTGAAGTTGGCAAAATGTTAAAAAGGGCCTTTAAAGCAGTGTCTCTACCAATTTTGTTGGTGATTGTAGATCTGTTTTAGGTCCTGTTTACATGAAGGTGGGGGACCCCAGGTAGGTTAGGTAACCCGCCTAGGTGGGGTAACCAGCTTGTCCATATAACCTCTCATTTTAATTTGATCATGTTTACATTATAGGCGGGGTGACCCGCCACATGTTGCCTCACCTATCTGGGGTCCCCCACCTCCGTGTAAACCGGCCCTTCAAGATTTCTCCAGACATATAAAATTGACTCTAGGATTAAGGTGTTCGTCAATCAAACTATTAAGATCACAGACACGTTTAATTATTTAATACAACTCTGGGAGAGAAGGACAGTTCTTTGTAATAACTGAGCCCTAAATTAAGCCTTGCTGGACTCTTTTTGTCATGAATAATTTTGAATTTATTTATTTGTTTAACAGGTTTGTGGACAGTAGTGATTTGGTTGTACACAGAGATGGAGATCACTTGAATGTTCTTGGTCATCTTCAAGCAGAAGAGGTAAGTTTTAAAAATAGCAGCAGTTGAACTGCTATAGGGATAACCTCATGATTCTCCTTCAGGTGCCGTGATGGCTTCCTGTAAACAGTGTATACCGGTAATATGGATATATAAGAGTCAAGATCTTTAGCCAGCTAGACTGGTCAAATAGCAGAATTTCCAAGTATGAGCCCACTGAAGCAAAGAAAAAGATTAGAACAAATAAAATTAATAGTAATTTTTGGTCATGATCTTATTAGGTTTTGACAGTTCCTGTAGATCACTGTCCTGAATCCTATGGGTTGGTACTAAAGCACCAACATGGGTGGAAGGTTGTATACTCTGGTGACACTAGACCCTCCCCCGCTTTGATTGAGGCTGGTAAGTCATTCTCTCTAGTTCAAATTTAATTAGTATACCATAAAATTCTGAAAATAAGCCACGGGGCTTATATTTTTCATTAAAGGCCCTTTTTGAGGGTCTTATATTCGGAGGGGCTTATGTTTGAGGGAAATTTGGGTTTCAAAATCGATTGAGCCAGCCTTATAGTTGGACGGACATTTACCGTGTTTGCTGTGTTTTACTTTGTACAAGCCCCCAGGAGGCCTATATTTGGAGGGGCGATTTAACTGAGGGTTTTTTTGCGTTACGAGTTTGGGGGGCTTATATTAATTTTTGGAGTGGCTTATTTTCGAAATTTTATGGTGTACAATAGTCAGTCATGTAACAAGACCAGTTCTTTGTTGGTCTGCAGTAGGTGCAAATTCTAAAGTAGCACTTCAGTCTGAAACCATACTTATTGGAAATGCATGGTCATTCAGCTCAGTTATTTCAAGTTAGTCTACCACGGCCAAATTAGCTCAGTTGGTAGAGCACCTGCCTGCAGATTGGGAGGTTGCCAGGTTGCACCCCAGGTCCAGACTGTCTTTGCCCTGCAAATGGGTTAACCTTCCGGTGGCTTGAATGAAGACATAAAATGGTGGTCCCTGTAAGAGATGTAAAAATGTTGTTCAGCTTCTCAATTTGTATTTTTTGACTTGAATTCAAGAGAATGAACTTGGTTTCTTTGCGACAGGTCTCAGCTTGATGCACTTGCAGCCATTAATTGGACCATTAAGTTACTCCTTTCCACTAGTAATCTATTAAGTAGAAAGGCCTATTGACTGTAGAGGGATCCTTTGTAGACTAGGGTGTGTATAGCTTAAATTCCACCATTTACTCTAGCCACACACTCCTGAGAGAAGACCAAGGTATAGAGGAGATAGGGACCTGCTTTATGATCTTGAAATGTGTCTTTCTCATGGCATGTCAGTTCTCTTCTGTCCTGTTCTGTTCATAAAAAAAAAGGTTTAGTTCTGTTTATGCTGGTGCATTTAATAATAATTATTACTGTTTCAAAAACAGGTAATGGGGCAGATCTTCTCATTCATGAAGCTACTTTGGAAGACGAACTCAAAGCTGAAGCTCTGGCCAAAAAGCACAGGTTTTGTAAAAAAGAATAACGATTATCTTACTGTCTTTATAATTGCTTGTCTTCCAAGCTAATTTGTGATGAAGAGTGATTCTACATGCAATTTTGTTAAGTGTTTCCGGGGATAAAGCAATGTTTGTGGACTTACACTGTTTACTGTACTGTAACAATTCAGAATATTTATGTTGGCCCTCTAGTGACAACAAAAAAGGCATGGGTCATATGGTATCTCTAAAACTGCGGTGTTGTACATTCTTGTCATGGTGCAACTCTCACACAAAGCGAGTAACCTTTGGGGGGAGGGTGCTGCCATATGTTGGTATGTGCCACTCTGAAGGGTACGGTTTTCAAGAAGTTCAGTCTGGGATAGGGTATAGAAATTATAAAGTTTGGGTCGAGAATAGGCTACAATTTTCCAGAAAATTCATCAACTGGTTAAGGATGTCAGTTTAGACTAGACAAATTGACACTTGCCAAAATGGAATCTCAATTTCAAATTTACGCACAACTTAGTTTAATAGCAAAAAAAAGCATCAATAGGTGGCATATACCAACTCTAGGATAGGGAGGGACTTTGGAGGTTTAGTCTAGTATTGGGTAGCAAAATTCAAAATTTAGCTGAACTAGGTCTTGTATAGGCTAAGGGTTCCAGGATCCCAGTGGCACGTCACACCCCAAAATTCCTCAAGTTCCTTCCCAGGAAGCAACCAAACCCCATTACCAATCCCATTGCCAGTGGCAGCTCATGTTAGATTGTACTGTTTTAAAAAATTGACAGCATTACAGATGAAGTTTTATCCCCACGGAAAAAGATGTAGCTTATCATGAGCATTTCCTTTTCATTTCAGTACAACAACTGAGGCAATTGAAAGTGGAATGAAGATGGAGGCAAAGTTTATCATGTTAAATCACTTCAGCCAGCGCTATCCCAAGATTCCCATCTTCAGTGAGCAGTTTACAAAGTACACTGGGATCGCATTTGACCACATGAAGGTAAATAAATTGCCGATAATACCTCTACGTGTTTCTAAGGCCACATGCTCAGGTCTCACCTGAAATTTAGCCTGCGTACCCCTCGCACGCACCTGTTCTCTCTTTCACCCACTACTTCCAAGCGCCTGCTAAGCAGGCTACCTGAAATTTTGCTGTTAGCACACATGGGCCGATTTAAGGATGGGCCGAGGGGGCCACGGCGACCCCTTTTCCTTTGAAACTTTGTATTACTTTTATAGAATTCCACCTCAGAAAAATAAAAAGTATCTAGAATAGAGCTGTTAATTATCCAGGCCACCCATTTCTGAATTTTCTGGATCCGCGACTGGCATATTTTGATCATATTGGTCTGAAATTATATTATTTGCATGTACATTCTATGTTTACCTTTCTTAAATTTCCTGCTGGTTTACTTTGTATTGCAGAATTAACTTTTTTCACAAAATTATGTGAGAGTTCTGACCCTTCTGTTTCCAATATTAACATTGTGCAACAGACAGGAAATACTGACACTAAAGTTTAAACTAAATAACTTATTATTGCAATATTGCAGATTAACTCAAGTAATTTGTCAAGGATTCCTCAACTTTTGGGGCCACTTCAAACTGTGTTTGCAGAGGAAATTGATGAAATGAGCAAAAGCAAGTGACAAGAGACTCTGAGGCAAAAAAATAAGAATATCATTCTTGTTTTTATTAGTATTTACAATATGTATAAACTGTTTTCTCTTCAGAAAAGTACAAAGCTATTTGCAGATGAACAATACATGTTTTCTCTTTAATAAAAAAGTTATTCTTATAACTTATTTGCTCAGGTATGTGTTATAAGCTGCTTGTGTCCCTAATTATTTGCATCTTATTGTTCAACATGTTATTGATATAATTATTTTTATAAAATCAAATAAGAAGGGATGCACAGCAGTGTCAGTATTATCTTACATCACTTGGTTTACACCTCAACTACACAAAATAAAAACCTTACATGCAGCCACCTTGCTACAAACTGTCTTCATAATACAGGGCTGCCATTAAGAGTCGGGGGCTGGGGATTTCCCCGGCTGCTTTCATAGAGAAATAGAGATGAAAAATAGAACCAAAAGAAATCCCTAGCTGTTTGATTCCCCGCCTACTTGTTTTATTTACCTGGCAACCTGAAATCTTTGTGACAGCCCTGTAATATATAAACTTAAAAGATCTTTTATGCTTGACATCAGATAACTCTTACCAAAAACATAACGGAGACATCAAAATTAATGCAAAATAACAAAATGCATTACCAAATGTAAACCCTTCCTGGCAAAAAAATTCTGACTTGCAGAATTTTTTGCTGAGGCCAGCCCTCAGGATGGTTACACTGACTGAAAAATATTTTCAATACATAGAGTTCTGCAAACAAAATCTAATAAGCAGCCAGCTGCTTTGATAAAATAAAATAATATAAGGAAATGTTACAAAACAATATCAATGAGAGTTGGAAATGTATGACGTGTGTCTCCAAAAAATTATATTATAAAAAATTTTGGTCATTGTACTCTGAAAGGGAAATCTGCAAGCCACTAAAAATTTCATGAAATAGCAACGACTAAATACTGAACAACGAAATTAACAGTTTGCCATTGCTGCATTGTGATTTTTAAAATTTATAAAACTACTACAACAAAATTGGTTACATGTACAATGAGCCCTGTTCATGGATCTAAGTCAATCAACTACATGTAACAGTGTACATGTATATGAAGTAAACAGTAGTACTGACATTAAAACACCTCTGCCCTGATTACTTTACATGACTGACTTGAACATTGTACATCAACCCATCTCAACTGCAAGACAGCATTGTCTTGCTACAGAATTGAGTCCAATTTTGCACAGTGCAGATGAAATATTACTCAGATTGCATCTATCTGGATAAAGATCGCGCCATGCTACCAACACTTGGTATGCCATCTCCTGCACACCATCCTTGCTGCAGTCATTCTCGATTTCCTTAATCTTGCTCTCACCAACACCCAACACACGGCCAAGTTGTCGCCATTTGCTATTTCCAACAAGTTTCTGTGCAAGATCTTGAAACTTCTCTTCCCAGTTTATGGATTCTTGAAGTCTTCGTTTTCTTGCATTCTTTTTTACACAGGGGCATATCTTTGGTTCCATTTCTATTATTAATGATGAAATTTACTTCAGGTTGTTTAATATAGTATTATGTTATTATTTTATGCTTTCCAAATGCCTTCGCACTATAAAAGAACTTAAAAACCCTTAATATGTAATTCAACAGAAAAGGAAAAGAACTGAGAACAAACTGACATAATTCAACAGTATAGTGTAACTCATGGTTAGTTTTTATAATGATACTTCATGCTCAAATACAGCTGTATGTGTTGGGTAGTGTGTCTAATATTATGGACAACACAGTTTAGCAACAAAGTCAAAGTCACCATTATTTTATGGTTTGTGGAGAAAAGCCCTACACGTTGGTCAATATTGAAAGACTGCTAGATCGTCCTTCTAAATTGCCTGACATTTCTTAAGAAACACAACAAGGATTTAATAGTATATCAAGAGTCACTTAGAGCCTTGTTCCATGCACCCTTTATTTATTTATTAACTTTATTCCTCAGTCATCATCTCACCAGATCTCTCTTCATCCATCACTCTTGCCATCTCAGTTCTATTTGACATGTGTCGTTTAATCAGGCTGCCAGGTGAGCCAGTTTTGAAAAGAGCTGAGATGAACTTATGTACTGTCCCTCCACGTCGTTTGTAGTGAGCCATAACAGCTGCCATAGGATTGTCACAACCACTGAAGTTGCTTATTTCTTTTGGAGTGTAACCCACATTCTCTGCAACTTCTTGCCAGACCTCATCCCCCATGTCTTTCTCAGCCTTAATACTCAACAATTCTAGAATTAAGACAATCAGTCTGTCAGTTAATACAAGTCTGCATTTTGACGTAAAGAACTGAATTTTAAAGCCAAGGACACCTAGGGAAGAAAGACTGAACTCTTAAATAATACGTGATTCCACGTTTTTTTCAACTTTTGATATGTACCAGTTAAGGAAAATCGGTTGAGACCACTGGAAATTAGTCAAATTGCCAAGTTTAAAAACGATACTTCTTAAATGTACGAAGATACAGCTTTGCAAAGTTGCAAAAATTTACTGACATTTGGTTAGTAGGGGGCAAGTTTGTACCCCCCACCATACAAATGTCTAAAATTTCGAAACTTTGCTGAACAAAATCTTTGATAGTTTTCTACAAGTCAAGTCACCTTCAAACTTGGCAATTTTAGTAATTTAAAGGCACTCATTCCAGTGCAGTTGACAGATTTTCCCTAACTTGTCCAGTTAAAAAAACTGTTGAAAGGTCTATTGTATAGTGGCAGTGCCTGTGATGAATTTTCCCTACAATAAAGCACACAAACAAAGCACTAGGTATTCATTAGCTACAGTGAAGTTAAGCTGTATCATGCATTTGCCGTTATCACACCAGTTTCTCTTACTTACCTGTAAGTGCTTTAGTTAGCTGTACTTCCCAGTCCGAGGACCAGTCTGTTGCTTCAGTATCACGAGGCTAAAATAAAATGTGTGTAAATAAATTAGAAATGAGACTCACTAACAGGCACCCATAACTTAGAGCCAAGAAGTATAAGTCTATGACAGAGAAAGCAATGGACAAAGAATAAAACCAAATTCTATGCTAGCCCTGATAACAATGAAAAGAGCTTTCTAGTTGCAAGATTCTATAATTTGGTGACAGAAATAGTGAAACTTGTACCTTCCTGTACAAATGAGGGTCAAATCTCAAGTGAGAAACCTCAAGTACATGTATATAAAACAAGAAACACTCCAGGGCCCAGTTGTTCGAAGGCCGATTAGCCCTTAACCCGGGTTTCTTTTTCTTATGTTCAAAACCGTTTTCTCGGATAATTTTCTCTGTAATTTTTAGAACTTCTAATCATCAACTTGTAGACAAAAAGAATTAAAACTGAAATGCTGTTTAAGCTTTCAAATCTGAATTTAAATCTCGCACTAACCCTGGGTTATCTTAACCCAGCTTTGAACAACTCGGTCCAGGTGTTTATGTTTATCCATGTAGAAAAGCTAAAAACAAAATGCATCTTGGTGAAACAGATATGTTCCTTGTGCAGATCATCAAATGGAAAATATCAGTGATCTTCACTGCCAAGCCAATGCATTTGTTCATACAGGAAACTACTGTATGATCACTATCATGGTTACTTTTCCATTGGGCAATTCTATAGCCCTAGAAAACAGCCTACATTTCCTGAGCCCACCACTGGTTTCCCTAGGGGAGTGTTAACATGACGCTGGGGCGACTTTTGCACCGGCGTGAGTTCACTCCAGTTCCCTCTCGTGGCTCTGTATTTGTTTACATGATACCACCACAAAATGTCAGCCGGTGCAAGTCACACCGAGGTGAGTTCACCCCAGTTCTACCAGAGCGAGGATTTCACTCCAGTATGCAATGTTGTAGCGGTAACATGTAAAGGCGAAATGATGACTCTGCTGGTGTGAAATCAGTCTGCCGGTAGACTGGAACGGGTAGCACATGCGTAGTATTTGCCAATCTGAATGGCATGTGTATTTTATCAACATGAAGTGTACCTTCATACAAACACGATATGAAGTGACTCAGTCATGTAAACATGATACAAAATCAAGAAGTCATTGCGGTATGAAACTTGCCAGTGCAAGTTTTCGCATGTAAACTTCCCCTAAGAAATGATATCTAAGAACCAGTACAGAAATTCCATAACAATGAGCGTCACTTTCCAGATCTGGGTAATGCTTCTGATTGGATGATGCAAATTTTCAATTAATCAGAAGCACTACCTCGATCTGCATAGAGATGCATTTATATTATGGAATTTCTGCACCCATACCTCAAATGTCATTTTGCAAGGAAACCCGTGATGGCATCAGGAAATGTCAGCCGTTTCCTTGGGCTAGCAAATCTATACACAGCTTTTTTTATCAATTGTGAGAAAACTTGTGGCCCTAAGCTTATTTATTGAACAATAATTTTTGTTACTTAGTAGACATACCTTATTTAAAAGAAAGGAAAGAACAGGTTTGTTTTCACCATACTGTGATGGCTGCTCTACAATGACGCTTCCAAAGTTACCATGATCAGGAGGTTCGCCAGTAAATTTACATCCAAACTGCATCACAAATGGTCGACCAGTGAAGTTCTCTACTGCCACAAGTTCCTTTACCCCTACTGAGGGGTCTGCTTTAAAATGATGTGATTCAAGTCTGAAGGAAATAAACAGTGAACAGTAAGTTTTCAAATGTCAAACTATATGTACATAATTATCTTGACCCTTCAGTTCAATGAAGTAAACATGTATCAGCTGAAGAAGGAAAACAAATTAAAGGTTGAAAATAACCCTTTCCATGCTTATTCAATACTACAAGAGGAGATGCATGCCTTTGTAAACTAGCTTTTGTTTTGTATGCAAGAAATTGGCTCATGAAATAAATGCTAGGATTTGGACCATATTTGACTCCAGTGAATGCTAACCTTAAATAAGCACCTACTCTGAATAAATGCCACACCCTTCACTAACAACGAGGTACTTATTGACTTCTACTGTTTCTTGACATTGCTAATGCTGTTTAGTATTGTTCTTAAACTATGTATTGTTATTTATTTGAATCTGGTAGTTTGTGACAAAGACTTTAAAAACTAACTTTCAACACATTCTTAAAACAAAGAAAGGAGAAGACTACATGTACATGTCTTTGTACACCTAATTGCAAACTTAAAACATGCTGTACCAAGAATTAACCCTTTAAGTACCAATAGTGACCAACAGCAATTTTCTCCTAACAATATCCATACACTGTCAAGAGATAAAGTTATGAGAATTAAAAAAATGATCACCATAGAGAAAATGCTTTGATCTTTTATCAAATTCTCTCAACTAATTGTTAAAGGAGATGTATGGAGATCAGTTTGGAGAATTTGTATGTGGATATTGGGCCTTAAAGGGTTAAAAAAAATTATTGTGTGCCTAACGAAAATCTTTTCAGTAATACAGGGATTTTATGGTATAGTAACAAATACAAGTATTCTGCTTAGTTACCTAATTTTTAACTTTCCAGTGCTTAACATCTTTGGTGCAATGCACTTGCCCACAAGAAGAGGAAAGTTCCCAATTCCCTCTAGAGGCTTTCCAAATCTGTAGCACACTACACAGATTCCAAACCTTCCTCCAATGCTGCTGATTTCTGACATCAATGCTTGAAAGGACACATTAAAGTGAAACAAGGGTATAAGGCTGGAGACACCAAGCTTTGCTTCCCACAGGACTGAATCAATGATGTCCCATAAAACTCTGAAGTATGAGAAATGCTCCACAGAGAAATATACTGAGCAAAGATTATCATTGTCATTATCAATGTGCATAAAGTTAGGCTGGAATTGCTCCCAGGTAAGTTCTTCACCTTCCACAGTGGAGCTACACCAGAAAGTAAGCTGTCTGTCTCCATACCTCTCTTGAATTTCCTTGCCATCTGGTAATGGCAAACGAACAGTCACAAAATCGTATGTGTCAGGATTGAAGACACAGCCATGAGGACCCAACTTGACAACAGGTGCAGCAAGAGCAAGTGCATCTGCATCTGAATGATCCACATTATAAGGCTCATCTGCATAAAGGACCTTGATGGAGGCTTCAATGTCATAAAGCAGTGATGTTTCTGGAAAAAGAACTTCCACGCCAGGAACTTCAGAAACATAAAGACAACCACCAACTCCAGCCCTGATAGTCTTGCGAGCCTCAGGGTAGCCTTTTGAAACAACAACAGCAAAGAGACTGAAGTGGTAGGCTTTGATCTCCACATGCGAAGCAAACACATTGTAGTCCTCAGGGCTCATTCTATCCCATTTTACCCTTTGTCCAACACCTGTGTCACTGCAAAGACATATCACATGATCGTTCTTTCCCACTCTGACGTCATAAGGTAGGCTTATAATAGCGGGATCACCTTCATAAAATCTTGCTCCATGTGGTTCCATCTCAATTACTTCACTTGCAACAACTTGAAGATGACCAAGCTTAGGATGGAGTGACACATCCTCCACAACATCAAGAGTGAATTCACACTGAAGATACCCAGACAGGTTTTCCTCAGGAATGATGACACAGATGTCTCCAAGAGTTATGTGTCGACGCCTGTCAGGGAGTGACTCCACCTCTGAATCAACATCATAATGATCATCAGAGATATCACTCAAGCATGAACTGTTGTCATCACTCGAGAGGTTTCTTATTCTTAAAGCTTCATTGTTGTTTACAGCATCATCTGATATTGACTGATAACTCAAGAATGAATCTTTTCTGAGTAAAGGCGAGTGCATTGCCATGTCAGCACTTTCTGTAAAAGATGAGCATGTTCCATACTCACTAGTTGTCATACACCTATGTCTTTTCCCAAGGTTCTCTAAATCAAGACTAAAATCTAACTTCCTCCTTGAGAATAAAACCTTTTCAGGTTGATGCTGGTTTTTCTTTTGTTGAAGATAGTCAATGTTAAGCTTTCTTATCTCTTGCCTCAGCAGGATCTTTTCTTTTTGCTCTTTTATGAGGTTCAGTTGATTGAGCTGTGATGCCATTAATCCTGACACTGTGTGTTGGTGCTGGTCTGAGTATCCTGGGCCGAGTGGGCTCTCAGAGGGTGGCACAGCTGGATTGAATAGATCATTTGACAAACATTTAGAAATACTTGCAGGAGGTACCTCGTTAGGCAAGCTTTTGGATTCTGTGACTGGGTGATATGGCAATAAATCCTGATCACAATCGCAGCTGTGTGGATGCCTTGTGCGGAGTTTCACTTTACAAGAGGGCAAACTTTTTCTTGTAGGAGAGAGCAAAAGGTGGTAATTCAAGTCTGCACCTTCGCTTTCAACTGTCATTATGGTCTTTATTCTAAAGTACTTGCGCATTTTCTCAATTCCATGTATATACACTTCTCTAGGAATATTCTCTACCAGATTATAGAGGATATAGAGGTGGCGAAGATGTGGCAAGGATAGCAACCACGGTGGAATAATCTCAATAACGTTACCAGAAAAATTGAGCCATTCTAGTAAAGGAAGATGTGAGAGGCAGAAGGGAATCTCCTGAAAACCATTGTGCACCAGGCTAAGCTTCTTTAGTGTAGACAATTTGCCAAAATCTCTGGGCAATGTTTTCAGATCATTTTTTCCTAAATAAAGTTCTTCCAAGCAAACCAGGTAGCAGATTTCTCTTGGTATTGACTGAAGGCCATTATAACTTAGCTCTAGGACTCTCAAGTTGAGTATGAGAGGCTTGGTCAAAACCTCTTGAGGTACACTTGTGATGTTCTGCCCGCGAAGATCTAAGAAGCTTTGGCATGACTTGCTGGCCCTTTCCAATACCTTATCCTTTTCCTTGTGCCCAAAACGACTTCTCATTTTCCCTCCATGGTGGGAAAAGCATCACCTACAATAATAAAATAAGACACCATAAAAAATTACAGGAGATTCTCTTCCTCCCTTTGTATGAGAACTTGAGAAAAGAGTGTGTTCACATTAGTGAAGCCTTCTGAGATGGGTAGCCTTGTTGCTTTATTCTCTGGACAAATGTCTGCTGACTAGCAGCTGTACATGTTGCTGGCGATTTTTTCTGTTTCAAACACGACACCCATTATGGCTGATTTTCCTATAATATCCCAAATGCTCTAAAAACCTAAATAGCCATAACATGACCAAAACAGACTGAATTAAAAATGGTGGTAAAAGGTTGTTTATTTGAGTTTGAGTTTTTTTTTTAAATTTATTGTGTAAACTGCATGCATTGCTTAACTTCACAGTCTGATTTTAGCATTTACAGTATCAGTCCCACTTGTCAGACCACCTGTTGCATTCTCTAGAAGACCGCAGAATAAGTGCACAGCAAGAATCACGCTAGGCAACTTGGACGACGAGTAAGACTGCAGCTTTACTAGGTGTGTTAGTGAAGTTTAAAGAAAGGCTCTCCATTTATATTGGTACCGCCGATCAACAAAGTATTAAACGAGACACGAAAACGTCAGCCCAAAAGTCAAAACAAACTCAGTGGGTCAGTCAGTGGTAAACAAGGATGATATTATTGATCGATCAAGCGTACGTGATTGAAAGAGAAGCCTTGATCCACCTTAAGAACAGCTGATTTTCACAGAAAACAATAGATTCAAATATAAATGAAACTCTATTTATGAAAAAAAGACGTTACTTACTAGTAAGTAACAGTACAATTAAGTTAAACTCTTGTCCCTGAGAGATCTCGAGTGACTTGTTTATAAGTGAAGTTTAGGAGACAATTTTTGTAAACAGTTTTTCTATAAGTTCTGCTTCTCCATAGATCTCTATTACGAGCTACTTTGAAAGTGTGTGTTTCATTTACGATTGGTTCGTAAGAGGACGAAGAATAAGTACCTGCACTCTTTCATCATGAACTTTTTTTCACCTCTTTCTTTCCACACCGTGTAAACAGCAGCCATGTGAACGCTCCACTAAACACTGACTGCCAAGCCTAGGCACGCGCATGACAAACAATATTGGCGCTTTGTTGTTATGGAGACGCTATTGTCGACGCTCAGCAGGCCGTTTCTGACAACACGTGGTCGTGTGTCAACAGAAAAGTGTCAAACTTTATACAAGAAAAGAAGTCACTTAAAACTATAAAATTATTTTCGCTTGCCATACAAGCTGCAGAATTTATGATTCTTCAAAACGTCATAAATTATACCACTACTCCCCCCCTCTCATTTGAACCGACGTTTATTCGAAAACTTGTGGTCAGGTCACAGTATTAAAATCTCTTACCCATAAAAAAATCTTATTTTTTATTCTATCAGTAACAGTATGGAAAATCCCATTTGAAAGGTTGAATGCCTGATTTTCGTTTGGAACCAATCACATGTCTGTTGCCTCAGCCGAGGTGGGGGGGGTTAAGAAAGTTGTAAACGTGAAGGCTCCGCCCGAAAGTCCCAACCCCTTACCCTGTTATATCATCATCCTCATCATCAATCTTTATTTATACACGAAATCGTATCACTTTTACATGGTCTTTCTAGGAGTCGTGAGTAAAATTATACTAAAGTACTCAAAGAAACTACTTGACTATGTTCCCATGAAATGAAGTTTTGAAAACATATTAAAAAAGGCAGGTTTCTAATCTCTGAGGGAATCTTGTTCCACAGAACAGATCCTCTGTAGTGTGTAGGCTCCCTTTAGCAGACTCAGTTCTGGGTCTGGGGACATAATAATTTAACTCCGAATTTCTAAGATTGTGAGAGTGTACATTTGAGGTGTTGGTAAAGATCCGCCTCAGATATGACGGGGAAAGATCATTATGGATTTTATACATTGTCACAGCCAACTGTTTAAGTCTTACATATTCTAGCCTTTCCCAGCCAAGCTCATCCAACAAAACACTTGAGCGAACCTCATAGTTAGAAAAGGTGAGAATTCTAGCAGCCGTATTCTGCATCTTTTGAAGTTTGTCTGCTAGTCCCTTATTGATATTATATTACATACCAATCTTGACCGAGAAGGTACACCTTTCGTGTACATTCTATTGACAAAAGGTACCCCGTTCACTTACCTGCTGTAAATGCACTGTCTTTAAAAAATTTCCCTGGACTTTTTTCTCGACTTTTTTTACAGCCGAAAAATGCATCTATTAGTCCTACTTTGCGGCCTTTTTAGAGACCAGAATGACAGATTTCCTTACCCTTTCATATACCTGAAGTTTTAAAAAGGTACCCCTTTCGGGCGGAGCCTCCCCGTATAGGCCATTGAAGGGAGTACCCCCCGCCTCCCACCTCACCACCTAGACTCTCTAAAGTTTGCACGCCGATTATGACTCCTGGGTTGTACCACTTTTTCCCAAGACTCGGGTAGATTTTTTCTAGGTCTAGGAAATAAACACTTGCATTAACTATTCGTAGTGAAAACTACAGCTGTAACCACTTGGCTAACGTTTACAAATGTGTAGCCAGTATGTATTCCACGACTTTACAGTGGCTGCTATATCAGTCTCGGGGAACTTTTCAGTTCTGCAAAGTACCAAAGTAAAATTCATGGCCGTTTGTATAATTTTCAGAACTCATACGAATCCTGGCGTGCACCGTTGTAAAAAAATTAGTTTAAGGACAATTTTGGTCTGGAAAGGAAATGAGGAAATACAGCATTTTATGTATACAACAATCAATGTTCAAAATCTTGAGCACAATTTCCACTACTCTGTCAGTAGGAAAACACAATCCAGAAATCGAGAAAAAAAGCGTCATATTTGTTTTCTTAAGATGATCTTTACTGACAATCAAATTATTTCCTATTACATCTTAATAAATTTTCATCCTTGTATTCAATCAGATGTACTTGTGTATTTTCAATTCTTAGACTTTTTGATCGAAGGCCATATTTTAGGTCAACTTTATGGTCAATGGGTTGTCCCTCGTCAATTGAAGATTATTGAAGGCCTGTCCCCCTTCCCGCCCTCTCCAGGTCCTGTTGAATGAATAAATTGCCACGGGTGAGAGGACAACAGATGTGTGTGGAAAAATGGCGCGGTTTTTATATTTTTTCCGCTCGCTACCCAAAACTCAGCGCGTGACTATTCATGTGACAATTATTAGTGCATTGTTTTGAAGAACATAACGACCAATTCACCATATTGCTCTTCAAAATCACGCATTGCGCGCACAAACTACAGATTAGAGTGATTCTACTTAACCCGTGAAATAGATAGTAGACTGCTGCGCTCTGCTATTCACCAATCCTATTGAATTCTTTTGTTTACTTGTGGCTATTTAGCATTGTTTCAAGGGTTGTGCTAATTTCCACAATTAACTGTAAGCTCTTAGCCATCGGGAAGTACAACGTATAAGAATCAACTATAAAAGACTGGGTACGAGTCTTAGCCTGCAGGGCACTTTAGACGGGGTGCCAAATATAAAAAAAGACTGGGCACGAGTCTAAGAATACAGGGTACCCTTGAATAGAAGCGGTAACAAAACGTCCGACAATCATGGCCAAAAAAGGGTTCCAAAGGGCAACAAAAAACAGTTAAAGTTAGCCCTTCAACTACCAATAATAATCGACATCACTTTTCTCCTAGCAATTTCCATAGATAATCAAGAGAGAAGGCTATGAGAAACAATTAGAAAAAGTTCAAGTTTGGAGGCAAATCTAGGGATTGTTTGTGTATAACTGACTTGAAAGGATTAGCAGATTGACTGAACTAATAGCTACTATGATGCTTGTAAAATTTATTAGCCACTTTATGTACATAATTATTATAATATGGGATATATTAGTTACAATAAGCATTTATAATCAAGATCTACTCAAGAACACGATAGATTACATTTGAGGCACGATCAGCACCATTTCAGCTACAACTAAACTTAAAACGTCTTTTTCTAGCGTCTTGAGAAATTCGCATCATGCAGATAATATTTCCTTCTCTCTTCACGAGAATCCAATAGATATTCTTCTCTAAAAGACACGTATGCAGAAAGATACTTTGATTTAGTTTTCAGAAACATTAATAATGCAAACGACAAAAACTGCCATAACCCTTTCTACCCCAAAGTCATCAGATTACGGAGACAAAAAACATGGTTGAAACCCACGGATGAACTAGAAGACAAAACTCTATGGTATGACTACTCACATGAATCCCTCCTCAGCACACTCTCACGTGGTGCCATTTGAATGGTGCAATTTTATGAAGTGAAATTAAGACTTTTCCTTGATTTTAGATTTGTGGCACCTTTGAGGAGAAAAGGATTACGGACGACCAAGAACATAAAAACGAGTTACCGTTGCTTGTTTCGGTTTTAAACATCATGACTTTGTTCCCAGGGCCCTCTTTCTTCCTTCCTCGAGTGAGGAAGAGAAGACCCTGGAAACAGGTTGAAGAATTCCCCACCTATATTGCTAAAGTTTCTCCAAGCTAACTAACCTTTACAAACAGTGAAGGATGACTTAAGCACGGTATAATTATATGTTGTCCACTAAAAAACTCTGTCCATATTTTCACATCTGTCTTATCTGTATACACTATTTTTTATAATATTTATGCCTTATTCACACCGAAGCTCAAGCACTATTACTAATGAAAGCACAAGTCAACGCTTACGCGAATCCTGGTTTAAGTAAAATGTTTTGTTTTGTTGTGAATGAGGCTTGAGACCACACTGTACTTCAAACTAAGTTTTTTAACCATATAACCTTGCAAGAGACATCATCTCAGCAAACTCCACCTCCATTCCAGCACCTCTACAAGGCGAGATGTGGATCTGACGAACTTGAGGCTGTGAACCCACAACTACTGAGGGTTCAATGCTGATGGACAGCTGAAGTGACTGCTTGGCAATCCTTCCTCCGAGCTCACTGAATTCGCCAACAGAACACTGGCAAGTGAAACGTCTGGATGTTAACTCTTTCCAACCAAGCCTTACTACGTTTGTTGTACTGACAAATGACGAAAAGGGCAGAACATTTGACACCAAACACCGTCAGTCATCTTCTACTACAATATAGCCATCTCAGTCTAAGACAAGTAAAGGACTGGTGTAGTTGCACCACACCATGGGATCCTCCAAGCTATTATGGTAATCAAGACATGCAAACATTAACGAGAAACTATTGTCTTGTCTCACCTATTTGCACAGACTTACTAATCACATTGTCAACATCATTTTCAGAATGCTGTTGTTGCCACCAGGATTAAAACTCTGATTTCTACTATCACTTTGTCTCTGTTGCACGTTTTGAGGTGTTTGGAATTTTTGCGCCATACGCGGACTCATATGCACGCCGTTAGTACGACTGACATCGGAGGAATACATGGATTGAGATGGTTGACACACAGGTACGTTTCCCTGATTTGCAAATGGAACGTTGGGATCCACAAACAAGCTTGGAGTTAAATCATCCACATTGAAAGCCTCTGGGACCTGAGGAACTTGCGGCGGGCCGTGGTTGAGGGGGACAGTACCGGATGCTCCAAACCACAGTTTGGGGTCTTGGTTTGGTGTTCCTGTGGCACTCGAATTGGACAAAAAATCACAGGCAGGGTAACTTGCGGGAAATGGCTGGTTGACGGGAGGGAAGAGAACTTCATTTTGGGGATGATGTAACCCGTTTTGGCCGTGATTTAGTCGTTGCTTTAAAGAATGAAACACAGTGCCTTCTTGCTGCAAGTAGTGTGAAAGGTTGCCTGGTCCGTCTTGTAGTATATCATGAAGGTCTCCGATACCTGCGTCTACATGAAGATTAAAAGCATCTAGTTCGTCTACCCCATTCACAGAAGGGTTTGACATGGACGGGTTGACAGTTGGGTCTCTGATATTCGGTATAGAAGGGTATATGAGATTGGTTGAGTCCATCTGCTGAGTGCCGCCGCCACACGAAAGGCCATTTGGCTGGACTGGTAACCTCCCGGGTGTGTGATCATATCCATTGGTGAAAAGAGACGAATTTACTCCGTTCTGCGGTGGAAAGGGCGGATATGGAGCCGACAAACCATCATTTTGTTGGAAGTTTAACTCAGCAAGGACCGATGAGGGGTCTCCAGGATAATCACTCCATGCGGGCGGGGGCGGGCTATCTGGAATCACACCACCGTCTACCCGAGTAATGGTTTCCAAGTGACAAGCCCTTGCAGGAGGCTGACTATTCACGCCCATTAAGAATTGTTTGATAAGATTGATTTGATCGTGTGCACTGTGCTTTGATTTTGTGTGGACATGAGGTGTACTCCCATTCCTGCGCTCTGGTTTTGAGTTGAACACCATTCCTTCACGAGATAAAATGTTGGGTTTCTCCTCCACCGGTGATCTGGACTGATTCGCTGAGCTAAACATACACGACTCTGATGTACCTGGTGTGTGAACAAGTGACGGCGGCAAGAGTTCTTTCTTCTCTGCTGTGGACACGGGTGGACTGCCGTATTCAATAATCTCGATGTCTTTCGACTCTTGCAACGCCACATCCTCAGAAGAGCCAGCAAAGCCTGCAGAAACATTTTGTGACAGTTTAGATGAAACATTACAAATGGTTTGAACTCAGGTGAAGCCTGTGCAAAGCCGACCCCTTCACTCAAAAATGATTGGAAAGAAAGAAAAATCCTATAAGAAGGTGAAATATGATCGTCCTAGCGCGCGAACAAGCTGTCGGCTGAAGGGGCCCGGGGTTCGTTTTGTTCCCCACCGCTGTCCCCGACAGCTTACTGGCATGCTAAATCATTCTGGCTGAGTGTACTGTTTGGCTTTAATTGGACTGTTGTGGACAGTGGCTCACGCTTCGGTAACCTCTGCGGAAATCATCAAGTCAGATCCAAAGAAAAATCCGTATTTTGGAAAGCATCTTTCTCGCAAAACAAGAACTGATTACGCGAGCAAGACTTTGTGTACAAGACTTCGCGACTGGTAAGAATTTCTCTTTTAATCAGTGCCATGACAAAGAGTTTTGCGTTTTTTCTTGGGAAAGTTGATTTACCAAAGCAATAGAAAACATCTTCCCTGTATTTGCATAGCCTGATAAAAACACTAGACGGGTTGGGAGAATTCTCGACAGTTATACAAACCCGAGACGTGTTTTTTATCAGGCTATGCAAACACGGAAAACGATTTCTATTGCCTTTATAGTCCATTGGGGGAGTACCCCACCCCAGGGAGTCAATCCTTTTCCTAGGCAACAAACCTTGGGTAGTGATACTGGTACCATCGTTTGTGGCTAACGACGGCGGACGTGCAGAATCTGGACTGCTAGTCGGGCTGGATTTCTCCTCATCGCTCTTTGGTGATGGTAAGCCCTTTTGATTAGATTGCCATTCACGCAAGATTTCAAGTACAACTGATTGAAAGAAGGGGCCTTGCTCATCACTGAAAAATAAATAAAAAATTAATGGTCTGTCAGTGCATTTAAAAATTCCATTGCATCGAATACAATTAACTACAGCCCAGCCTTTCCAAAACGGCCATTTTTGGAGCAAGAGTAGTAAGTGGCTGTTGTTGAAAAGCAACAGTCAGAGAGATAGGTAAGCAGCGTGCAAAGAAAGTCGTGTCCAATAGCCCGGGGTTAGTGGATTTTGCTATCGGGCTAGTGATTTTTTTCCTTAACTTGCCCGACGGGCAAGTGCTGTTCTTTGGGGAAATTCAAATTGGATTGTGATCAATCCTGCTAATCAAAAAAGGTTTTGGGGCTAGTTGAAATGACTTGTGGGCTAGTACATGCTACATGTAGCTACAGCTTGCCCAAATGGCAGGCTGTAAAACTGACATTCTTTGCACCCTGGGTAAGGGACCTAGACCAGTCACCTTTGATTTCCATACCCTATCCAAGACTATACAGCTTAGAAAACAATGCCCTTTACAGCAGCACAAACACGAGAGTCTCCCACCACCTCCCTCCCCTCCAACCCACGCCTCCACAAAAGATTGGTAGTGATTGATCGACTTGCTTTGTGATGATCATTGCTGTCACGAGGGTTGGGAAACAGCTGAGATTTCATAATCGATCATCGGAAATAATAGGATGGACCCATCCAATCCATCATCAATTAATAATGGTAATAGGACTGAGTGGAGTCCAACTCGGTGCAATCATACTTATGATTAACAAAATCGGATGACCCGTAGCTGGAGTCTGGTTTGTTTAATCACGAGGATGGTTAAAGACCAAATTAGATGACACGAAGTTCTTTTACCAATTAATCATAACTATAACAAAATTTGTCATGAATTAAGCTAATTAAAAAATGATAAAAAATATTCCAAGAGTTTCTGCTAGCAGTGAAAAAAGAAGAACCCATTCAGGTGCATGTGTGCTGGTGTATACAGCTGTTTCGAGAAAGGTTGTCTGAAAGGCATTGTGGGTGGTTTTGAGTTCACTGTTCTTCAGAGAAATTTGAAAGAATTGGCACAAAAGGCCATGAAAATGTGTTTGCGAGCGTAAAGGAAAGCAACAAAAGTAGGTTTGACAGCTACAGTCGTCAGGAACAGTATATCAATCATATCCCATATTACCTTTCGGGATTGTCGCGTGCACATTGTTTCCGACAACCTTTCTCGAAATAGCTGTATTACTTAGGCATGATGCGTACTGCCCTATTACACTCAGTGTCCTATTAGTGCTGAAATCAGGACAGTTGATAGCCAATCAGATGTGAGAATTTTGTTATAGTTATGATTATAATGGAAAAACCTCTTTATGAGAATTCATTTTTATTCATCTTTGTGCAAGTCACAGTGCATGTAATACAAAGTTTTGACGTTTTTTGACTGTGGACCACTGAGTTCAGAATTTTTTCTGTGCTTTTGGGCGATCAAATTCAAATTCTCTTTCTTTGTTAATTGTGAGACCATTGAAAAGACAACACAATTTTGTTTCGATGATTGGCAAACCACTGTCACTGATTAGTCAGTCAGGGTGGAGGAACTCAACAAGGGATTATCAAATATCATGGGCAAAAGTTGAATTAACAATGACAACACCGATATAGCTGGCAGGAAAAGTAGCACCTCCAAGTAAACAAACTCAACTTACTTTAACAGGACATTATCAGTAGCAAGGAATTCAGGCTTCTCGTTTTTGTCATACACGATTCTAGCCTTTCCTCTGACCCACTGCCACACACCACGGCCATTCATGAGTCGAAATACTGTGTCACAATGCCCCTCAGCAGTAACTGGTTAGAAGAAAAAAAAGGCACAAAGAAGGTAAAATATGACTGATTAAAGTTTCATAGAATAGTGGCAAAATGCAAAGTAAGATAAGGTAACTTTATTTAAATGCATTAATTCCTTCAGGTACAGTTACATTCTAATATAAGTATGAAAATCTACCTAGCACACTTAACTAAAAACTTTGATAAAAACTAAAATACAGTCAAACCCTGTTAATATGAACAGATAGAGGGCCACAGAAAGTGTCCATATTAAACGGGTTAAATTTAGAGAAAATGTGAGAGCTTTCTTTTCCCAGGGACAAAGCAAACTGGCCATAATAGAGGCACTGCCAGGGTAAATTCCGACAAGCGACATGGCCCAAAAAGTAGCGACAGCGCAAAAAGGGGAAATTGCGACAAGAGACAACCTCCCTCCACCAAATTGTGACAGTCACGGCAAAGCTGACAATAAGCGACAAGCATTTATAAACGCTGACACGAGATGTTTTAAAATTCAGACGGGCGACTTGAGACCCCCCCCCCCCCTGGCAGGGCCTCGTAATAATGAGGTGTCTGTATCAAGTGGGTGTCCGTAAAGCAGGGTTTATGAAGATGATAAAGAAAAAAACCTGCTTCATAAGGAAGCCTCAAGCCGTGTGTAAAAGAAAATATTGCTTTTGAACTATTAAGAAATATCACTATCGAAATTAAGGTTGCCTTAAATTCATTAATGATTGTCAATTGTCTGACCTCCGAGGGCAAGCTGACACAGCACACCTATGCTATAACAAAGGCTTCTTTGATAAGACCCAGTGCAGGGTTGTGGTATAACAAGCTGGCATTCATTCTCTCTTAGGTTATAAGTAGTTAAATCACAATGACAAACAAATTGCAAACTTCCTAGGCAAAACGAGGTCGAATGGAATGTTTGTAGTAGGGCTGCAAGGTGCAGTGGTGTACTTCTCACCCTTAAGGCTGGATGTAGAGTGGACGTTGTTTTACAGAACAGAGTAATGAACTGCAGTAATCAGTCTGAGCAATGGGATTCAGAAATGTTAAAGAGTACCAGCCATGCGTACTAGGAGGTTAGTGCTACAAAATCACAGACCATACTAAACTGTTGTAGATGATCTTACCTAGGCTAAGTGTTTACAAGAAATTTCAAAAGACAGAAGTTTTTGATAGTGTCGAAAGGGCAGATTACTCAAGATAACCCTTTATGTCCCAGTAGTGTCCAAAATCAATTGTCTCCTAACGATAACCATAGATTGTCAAGAGCGAAGTCTACGAGAATTGATAAAATGATCTTAAAGAGAAAAATCTTTGATCTTTTATCAAATTCCCTCAACTCATTCTTTAAGGAAATGTATGGAGATCAGTTTGGAGAATTTGTAAGTGGATATCGGGGCTTAAAGGGATAAGGCATGTTGGAAATGTGCCATGAAAAAGCGGCTGAAACAAATTTATAACAATATTAGTTTTCCAGCCCAGGCTTCCGATTTTACGCTGAAAATATTCTCGTCAATGGCCTCAGATAAAGTGTATGACATTACACACCTAACAGGGTGTTCTCAAAACATTCTTGAAAACATGCAAATTTCTGCGTCAATAGTCTTACAAGACAATTCTAATAAAAAATGAAAAAAAAAAGAGTGCCAGGATTTACTGTCACTTCACCACCAAGAAGTCAACTCGATTTACTTTTTATCAGCTTTAACTTAGTAAGTTATTTCAGAGTTGTTTTGTTGGTGGGGATTTGGTTGGTAATGAGTCACCTTTGACTGGTGGTGAGGTGACCAGTCACCAAGTAGTGTATTTACCTCGTTGATGGCCAAGTATCATACATTGCACATCATCAGGATGCACGAAAAAATAGCCTGTGCGACTCAAGTTGTCCTTCTCATTCATGTACAAACACTTCTGCCCTCTGGTAACACAAAGGAGTAAACAACATTTAGAAAAGGCTCAAAGAAATGTCTGTGCCTTGATTGATGAGAACTAGTACATTATATTTCCGTAACAAATGTGCATGACCTGCAGTATCACAGAAGTCTGGGTTTCGAATCTCGACAAACTTGGATTTTTACAGGCTTTCGTTTTGCATCTGCATAAGTTGTGCATTTAACTACAATGGTCTTCTTTGCATTTATTTCTTCATTCTGCAATTCTGTTACATGAAATTCATATCTTTGTTACAAGTCAAAATTAAATTCAAGGTAAATTTTTTTGGACCTAGGTTGATCCTCAATTTCCTTTGTCTCCTAGCCCTAATTATTCATGAATACTAAGTTCAATGCACTGTGTATGTCATCAGTATGGACAAATGCAATTCATGAACGTTTTTAATTTGGTTAAATTATTCATGAATACTAAGTTCAGTGCATTGTCCACAAGTTAAGTATCCACATGCTTAGTCATCAGTATGGACAAATGCAATTCCAGCGGTCAATCCCATGAACATGGCTTTTTGTTCATCGAGAAAAAAGTAAGTGGTCTGTGGATTCATATATATATATTTGATATATAATGGGGGCTCATGGCTGGGTTGCGGATTTTTCATCTAGGGGCTGGGATTATTTGGTTGGTTAATTGAAAAAAGAACATTTATATATATAGATTTGCAGAGTTGGGTTATTTGTTTCATTTATTGCTACTCAGAGTTTCATGCTCCTTGTGGAGCAATCATCAGGCAACTGCTAAAAATAACGGATACATATGAAGATATACAAAATTTGAAAATACAGAACAATGCGTAGTGGCGTGACATGCAGAAATATGATTGGTTGCTAAGCAAATACGTTCTTCAAGAGGAATTTCTTAGAATGTCTACAATTAGATATCAGTTCGCTTCTGTTGTTCAGGGTTGACATTTCGGGTTTACAGATAAAAAAATATTTTTCCCATAAACACAAGTTACATCTCTTGCTTATACTAGAATATGATCGGGCCTGTTTTACCTTTCGCCATTTGATGTTGTACGGAATACCTTTATCTTTAAGACTCCAAATATATTTACTTAATTCAGTTGCATGCTTATACCAGTCGTTCTTAAATGAGCACACGTGGTTTCTGTATCTCAACTTAAAGGTTGTATCGCAAAGACCAATGTATGTCTCTCTTGAAGATGGTGTCGTGACTTCGGCTTGGTAGATCATGTTTTGATCGTTGCATTTACCGTCCATGGGGCGCGTGCTTGAGTTCCGGCAGTTACAATTGCTGTCATCGGTGGTGTCATTAACAGAAGTGAACTGATATCTAATTGTAGACATTCTAAGAAATTCCTCTTGAAGAACGTATTCGCTTAGCAACCAATCATATTTCTGCATGTCACGCCACTACGCATTGTTCTGTATTTTCAAATTTTAAATATCTTCATATGTATCCGTTATTTTTAGCAGTTGCCTGATGATTGCTCCACAAGGAGCATGAAACTCTGAGTAGCAATAAATGTCTTCGACCAAATAATCCAACTCTGCAAATCTACACATCGCTCTAGTTTACCTATTGAGCACTTTAATAGCACTTTTATTGAGCACTTTAATTCATTATATTACTAATATATATATAAACTTGTTACTCACACATTGTTTTGTAAGTAGTTTAAAACACTTCAAAAGTACTAGAGTTTCAGGCTTTCGAAAGTAAGCATTTAACCTCTGCATGAACCCTTCAATGCAGGGAAGATTTCCTCAACTTTCCTTTCATGTGCTATTAGAGGCTTAGAGAGTTAGTGGCTGGAGGTTACCTGTTGTCTAGCTTTTTGAGTCTCAGGTCCATACCAAGCTTGCAGCTGTACACCTGTAATAGTTCCTTAGGAGTGCTGGTAAATGGGTTGGCGGGGTTGACAGCAGTGCAGAGTGCAAAGAAACCATACTGTTTCATTTTGCCACTTAACAATGGTTTGAGCTTTCCATCAAATTTAAATGACTGCAAAGCAACAATAACATTGAGTGACACAGTCAGCGTCATCATCATAGACACATTAGGCCCTGGTTGTTCAAACCATGGATAGAACAATCTGCTGCATACATCACTATCCAGCAGATAAGTATTAGGAAAACCAATTGCCCCATCCACTGAATAAGGATTTAACTGGTGCATAGTGTTATTCACCTTTTAAACAATTGAGGCCAGGGGTGTGGCTACCAGTCCACCGATACAAGCATGCATACATGTGCCAAAGAGTGATGAATAAAAAAAACAAAGCAAAGAAGGGAAATAAGGAAAAAAGCACAAGAAGTAAACATAGGGGAAATGAGTAATTTCTGGAAAATTGCAATTGCCTGTGTAAATCCAATTTAACTAATTTTTTATCCGAATTGTTACTAAACTTTTTTGCTCTGAGTTTGGAATTTGTTGTTTCTACTATGTCTTTGCCACAACAAAAGAAAGACCCTTTCAGTAATCCAATTCAACTGGTTCAAATAATTTTCAAAAAACAACTGCAGGTATTTCCTCTCTCCTTCAACTCGCAGACACACAAATGCCTTAATTGCTGCTAGTAGACCACTGACAGCTTTCCACTGAAACAATCTGAGAGGTGGATACTTGTGCACACCAGACAACCTAAGCCAACATGAATGGATACTGAAATAATTAAAGTAACAAAACCTACCCTGTAGTAGAAGGGACTGACATGACTGGACTGTCTTCCAGCATGGCACCTGATACTGGCAAAGCAAACCTGGGGAATTGGTTGCTCTGCATAACAGAGAATAAAGTCAGTACTCTATTGCTATCTTAAGGAAACTTAATGCTTAGACTCCTGAAACGATTGTGGAAGGAGTCTCTGTCTTGCCTGGGGGAGCACTATCATACGTGCTACGTGGTAAATATGCACTTCCCAGGGCTCTCATTAAGTTTTAAAGTAGACAGGTAGGATGTAAAAGTGGGCAGCTTGGCAATCGAGTGTTGAAGGCAATTTGAGGTTTTCACTCACTCACTTTATACCCATTTTCCCTAAAAAGTAGATGGTTCAGACCCCAAAGTAGCCAGTTTTTAGCAGGTTGCTGGCTTTTAAAAAGAGAACCCTGACTACCAACAATAATATAATAAACAGGGCTTCTGATATTTCACGCGGTCGCGGAGCCGCGAAATTCAGGTAAATCCGTGAAATCCTACGAAATTCACAAAAACACGAAAAATACCGCGAAATTCGGTAGAAATCTTACCAAATACATGTCTGTACAAGATATTTGAAACTTATTTCAGCTATTGGGGCTATTTACTTGCCGTAAACTTGCAAATTTATCTTAGAACTTCATCACTGAAACGTGCTAACAACAACCTGAAACTACCAGGTGTAGATTATTTTGCAAAAAACTGGGCACTAGCCATGATGTTAAAGGCTTTGCCATTGGTTCATTTCTGGAGCGTATTGTTGTTGAAAGAGCAAATGCCCTGTTAGAAAAACATTTAAAACGATGGTCTGATCAGCGCAAAACCGATTGATTTCTAGCAAATTTTGCCTTGAAAATAACCTCAAAATCGGCCGTTTTTGACCAATTGCTTTTTGGTGAGGTTTGCCCCGAAAACTCCCCCGAAATTACCGCGAAATTGGCTAATTTTTCCGTGAATTTGTCCCCAAAAATCCTGCGAAATTTGACTTTTTCTTCCGCAACCTATCAGAAGCCATGAATAAATTTACGCCCACACAAGGTTCCAAAGAAATATTTTCAGCCACTCGACACAACAACACAAGCTGATATAAATGGTCTTGGCAATCATGCAAACTTTTCAGAATTTTCATAAAGTGAGAAATTCTCCCTGGCAAGCGAAGCATCCACGATGAATATGGGTCTATACAAATACTGATTTCATTTGTGTTATTTCTATTCCTCAGAACTGCAGAACATTAAAGCACAAGATGCATATTTAAAGAAGGAATTATTTAATAAAAACAACAGTATTGATATCAGTGAATAATTATTATTGAAAACAGCAGATACCTTCAAATTGTTCACAGTCCAAACCATTGCCATCTTCCAACTCTAAAATCCTCTAAAAAAGCGGGTGAGGGAGATTTCACTATTATTTTTCAAATAACAATCAGTTGAGTAATCTTCTTGAGACTTACTCACTTACTATTAATTTTTTTCAGTTCACATGTTCACTTAACATAGGCAAATAACTAATTTGTTGAATTTGAAACCAACATAATCACGTAAGGCTTGAGTTAAATATAACAAAAAGTCAGTATCAGATGCAACAGTTTTGACAGACATGCAGTGACTTACTGCTTTTGAAGCTCGGTGAAGACACCTTTCAAATCCTCTGACATCTTCATGATGCACAAAGTTGAGAAAGTTTTGGTGCATCAAAAATGTCTACAAAAAAAAAAAAAGTCAATAAATATTTTATCCTTCAAACATAATAAAACAAAACTCCTGCTTTTAACCATTTAAGATCAGCATCAAATTTCTCCGTGTAATATCAATGCTTTGTAAAACAGAGTGGTCATGAGAATTATGGACATGATCACACAAGATGAATTTGCTTGATATTTTATCAACTTCTCCCCACTACTTTTGTAGGAAATGAATAGGGGCAACAGATGAGAATTCAAATGTTGATCTTAGGGTCTAAGGGGTTAATATAAACTGTGATCAGCCAGTCTTTTTTCCGTTTTTGATTTGAAGGTGGGGGGAAAAGGGCACCTGATACATTTACCTTACGCGTCATCTGCCTGTGATCGAGAATATGGACTTTTGTCTGACTGGTCGAAAAACAAAAGAGCCTTTGGAGCCCCTCACAGATTGGTTACAAGCAACATATATTATCTGATTTCCGGAGCAATTAGATAGATTTGACCATTAAAGAATAATCCACTCGATGGACAGTGAAATATGCTTGGATGGAAGACAGTAAAATACAAAATTCAATTACCTGTGTGTATCCCAGGTACTTAAAGACATTCTCTGATGTATAGAAAACATCCCCACTATCTGAGAGCACCAAGAAAAAGGAATCCAAGGCCTGTTAATCAAAAAATTTGAGTTACTCACAGGGTTGTGAAAGGTTGTTTGAACCCAACAGATTCCTTTGTTTTGTGAAATGCTTGCAAAAGAAAAGCATTTATCTTACTTTGTTACATCACCACCACTGTCCAGTAGAAATAACAAAAGGAAAGCATTTATTTGTTAATGACAACTCTTAATTGTAAAGAAAAAGTGACATAAAACCACATCAATCATCTAAAATTCTCAGAGGACATTTTTTAAAAAAAAAATAAAATTTCTAAAATGACCATGACAATGTGATCTTTTACCACATCATAGTTTTATCTAGCCCTAAATAAAAGAAAAGCATGCATGATTGACCGCAACTAAGACTTTTTTTTTCACTCTATGACACAATCTTTTTCTTTCAAAAGCTGTGTAGCATTTTTATTATTTCTCTGTATTTTTGAAGGCTGTAAATATACTTGCTTGTTTCTAAATGCTTCATTTCTGACTTCTACAATATGGGCAGTAAATTTAAACTGCAATTTGTCCCAATAACAAAAAAATAATATTAAATCAAAACTAGAACTGATACTGTAAATAGAACCCCATTAAATGCTGGACACATGATAAATACCAGAATCAATAAATTAATTTTACTTGTATAGAATTCATTGAAGAAATATTGGTATTAAAAACAAAATGAGAAATCAAAAACAAACTCATTCAATCAATATTGACAGGCACGTAGCAATTCCCTGAGGGTTAGGATTAATTAATACAGCTTTGTATGTAGAGATAACTGTTTGCCAAAAATAACCAAAGGTACCACCCATTTTTATGCCCCTTTCATCTTAAACCCTACCACATATTTCTACAAGCACTCCCAAAACAAACAAGTTCTTTACATAACGATTTCACTAGTTGTTTCCGATCTTTAGGTATGCTGACAGTAAACATGGGACATAATTAAGCCAAACAAATATTGGTTTGAAATACAATCTCTCCTGAAAGCTAGATGTAAACACTATACATTTAGGGCAATAAAAACCCACTACAATTCCCCTTTCATACAGGCACTGAACATTACCTAAGAATGCCAATGAACGTTTCAAAATGACATTATTAGTTACTGCTGTATATCATGAATTTGTATTTAAAACATGTCATCTACTTGTATCTAGCTCTTGACCTTGGTAACCTTCTTGAAATGTGAACACCCAGAAACTTAGAAGTAGTATTACTAGTGATACTAAGCAACCTGAGCAGTATAACAAAGAACAACAATAAATATCTGCTATGGATGGATGAATCAGCAATTAAATCCCTCTTGATAAATGTTTACTTGACTCTAAACTTCAATTTTGGAACCCTTCCGTCCTGCTTTTTCATATGCAAATAATCACTAATTTAATTATCAGAACAATTCGACTTAACAGCTTGACATACTTCATGGCTGAAAGATTATCTCCTATCTCTGTGTTAATTAACTGACCATCAGCAACTTTCTTAAACTCCATTTAAACTTAAATTTTTTCAGGAAATGGTAATTAACACTTTTGTTAGGAACTGCTGATTTATACTGTCTCAAAGAATAATGCCAGTTGATACACTACACAACTTAAAACTGTTTTGAAACATTTCCTCACTTCAATGGTTTTGTGATACAGGCCAACAAATTGAAATGATGAACGTGACATGAATACTAATTTCTTGAACATCAGGTAGCTCTCAGAAAAGCTGTACCAAGAATGTTAAAAAAATTGCGTTCTGGCTAAAATTTAAAATCAATAAGAATTTGCCACAAGTTCTTTTCAATTATCCATTGTTACAGGGTTAAAAATAAGTTTCCTTTATTACCCTTGGCAGTATTCATGGCATATCAAGCAAATCCTGAAATTGATACATTTAATGAATCTAATGGAGTTAAGAACCCCAACTGATGGGAGGCGAGTCAGTTGGATATAATTATACAAGTGAGGTCAAGGACTTCCATCTAGAAGGACTGAGAAATGCTGAACACACTAGCCTTTTTTCAACAAGACAACCCAGACTTCTGCTACACACATGTTGATGAGTGAGTGGTTCTTACTAGTTACAAGCATTTTCTACCTCATCTCATACATCATGAACTGTCCCACTACACTTGGACCTGGGGGGAGGGTGGTACACACTGAAGTTTTATAAAGGGAGGCTCCACCCAAGTTCCAACCCCTTACCTTTTTATATCCCATTTTTGACAGAAAAAGTACCCTTCTAGAATACGTTCTAATGACAAATACAGTCAACTCTCGCCTTGCGGACACCCCGATAATAAGGACAGCAGCAAAATCCCTCGCAAAAGTAAATTGCAAACATTTGACTGAAATGAACTCCCGCTATTACAAACTCTGTGAATTTATTTTCACACAAAAAGTAAAGGAAAGGCAAAAAGGTTAGTTATATATAAAAAAGTAGATTTCTTACCTCTAAAGAAATATCACTGACATTGATGTGACAGGCTGCAAGTTTCTTGGTCATCTGAGCCACAGCAGTATCATCCACTCGTCTTTTCCTCCTCTTCCCTATTCAAACACAAAAAAATAACTTGATATACTTTTACAAAGACTAGGTCTGGACTGTTATTACTAAATCTTAGGTTGTTGATGGTGAATCAAGTTAATAACATGCCTTCCTGCTAAACATAAAATTTGTAGTATTCCAAGTGGTGCATTAATTTTATTTCTTTTCATAGCTCTCTTTTTGTTGTTCAGTAGAGATTCCCTTATCAAATGCTGAATGTTTACTTTAGATGTATTAGGCTTTTATGGCTGGTAAATTAAGGCTTAAATCTCAGAAGAACTAAACCAGTGTTTGCCTAAATTATGGTAACTTAGGTCCTGTCCATACCCTTCCCAAATGGCTAGTAAAAGAACTTATGCAGATGGCAGCAACTAAGATAGAAAATGTTTCTTTGCATATAATTAAAATTGTTTGCTTTTTGCAGAAGGAGCTTCCAGGAAACCACTAAATCTTAATTGACACAGCTGCAAAATTCAACAAATCTGAGCAAATACAAGCTTCAAAAGGATTATGAAATTCATAGCAGTGTTTATATAACCGCCCAAGTTTCATTGCATTTCCATTAAGACAAAATGTACAAACATTTTGGCTAACTAGTAGACTGTTGTATTATTCAACTTTGTAAAACCATGAGTATTTACATTGAGCTCTCTAGAAAAGACTACTTTTTTGTTTGTTTTGTTTTATTTTTTTCATCTCTTAATTTCCATTCAGAGGCCTTGTTGCTACAGAAAGTAAATAATTATTTTTCAAGGACATATTGTTTACTCCAACATTTTAGATTTGATGTATTCTTGACTGATTAATTGATAACTCAATTTAATTATTGAATGATTTTATGATCACTGTATGAGTCAGGGAAAACTAAATAGATATATATGAACTTTAGTATATAATATTACATATCTTTTTACATGAACAGCTGAATTATGGACTTCAAAACATCAATGAAGCCAATGTATTCGTTTATAATGTTGAAAAGAGGAACAAAAACATTCTTTGATAACTCAATTAATAAAAGTTTCTGTAGCAGATAAAAGAATACTTAGTTCTTATGTTCTTTATATAGCCTAAGAAAACTCAAGCCTTAAGCTTAAGAGTATGAAAATTATTACACACCAGTGTTGTAGGGAAAACCTGTTCTAAGGGACGGACCACATGAAAAGTTATGGGTGGTGGGGAATTTTCGAACGTGTGAATTTTTTTTATCATTTTCCTTGTATGAATTTTTTTTTAGACGATTGATCAAATTTTTTTAGGGTTACTGCATGAATTTTTTTCCATTTAATTTTCTGTTGCACAGATATTTTTTTTTTGTACATCGCCCGCTCCCCCAATAAGTTTTCTAGTGGTCCATCCCTAAGTTACCCTAGTTTAATTCAGAATTTAGTTTGTTTCCTGACTCTAATTATATTATTCTTCAGAAATGAAAAAATTCTGGATTAAACTGAGGATGGACTTTACCTTTAACAATACAGGGCATCTGATAGGATGCGGAAAAAAAAATTGAAAATGTTGTGTCAATTTAAGGCCATATTATGCAAAGAGTAGCACTGACAATAATTCTTTATTATAAAAGTGGTTACATTTATTGGGCCTCTAAAAATGTTTATATGGTATTTTATGTAATTATGTGGCTTATAAAGAACACTAGACAGCGGTAGAACGTTAATTGTCTCCTCTGAAACCATTTTTATTTCACAAACAGCCACCGTCTCCACAAGAACACACTTTTTTTCAGAACATCTCAATTCAATTCTTGATACTTGTTTTATACAATACTGGTTGACGCTCACACTCATGAATATCAATTGAAATACTTCAATACAGGCTTAACTAGCTGTAATATGTTAAACAACAGCATGAAGAGTTTTTAAAACAGCAAACGGTTAAAGTTGTTCTTTCATATGGTACAATGTTTTGTGCAGATTGCAATTTCCTTAAAATGCATGGTATCCAGGTCATGGCTCACTCTTATCTTCGTAGTGATGTTAACAGTCAAATGAGGATCCTTCTAAATATTCTTTCCTTTTATGACGTACTTATCCATGATATAAACGACAAGTGATGCTTTATATACATGTAAGCAAGGAAAACAAGAAAGGGCGTTCCAGTTTTCACACGAAAACAGTCAACATAAGCAGGCAATGTCCTCAATAATTATCGCTTGTGATGGGCAATTCTTGTGACGACTGCACATGCACAGGAGTCACTATTGCTATCAAAAAGGTTTTCTGAAAGTAACTAAGTAACAATAGAATATACTTCGGAGCCAATCAGCATACAAAGATAACCAATTTTCTGAATCATTCGTTGCGATGATGATAATCATAGTCATCGTCAGATTAGTCGATAATCATCGACGACAAACGAAACTCATGCTCTGTTTTGATAGCTTGTGAGACAAGTTACGCATATTCAAGTTTAAAAAAAAATGTTGATGTGTAACTGAATTAAAACACAGTGAAATACATCATTGCTGAAGAAGCGTATCTTCACTTCTCATCTTCAAAACCACAATATTTGTATAACAGATTTCTCTCCTCCAAATCAACTCCTGTGAAAATATTGTGTAATGAAATTTTGTAGTAGACTTTCAGTCACGTGCTAGGCAACGAAGTAGTTCATAGGATCAGGCTTCACCAAGGAAGTTCATATTTTAAAAGCAACTAGGCAAATGACAAGAAATTCGCAACACAGAAGGAAAGGAAACAAAATATTTTCCGAGTTTTTGTTCTTTAAACATTATATTTTAATGTTGTTTCTGTTATTACAATTTATCAACTTCCAGGCGCGATTAAGGTTCTGATGTTCATGTCAGTCATCTCTTAGGTATTGTGAGTCTTTACACACGCAGTGTCACGAAAGATAAAAAGTCTTAGGAAAATCTTCTTCAACCGAACCAGAAAAAACTGAATAGCGTGTCGGTTTTCTGCCAGACATTTATTTTACTATTTATAGTATTGAACCGTGAAAATATATAATCCAATACAAGGCTGCTTTTTTTTTTTGTTCAAAGTATATTTTTTTTCCAACATTGCCTTTAACGGCTTTATTTATAATGTTAACAAATACTGAAACAACCATGCTGTTGATTTCGGGCCATCCGAACTAGGTGCTCGTTTGATCGATGAAGAAAGTTGATGTCTAATTTATGTTTTGCAGAGAAAGGGGAGGTGCTCAGTGCATTGTAAAAACAACACGTTGGAGTGATGATCATTTCTATTGTCACACAAAAAAAGGGCATTGAACAACGTTGGAAAATCATTCTTCCTCGTTTGACAAAGTTGCACACATTCACATTGTAAATGCATTACCAATCACTGAGAAACGCTGCAATGCATTTTAAAGCATTCAACTGTGCTGAACGATGCATAATAAATTAATGTATGGGGCTGTACAAATATCCACATATTAAGACATGGCATATGTAACAACATTCTACCATTTTCATTTCGCTCTTCAGCAGTAGTCACATGCACTTCTCAAGTGCCTATGTTTTCAATTTTATACGGAAAATGATCCGAATAGTGGGAGATGCAGATCCGCATCACCGCATCCTGTCAGATGCCCTGACAATAGTACCGTATTTCTTTGAATAATAATTGGGGATGATGATGATGATTTGTTTTTTTTTTCACCAAAAGGGGGCAAATATTCGAGGGAGGCAATTACTTTAAATATTGCCCAATGAAAGTCGTGCCCTAAATATTTTGATTAATTATTCCATTAAATAAAAAATAATCACATCAAATAAAATGAGCATGGGCTAATTCAAGTGTTCCAAATTTGGTTCCTGTGCTTTTGTAGCTATTCAATCAGTTGTAAACAATTAAATGAAAACTTGTTTTGTCAATTTTTAACTTGACAGGGAAAAGAAAGAGAAGATGGTAAATGGGTGGGGGCAATTATTCAAGGGAGGAGCTTATTTTAAATATTTAGGTGAAAGGGGGCAATTATTTGAGGGAGGCAAGGGATGGCTCTTATTTAAGGAAATACAGTGAGGAATGTTCAAACCAGAACTGTTAACAGCTCAGTGACACTTACCAGACTGGAGATAATTTTGAGTTTGGAAAAAGCTCACAGATAACTTCAAAACTGTGAGCTTATCTAACTTTGATCTAGCTTCCTCTGGAAGAGGGAGAAGATCTCCAAGTTCTTCCAACGTAGCATTTATCTTTTCTCTGTGGCGGCGAGATGCGCTCTGAGGCGGTTTCGTCCTGTAAAAAGTTAATCAAAGAAATTTTAAAAAGGTCTAGTATCATGTAATTTTCCAAGTGTTTATATAATTATAATTAGGGTTGTCATTAAGAGCCAGGGATTGGGGATTTCCTCTGGCTATGAGGAAGTTGACTCCTGCTTCTTTTTTGGGAAAATACAAAAAAATAAAACCAAGGCTGTACACTACACTAGAACATTATGAAAATACCTTGCTGATCTACAAGTTTACATAGCATTTGAACAACACAAGAAAGGCACAATTCTATTTTTCTTTGTGTAAGAGAACCATATGTAACTGCTTTTTGGAAATTTGTACCAAATAACACTGTCAGACTCGAAAATGTCAGCCCAAAATTTCCAAGTGTTATTTCTATCATTTCCAAGAGTAACCAACAACAATTTCTCCGAATAATATCAATTCACCATCAAATGGTAATAGTTATGACAATCAAAAATACTAATCAAATGGTCACCAAAGAGACAGTACTTTAATCTTTTATCAAATATTCCCTCAACTAATTTGTAAAGGAAATGTGCTAAGATCAAACAGGGAATTTGACTCACCCTATGACAGTTTGTACCAAAATCACAGTCTGATATAATAGCTTAATACACAGCTTCAATAAACAAACTTCTTTCCACCCTCAATAAAAATTAATCATAGTAGAGTAAATATAATAATCTATTTGATATTTTTTCTGAAACTCATTTTTAATAATAAAATACAGAGGAAATTAATGTTTTGTGAAAAAAAAACCCTTATTTGCATCCTTAATTTCTCCTTTTAAAATCACTTTGTTTGAGTAAAGTAATATCAAACCTTTTTACACACTTTTTCATCAAAATATCAATCACCTTGAAGTTTGTCAAAAACAATCCCCTGTACTGCTCTCATGTTTGATATATTACACGCAGTATCTAAGATTAGTATCTATCACCTTTCAAACTCTGTTATGGTCATATGCTCTGAATTACCTCTCTTGTCTAATCCAAAAATAACAGTGCAGAAGAATTGAACTAAACGTACGGTTTGGGAGCCGGTAATTAATATTCCCTTAAATGTAACTTGTAAGTTACAGAAATACGGGCACTTGCTTCCTGACCCAAGCAAACAATAATTAAGATGGTCACATACAAAATTGTCAAAAAACAGACCAGTCAAACTAAAAATATTCTAGAAAAGAGAGTAAAACATCAATATCAGATAACAGATACAGTCCTTTGAAGCAAGGGTTACATGCACATCCATCAAGATTGTTCCTTGTCAAAATATAGACAAAGCAAATAAGGCCACAGAGGTAATTGAATGATCCATAAGCCAAGTCTGTGTTGCAAGTTTCTCCTGTCCATTGGGAGGCCAGCCAATAGATATCAAGATCAACAAGTTCATAAAGTTATCAAAATATAAACCACACAGATTAACAGGGCAAAGAATAGAAATTATCAAAACAACATAAATAATAGGAACTTTCCAGGCACATTAGGAGTGATCACTTTATTTAGCCATGTATAAAAACAGGTATTTCGGGTAATACCAGCTTGAAGGCAGAAATCAGATCACTGTGAAGATTTAACCCCTAAGTCACAAGAGTGACCAAGGGCAAATTTCTCCTGATAATATCATGACATAATCAAGATAACAGGTTTCATGCAAATTATTAAAATGAAATTCGGAGGGCTGGCAGTCCAATGGTCAGAAGGATGGTAGCTGAAATCTATGTGCAACTTCAATAAAGCCGACAGTTTCATCAAGGGCGTGGTATTATGCACATTTTGGAAAGACAGCCCTGGTCGTTTCTGATCTAGGTCTGTCCAACATCTCTTTCTCTTCAACCAGACCTTTGCCTTTTAAGTGTTGTTTTCTGTTGGTAACACAAATCATGTTGTACTAGCGCTGCTTGCTGCATTAATTTCCCACAATTGGATCACTGTCAAACTTACTCTTGGTTACACACGTGAACTTATCCCTCAAGTTAGTCTAAACTGAGTCAAATCATTTCCGGCAACTTTCAATAACAGGAGCATTAATTCCCACAGATATGAACAGCTTTCATTAGAATGGTGACATAACTATTGTGGTTACTGACCCAAATGTAAAATCCATAATTTCTATAGGACATGTGGTTCAGTCACATGTTCCACTTTTCTGCCTCACCAATACCTCTTTTTCCTAAAAACTAATCCCTCACCCTTTTATACAAATTTAAATCTCTTTTGTATCTTCTTACTGACCATTTGTTTGGTTCTCTGTCTAATGATTTTATTCCATTAATAGTCTAAACACTAAATGGGAGGAGACATGGAATACTGATAAAGTTGATTATTTTATCCTGTATATGATAATAGGAATGTCACTAATGGAAGCAGTAAATGCAAAAAACTGAGAGAATCATTTAAAGACCTGACACTTTTCTCCAGGATCTTTTCATGGCACAGCTGTATTTTTGGTCAGAAGAATTCTTGCTTTGCATAAATCTAATTAGAAACTTAATACATCCACATAGTTAGAAAGATTATCAGGGAATTGTTCCCAGATTTGAACACATCATGACCAAGGAACAGCTCAAATTTCAAACACACAAGCTTTCCACTACACTGATCATACATGTTTCAGAATCAAGCATCTTATTCGGTTACTTAAATGTACAGTGCAATGATCACTCATCAGTTATTTATGTGTCAACAACCTTTTCTATTCATCTGGTTGAATGCACCCAAAGGCTTTCAAGGCACTACAAACTTTGAGACATTAGAAGGGCTAAATGTGCATTGTTATTCTTTCAAACTAAGACGCTTTGCACCTCCCCAGTTTAAATGGAAAAATTTAAATCTGACACCTACTTTGTTGAGGACTATTTGTACATGCTATGAATCTCACAATCCAAATAAGTTTTAAGACCAAAAAATAATATTATTCTACTTAACTGAAACCTAACAGAATCACCTAAATGTACTCTATTGAACCAAATTACTTGAAATAAACGACAGGACAGGGGATGACCGAACGCCCAAACCCCAAATTAATCCTATTCATTGTAGCAGTGAATAACGATTAAAATGCTCAAAAGAAAAATAATTTTACAAAGAAGACAGAAAAGAGTCCAGTTTACACCCGAACATCCTAAAAAGCACATCACGAAAACTAGACGGAAAAAAGGAACAAAAACATTTCAGCTGACATCTATATTGATCAAACTTTTGCCGCCATGGAGGTGTTAATTCTTAGAGGAAACGTTAGTGTAAATGCGGTCACACGTACTACCTATGGAACCTTTCAAAAATGCTAGGAAAGATCAATGAAAATTCAGAAATGATAAAGTTAGTGTTATCATTAATTTTCTATGCCCATTTCCGCGAAAGCAAGACACAAATCGTGCGTGCAACAGATAACAGTCGTAAAACAAACCCACAGTCAGACACAAGTAAATTGGCTTTTTTACACCTAATTCTTTACCTTTTTCGCTAATACTTTTCACCGAAAGATTACAATATACAAGTTAGTCACCTTTTAACAAAGGGCATAATAGTTATACCTTGTCTATAAATTATACATAGTGAAATTCGTCTTCACAATGCACGCTACAGCTAAAAAAGTGAGGAGATCGCGCATTTCTACTCAATCACACAAAACAAATCACCAGAGCGTATTAAATATTTCACAGCTAAAAGAACTTCCACCATTCAACGTTTGCCCGACTAAAATACTAACAACTTTGTCAGCTGCCACAAATGACGGCAAGCCCCAGCAGCAAGTTCTCATATTCAGGAAAGTTCATATTCTCGGGCGGACATCTATAAATACACGTACGCAGGAAATATAGCAGGAGTTCGGTAGCGCGCAGCCGTTCCATTGAAAAGTTCCAAGGACTTTAGGAAGTGCTTGCTGGATTTAAACTGGTCTAGCACGACCTTAAACGCTTCTTGAATAATGAATACTATAATTGCGTGCTTGAGAAAGCAGTGTGAACTTAAATTACTGAAGTGACACCTTAACGTTATTTATAGTTTGAGGAAAACGGAATTAGCGCTTAAACTTACCTATCTTGCTCGTCGCTATGTTCATTTAAAAGCTTCCGCTTTCTGTCTTTGCCAGAAGCGTTAAAACCACCATTTGCTTTCATTTTTCTCGTACAGTACGCCTTCGAAAACTTATGGAACTAGCGCTACCACTCTCCGTAAACAAGCAACTTCGTTCATTCACTGACAGAATTCACCACGTCGCCATGTTTCCTAAGCGTGTCGAAAACAACAAAACGAAGTTCATAACCCGCCCTAAGTTGGCAAACACGAGAATCAAATCGCCCCCAAACAAAAATTATCAGCATAAGTCGTCTGTATTTACCTGAGAGACCCAAGATATTTTACCAAAAAGACTTCGACAGAGCGAACAACCTCGCGTCGAGTCGCGCCGGCCTTTGGAACTTACGAAACCCCACCGAGCTACAGCTTACCTCGAGTTGCCGAGTGCGTGATACCTGTGTATTGATAGCGCGGCCGTATAGACTGGGGCTGATAATTACTAAGACAATAGCGATATTGTTTATCAAATGTTGGAATTTTCTGGCTATAAAAAGATATAAGAGGCGTTATTAATTTCAAACAAAGTAACAAAAAGGGTGTGAATTGGGTTCAACGCGCAAAAAGAAGATAAACAACTGAACCTGAAACGTTTCTATTTTTGTTTTATTTTTCTTACTCACATTTCACGCTTTGGGTGTATGCCCCCGCCTCTGAACATTTATCCAAATTGAAACTTTCCCTCGACGACAATTGTAAATGCCTTTTTTGCTCATTATAAATTACCAATGTGTCAATAATTTTTAATTGATACTTGTATTTTATATTTTTAGATCCTTTTACACAATGTATCATTGTAATTTTTTGTATGTAAAAAATAATTATTCTGGCAGTTTGTAAATATTTCAAATTTTTCCTTTTAATATCATGGTTCTTTTGTATTTTTTCGACCGAATTTTTTTTTTTTTTTTTTTCATGAGAGTAACGAGTTCCGGTTTCTGTGAGTTGGGATCCTGTGCTCCTCGTGGTATGTGTCTATGTCTGTGTCTGTCTCTGGACTACTGCTGACAACCAGCGGTTTCGCCCCGTAGTGAGTCAGCAGTTAGCCCCCTCATTAGCACAGTTTTCTTATGGTGATGGTGATTATATGGTGGTTCCCCTCTCTTTAGACCGCGAAAAGTCTCTTATTTTTCTTTATAATCCCAGTCCCTTACTGTGACGTAACTAGCTCGAAAGCAACAGACGTTATTTTTTTTAGATCTATCAAAAGCATTTGACAGCGTGCACCACGAGCGTCCCGCGACACGGTATTGACAGCCCTTTGTTGCTATGGTCTAGAAACTTTCTAAAAAATAGACAACAGAGAGTCACAATACGCGTGAAACGTTCTCGAATTGGTCCCCAGTGACATCTGGTGTTCCCAAGGGAACAATCCTCAAGTCCACCTTGTTCTTAGTCTGCGTAAACGACATGCCAAATGTTGTTACTTCTTCTATTAAAATGTAAGCCTGTTTCAGGCTCCGAGATGGTTGGGTCCGCTGAGTTTAGAAAGCGCAAACACGAAATTTAATACTCAGAAATGCGAAGTGATGAAAATTTAAATATGCAAACATCCTAAACATCCTTATCACCTGTCAAATACAGAATTAAAATCAGTTAACTCATGCAAGAGGCCCTGCCAGGGTAAATTCCGACAAGCGACATGACCCAAAAAGTAGCGACGGAGCCTAAAATGAAATCGCGACAAGGGACAACCTCCCTCGGCCAAATTGCGACAGTGACGGCAAAGCCGAGAATATGCGACAAAGAACGGTGGTTTGGCTAATTTATCACCAGTCTGAATGCCAAGAAGAAGTAATTTTCGTCAATTTTCCTTGCGCTTCAGAGATTGTCTCTCATCAGGGAGTTTCAGTAGACCCTCCTGAGCGCGTCGCGTTGGCCCGTCTTCATTTACGCAACCCTGTACAACTCCTGGGGGACCTTGGAACTAGGTTGTCCGCCAAATAGTTTAATTTTACGCACGCTTTACATCTCTTGTACTCACTACTTTCATATAGACCATAATGCACCTTGTTTCCCCCTCAGAATTTTGCATAACCATTGTTTCCAAATTCTCCAGGACATTACAGTCGTCCCAAGAGAAATCGAAAACAATGGTTATGCAAAGTTTTGGGGGGTAAACAAGGTGCATTATGGTCTGTGTGAAAATGGTGAATACTTTGCTTGTTCCTGAACTTCTCACATCCTTGTCCACCTCTGTCGGACGGTGACGACGGTGGAGAGACTAGGGACCAGGGGCCCGTTTCTCGAAAGTCCCGATAATTAACGGGCCCGGTAAGCTGTCTCCGTTTGCATTAAAGATCGAGGTTTCAATAGTTTTGCATCCAACATGATAAAACTGTCAGTTAATGAAACAAAATGGAGTAGTTTGCTAGCCAGGACCCGCGCTCTTATTCTTTATATTTCGATTTGAATATTTGTTTTCGGGCCCGTAAAGTTACCGGGACTTTCGAGAAACGGGCCCCAGGTAACTTAACCACCGACCTTCCAACCACTCTCACAGAGTAGACCACCGTTAACCGGCCTTCACGTACGATTTATCAGGTCAGTTAGTCTTAAAATGTTGAACGTGGATCACTTAGGATGTGTTGACAGTGTTCCTTTAAGCGAATCCAAAAACAGATTTAAGATCCGAGATTTGCCGGATTTCGCGGTTGAAAGGAGCGTGAAATCCGAAATTGGATTTGTGACCTTGGTAACCTTTCGCAAACGCGTGCAATATGCATGACAGCCTGAGCCTCTCAAGAAATGACATGTTTTCTACTGTTTGACAAATTATGCGATTATACCGCGCAGAATTTTGTGGTCGGCAGTTCGAATAACGACGATATGGAACATAAACAGATCAAGAAAGGAGCGCGTTAGGGTTGAAAATTTACTGAAGGTTGTCGGCTCAGTTTGATCCAGTTTCGTAGCTCGGTTTTTTAAGAAACATGATCGAGTGCCTATCGCGTCCACAAGCGAGTTTGTAGAAAGATAGCAGTTATTTGTCCCTTTTACTTATTTGTGTTTTTAAGCAATCTTTAGCGACAAATGGTCAGCACATGGATATTTTGCTGTACCACTATAAACAATCTTCTAGTGTTTTCAGATGTTTTACGGCAAATGGCAGCAGTTAGAAAACTCTACGGGAATACTTCAACTGGAAATAAAGCTGGATCATCTGACTAATTTCGAATCCACTGTGAAAGAAACAGCGTAGATCACTAATCCGTTAATCTTGATTCGGATTCTTTGGCTAGATCAAAAATCCGAATTTGGATTTGCCGAAAGGAACGCGAAATCCGTTTTAAGATCGAAAATCCGTTTTTGGATTCACCGAAAGGAACACACCCTTAATTGTGAATGGCGATGTATAGGTGTTCTATACGCGAAAGGTTAACTGAGAAATTGCACAACTGTAATGGTGTCTTTACAACGCATCGCTATCCCCCTTTTCTAAAATTCCGACAAAGACAAGGAATTTTCGTTCAATTTCCGACAGCGACGTGAAGCATTAATAAACACCGACACGAGACGTTTTAAAATTCAGACGAGCGACATGGGAGACCCCCCTGGCAGGGCCTCAACCCTGGAAAATGCTGAAAACGAAACTTCTGAAAGATTTGTTGATGCTTCGCACTACCAAGTATTCCCGGCCCAAGGGCCCCTTGCCCACCCCACTCAAGGGGCAAAGCAGATAAGATTTGTGGGTAAAATTCAAAATGGCCGACAAAAAGCAAGTTGGAATTATTTTCCAACCAGCCCGTATTTTCGTACAATCACTTTTCTAGCTCCTAAGGCTCAATTCGATTTATTATTCGAATACCTCATGGAAGGGAAATTTGTTGTAAAAGAAGGCTGGGCTGTAAAGGAAAGTGGACAAGCAGTGCTTGGACAGACAAACTGGAGAAAGCGATGGTGTCAACTTGTAAGAGGTTCACAGGGAACATTCTGGTCTTACTACAGGTATCATAGACTACATAATAAGCTTTGCTGAAAACAAGTATTAATATTTAACGAATCTTGAAAGTTTACAGCAATTATCTCGAAGACAACGTTATTAATATTCATGTCAACGTGATAAACGCGTGAGAGAACCGGCTGCATGCGTGGCTCGGCCATCCTATTTAGTTGGCTAACAGTTAGCTTATCTTTAGCGGACTTTGGACCACTGGCGCTGCTCTCCTACTGTCTTTGTTGTTGTAAAGCTTTTGTTCCATTATTCATGGAGTTTGCATTGAAAATAATATTCATGCTGGCAGGTATTTTTATCAAACAGCTAGTTTTGAAATTTAAAAGCTTATTTTATACACTAAACAAATTTTGCCCCTGCAGGTTTTGCCCTCTGAGGAGGTCTGAGGAAGCACCCTCCACATATAGTGTTAATCACTCTAATTCAGGGACAGACCATTAGACAACTTTTGTAGGGGGAGGGAGTACAAAAAAACTACATTAGAACCCTGGTAACCCACACTCTGAAGGGAAATGAAGTTGGAGTTAGCAAGGGTTCAAGTTGATAGGGTCAATTGCAAAATTCAATCTGCCATATTAAAAATTTGTAGTTTCTGATTTTTCAGCACTTTGGGGTATAGTGAAGTGTAAATTTAACTTATTTTATCAGAAACGGCAGCATGATTTAATATAGGCATTTTTCATGAGGAAATGTGATCTGTTCGTCGGACCAATTAAAATCAAATAATTTGATGTAGTGTTGACCAGTGTTAGTTTAAGTGTTGTTACCGACTATACAAAAAGCTAATGGGATGGCATCCAAGTGGAGCAGAATTCGAGTTATAAGGTAAATTTCAGTGAATTTTTGACTAAGGGAAATGAAACTTAGTTCAAGTTAGTGGGGAATTTGAGTTAACCGAGTTTTCGAATTAACCATAAGGGAAATTAAAATAAGATGAAAAAAAAGTTCATGCTTGCATGCCAAGTAACCCTTAAAAAACATCATGCACTGGCCTAAAAATGCAAGACAGATGTTAACTTAAAAAAATTCATGTGGCTCAAAACTTCTTCTGCCCCAAAGTAGTTTTAGATAACATAAAAATGGTCTTACCGTCCACCTTGGAGACAGAGAACTTCTCATTCTAGAAAAAGGTTTTTTTTTAACTGAAAAGACTTTGCCAAGAATGATTTGCACACACTATGGATGCACAGATGATAACAAATGAATCATTCCCCTACTATCTGGTAGCAAATTCATAAAAGGTTTTCTCTTTTGGTTATGTTGTAAAACCACTAACTGGTAAATGTTTCTACTATTTTAGAAAAATGGATGATATTGCTCTTGACCAACCTGCTGGAAGAATAGAGTTGGATTCAACTTGTAAGAGTTTGTGGATATTAGGAATAAAAAACTAACAGTTTCAATCCTTGACATCTGAATACAGTTGGACCTCCCAGAAGTGACTACCCAAAACATTAAATTTAGTGGTCAGGCATGGGAGGTAGTTGCTTAAAACAGTCAAACCACACGGGATCTTTGAAACAGACCTTAAAACTCTATGGGACTATAGCAAATTCAACTTCGTCGTATAAGCATATAGGAACTTACACTATGAGCGATGTGATGGATTCAGCAAATGGCAAACTAGACCCATCCAAATATGGTGAATTAGGCTACCCTAAAAATCCTAAGAGGAAGGATTTTTATGAAATATTGCAACACTCGATTCAAATTTCGAAACAAAACAATATAGAGTATATCTTGGCATATGGTAGTCTCCTAGGAGCGATGCGAGATGGTGATGTCATTCCCTATGATTCAGACATCGATGTTCTCGTTGATCACAATTATTTTTCAATCCTTAAAAGGCTTTCAGTAAAGACATATACTTTTTGAAGGAGAATTTGCTGCATGCAATTTTTAACTTACAATATGTTAAGCTCCTGGTTGTCACTATTAAAAATGTTCTTTGTATACTCTGAGTAGCATGGTACATACAGGGAATATAGAATGTATCAGACCAGTGGTTGCTTACAAGAGGTTAAAAACATTATTGAATATTTTAAAGAAACGTTTCTCCAAAAAGTGGTTGTGGTTGCTTACAAGAGGTCTTAGGTTTTGAGAAGTTCAATTAAAATCCATGATAGTAATGTGACTGGGAAAATTTTGGTGTTTTGGATAGGTGGTTGCATTCTAGGGGTGGTTACACATGGAGGTTTGACTGTAGCCTGCGTAGGAGGCGCTAGGAAATGTAGCCGCTAGGACACGCACGCGTTTTTTCTTGCGCCCATTTATTTCCTAGCGCCTGCTACGCAGGCTAGTTCGACTGTAGCTTTGAATGAGCTCTGTTTTGATTTAAACAGGAAATTTATCTCTGTAGTGGCTGCCAACAGACATAATAATTATGGCTCTTGGGAGACAATTGATAATTGATAATTTATTGATAAATAAGTACACAAAGCACAAGTTAACGATAATAAGATGAACTTCCCAAGAATTTGTCCACAGATTACTGGAAAAACCATATTACATGTTTGCATTTATTAACTCTGGGAAGAAAAGGGTTAAACTCAAACAAGCAATAGAATAGTGAAGGGCTTGGAACTTTTTCTCGGCTGGTTTTGACATGATGACCTGACTTATTGAGTTGGTGGATACTATGGTCAAGATTTGTTTATGTTTGTCGCTTTTTTTTTGGTTTTCAGTTCTATCCCTTTTCCTCAGCCCTTGAAATACTTCAATTTTATTAGTGAGTTGAAAATCATTTTATCTGAAAAACAACAAGTCATTGTTTAAAGCTCAGTCTTTATTTTTTTCCAGATGCTGCACGTGAGCTTGAAGAAGGAGAGAGGAAAAAGAAGCCAAACTGCTTTGCTCTAGGACCAGTATTTGACAACTTTGCCAGGAGAACATACTACATTAGCTGTGGTGAGTTATTAACAAAATTAAACTATACTGTTCACCACCTATTGCCCAATAATTGTTAAGTGAATATAATATATTTCAGTGTAAGAATGTAGGGGTTTTTAAAAGGCAGGAAAATACAAGCATTTAAGTCATGAACTTGCAAGAACTTGAAACTTGCTATACAAGCATATCACCCCTAGTAAAAGTTTATTTTCAACAAAAAGTGGATTGTATTAACCCTTGTAAGTTACTAAATGACAAACATTTAAGGAAGGTGTTGTCAATGCTGTCATTTAAACCCATCAATAATAGATGGGTGTGGAGAAGGTGCCTGATGAAACAGAAGGGGGCTGCAAGTGATCCTAGAAGGTAACGATGACAACCCTGAGAGGGGCACCCACCAGGCACCGTCACACTGAGAACCTTAGTGGAAAAAGGTGCAGATACTTACCAAAAATAGCATCCAGAGAGGAGGGAGGGTTGGGGACAAAAAACAACTACAACTACTGCATGCAAAAGCAACATGAGCAAAATGATTGACTCCTGCGAAAGGGCTATAAAATCACTAGGGCCCTGCTAAACCCCAAGACTGCCGCACATTCAATTAGTGGTGGAGACCTGCTGGCCAACATTGTCTCGTGTTTAACCTCGCCTTAATTATATTTAAACACATTAAACTTAAACCTGTCATTGGCCCTTCTACTCTTGACTAGTAAGCTGGATTCTCAAGCCCTGAAGATGTCTCTGAGATTTCTCTTCTTTTTAACTAAAACCAGTGAGAATGGGGTCAGCTTCCTCTCTGTGTTGTATGTGTTTGGAGGCCAACTGTGACATAATTTTTAAGGAAAAACTAAGATTTCCTAGTAACCAACGGCAAAAGTAAAGTGCTTAGGTCATGAACTGCTGCTAGAGCACAGCCATGCCAAAAAGTAGGTTCTCCTCGTGCATCCTATTAAATATAGACACCTTAAAATTTCAAATTAGAGCTTCCTGATCTCTTTATTTCTATGAATTGTAATTTCTGGAAAATATTCTGTTAAACATAAAGCTACTGTAGTATTGGCTTAGCCTGACAGCATTATAATAGTATTTCAGCTGGCATATTGTCTATTTTCCAGAAACTATGGATGAGAAACTTAGCTGGATGGAAGTGTTAAATGCTTCAACAGAATCTCAAACAGGGAATCAAGATAAATTTGAAAGGGGGAGAAAAAGTGTCAGACAGAGGCTAAACAGAAGAGTGAGTATGTGACCTCCTTATAAACCATATTACAAGGGACCTTAAGCAAAAATGTTTTATTATGTCATAAACAACAAATAAATGTCCGAATGCAATCAGTTTAGTGAGCAAAACAACATCTTGGTATTGACATGAAGAGATCGAAGTTTGAATTGATTAAGTCTACTTCATTTCAAATGTCGGAACTTCCCTTGTGCCGAACCTAATGCATAAATGTCTGAATCAGCCATTGAATTTGTGTCATTTTAATCAACCTAAATACAAGGTATGAAGTTCAGTACATGAAAAAATCGATGTTTGAACTAGGCCTAAGACTATCTGTAAATTATCAACAAAAAGCAAGATATTCTGAGTGGAGTTATTTTCATTCAAATCCTAAGAACATTTTTATACCGTAAAAGCTCGTGTATAAGCCGCACCTTTTTGCCGAAATTTTGAGTCAAAAATCGCGGTTGCGGCTTATACACGAGACCATTGCTCTCAAAGGGAGTAAACTGGCTTGTAGGGGTCACAAATTGAACTGAAAACCTTCAGTAAATAAAGATTAAACATATTGAAACCTGTCGTTGATCATTGCTTTCAGTAGAAGTGGTGGCTCCTAAAGGAGCCGTTTGTTTGCATCTGCAGGTTCTATACCTGAATCTTGCTAGCCAGTAGTTCTTTTAAGCGTTTCATCTGCGCTTTGTTTGAACAGTTAAACTCTAACTGGCACGGAATCTCCATTCCTCCGCACAGCTGCTTACAGTGTCGTCTGCGACCAATCACCTCAACGCTGATTTCCCCACTACGTGCAAGAAAATACCACGTTATTCGAGAGAATTCGCGAGGCAAATGGCCGACCGTTTCGTCGTCCTTCACTACTTTCACGGCGTGTTTGTCCATTGGGTTGTTAAACTCTCGTTTAGCAACAAGCTTTTCCCCGATCGATGGTTTCCATACGTCTTTATAACATGATATCCACGCACAGCTGATGCGAAAGCGAACGTTTCCGCGTGGTTACTAAGCAATCGTTTTGTAGCATTCTCCAGCGCTTTATTTTCGTTCCATCGTTCCATTTTCATTTCAACTGTGGGCTTTAGCAATGAAGAGAACTGTTGTCTTTCCTCAAGTTTATTTGTGAACATTTTGATGCGCGAACAAACGATCACCTTTTTTACAAAAGCGCATTTTTGTTTTTTTGTTTTTTTTCAAAATCATGCTTGAAAGTTGGGGGTGCGGCTTATACACGAGTTTTTACGGTATATATATTGATATTCAATTGCTTAACATAAAATTTTCCTGTTGGGGCTGGAATCAGTGGTCTGCCATTTTGCCAGTCCACTGACCTCAACAAGTGTATAGTTGAATTTTTAATACTTATGGTCAAATGTTGATAAAATTTTTTGTTTTTTTGTATGCTATTCAGTCCAGAGGTGGAAACAAAAAGGAAGTTGATGAGCCACAGGAAAGCATATCGTTAGATCCCCTGCAAAGAATGAAAGTAAGTTCACATTACGTTGGCCTTGTTAAAATTAATTTCCTACACATTTTAAAGAATCAGCACACAGACCATTCCACATGGCAGTTAAAACCCACTAACAGAACTGGTTTATTGTCAAAAAAATAGATTTTTTCGGGACAAAGATAATAACTGTGCTTCTATTAGAATTTGAATCCATTACAAACTATGAGCCACATAGCTATGGAGAAAATACTTGTTTTATTAAGAATATTAATGAAAATGTAACAATATTATTTTCCAAATTAGTCTATTTAACAAAATTAGAGTCCTTTTTTTTTTTTCACTTTGTTTAGTAAATATTAATGAGTTTAAGATGCCACAATGGCGACGATGGCAAAAACATCACTCAAAATGTGACTGTGCATTCTATGAAACTTCAGTGGGATTATCCCAACTCCCTCACTTTGTCCAATGTAGGCAAACTTTCCTGGAGTTAATTCTTAAGAAAGCTATTCAAGTTTAAAGAGAGAAAGAGGAATTCGCTGTCATACGTTTTTCAATTCATGCCGTAGTCATGCAGTGACGGCCAAGAATAGTACAAAAAAGCGTGATGCACATGCAAGTTGTTGTTTTGCTTCCCTGAACCTATTACTTTTTTCACATTCTCATTTTCCTCGTCGTAGTGACATCTTAAACTCCCCATTGTTATAGATCACAGATGATGTCAAAATGTGATAAAAACAAACAAATGGGAAATGAGACTCGGGCTCAATGGTGTGCAGGATAACCCATACCCGGTCATACCCAAGAAAACCCACCTGGTTCGCTCATTTGGAACAGTGCTGGCCTGCCAAGTGGGTGGTCATGGGTTCAAACCCCAGCCAGACCACTAACCACGGTCATAAATTGGGCGATTCCAGAAAATATCCATACCATACCACGGACGGTTTTTAGGATTTCCGAAGGGGAGGGGGGGTTCACGATTATGGAATTCTGAGGGCATGGGGGGTATTTGCGATTGGAAATCCGAAGGCATGGCGGAATTCCACAGGTGGGATTTCTGGAGTAGAAAGTGTAGAGTGAGTTCCTTGAAAACGCTATTGTTGTGGACTTTGGTAGTTCGTAAATAAACCACGAACGTATGACCGCGGAAGCAGAAGACAAGCATCGATAGATCAGACACGTGTTTACGCTCATAAGTTATAGAAGTGAACAGTAAAACGTGGGTTTCACATTAACCTTGATGAATTTCTTGTCACATGAAAAAAAAAACGGAATATGTATCTTACTGCTTGCAAGTTTCTTGTTACTCCAGTCCGATGAACAGTAAAAAAAAATCGCACCAGTCCCTGGCTTCCAAGGAACGCCTGTCAGATTAGAACACTTTTCGTGCACACTACATGACGTATAAAAGGACGCAACACGCCTCGACGGTATGGGTGACCCGAAAACACTGACCCCGGGTCCATGGGCCCCCCTACGGACCGGGTCCATGGACTACCTTGCGGACCGGTCAGCGGACCCCCTCTACGGACCCCCTCTACGGACCCCCTTTAAAACGCATTAAAAAATAAAAATAAACATTTGACTTTTAAACATATTAAACTGACCGTGTGCATGTCGTGTCGGCGAAAATTGACGCTGACTTAGACTTCCATAAGAATAATACAGATCTGTAATATTTTGTAAATATTGCGAGGATCGGTCGAACTTCGTTCGTGTTGTTTGTGTCATTTGTGCCTCCGCCATTTTGCTCGGCCTAGTCTCCCGTTCGCAATCACGAACTCGACCCAGGCTTCACGAAAAACCACGCGACTTCTCTCCTGCGCCATGGCTGCACGGTAAGATTCTTGAATATTAATCACCTTTGTCCTTTTGTTTTTTTTGGCCATCTGCATTTATTTACACCTAGAACCGATTGCAAACATATATTTATTCCTTTTAGGAGAAAAGGCGGATGTTTTGAAATATCAAGTGATGAGGTGAGTTGATTTTAAACGATGCACTGGTTAGCCACAAATATCCGATTTTAAAATCAGTAAAATAGAGCAGCGAATTACCTACTTTCGGATTTTTTAATGTTTGATTTTAATTGTGATTACATGACAATTGTTTGTTGGAACGCGGGAGAATTATTCATTGTACATAGCATTTTTTTAACAAATTAAAATACAAAGGTAGTCAGCTGAATAAGCTTATATTGTATAAACAAAAGGATAAAGGTGATTAATATTCAAGAATCTTACCGTGCAGCCATGGCGCAGGAGAGAAGTCGCGTGGTTTTTCGTGAAGCCTGGGTCGAGTTCGTGATTGCGAACGTGGGAGACTAGGCCGAGCAAAATGGCGGAGGCACAAATGACACAAACAACACGAACGAAGTTCGACCGATCCTCGCAATATTTACAAAATATTACAGATCTGTATTAATTCTGCGGAAGTCTAAGTCAGCGTTCGAATTTTCGCCGACACGACATGCACACGGTCAGTTTAATATGTTTAAAAGTCAAATGTTTATTTTTATTTTTTAATGCGTTTTAAAGGGGGTCCGTAGAGGGGGTCCGCTGACCGGTCCGCAAGGTAGTCCATGGACCCGGTCCGTAGGGGGGTCCATGGACCCGGGGTCAGTGTTTTCGGGTCACCCCGACGGTATATTTGACCACTGAAAGATTTTAACGGTCTGAATTTGAGCTATTTTGCTTTGTAAACGTCAAAACAGCACAAGAAAACAAAGAGGAGTAAAATTGCCGTTAGTGGTGTTTATTTTTATTGCCAAATTCGGTAGGTTAGAGTCTGAAAGCTTGTCGCCTGGCACCGCTAGATCACAGCCTTGAGGAGGCATAAAGTCATGTTCGTTTGTTCATATAGGCGTTGCTAAGTTGAAAATGTACTTCCAAAAAAACGGAAATTCTGAAGGGGAGGGGGGGTTCACGATTATGGAATTCTGAGGGCATGGGGGGGTAACGCATTTTGGAATTTCCGAAGGCAAGGGGGGGATAAAACATGGAAGCCGTCCGTGGTTGGGTATGGATATTTTCTGGAATTGCCCATTTCTGGAAAGATCATTCTGGCTGTGATCGAAGGCCTGTGTCAGCTCAGATGATCCCATGACTGGCTGTTCAATGACATTAGTCTCTTTCATCCTTTCTTATCAATGACTGAATCATTTGAAGCAGATCCCACACTGCTGTTCAAAAAAAGAGTAGGGTACATAGACCCTGGATGTGTGACACCTAGCTCTCTCAGTCGGGAAGGGAACTGTTACAGGCCTGCATCAATTAGCTTCATTCTTTTGCAGATACCCTGCCAAGAATTGGCAGAGCTTTCTTTTAGCCCTGTAATAATTTAACAATTAATTTTGCTTTACTCTGTTAACCCATTCGCCCCTGAACTGCCCGTAACCGCCCGTGCGGATCCAGGTCCTTTCTACCCTTTGTGACGTCATCAGTTTTAACGGTCAAGGACAACTTTCTTCGCTAACTTGTGCAGAGTGAAGAGATCTTTCAAACCATACCAGAATGAGCACAATTCAGTCAAGGACACCGGAGAAAGAATCAAAAAACCACGTGACAAGGACCTGAAAATCTCCATGAAAATCTTGTTCCATTACCCACCTACCTTTCCTTTCACCTAATCCTAAGATCCTAAAAGCTTTCCTAAAAACTCTTCCCACCAAAATGAAGCCTACTAAATGCCCAGCAAGAGAAAAAAAAAATGAGGCAAGAAAAGCAAAAAAAGAAGGGAGGAGAGAAAGCGAAAAGTAAAAGTCAAGACTGCTGTGTCACTTTTAAACCCAAAAACTATGTCGAAATTTTGCTTTCTGCGCATGCCCGAACTTCGCAAGCTGATATTTTGCATCTGGATCAGAAGGCTGCCAAGTGTACGACCTGTAAACCGGTTTGTGGTAAGTTTTAGCTCTTTATAGCACTACAGTGACCAGAAAACCACTCGACTAGCTTCAAAACGCGTTTTTCGGCAAAATCTCCAGGAGCGAATGGGTTAATGTCTATTGTTGACGTGGTTTTTTTTTTGTAGTATTGTAAATGTAATTATTTAATGTGATTATCTATAAATACATTATAAATAAAAAAAAAAGAATTGGCAGAGCTAATAATTAATAGTTATTAGAATGTAGATAAAAGAGAATGCTCTCTCTTATTTTATGACATAAAGGAGATTTTGTCAAGTTCTGGCCACATAGACTTGTCTTTGTTTAATTGCAGCAGTGGGCAAAGCTTTGCCAAATCATCAATTGCCAAGAATGGAAGAAAGCCGACAGCAAGAATGGAGTAACAGTATCACGACTTAGCTTTGCACGCAATCAAAAGGCTGCTGTTAAGGTGATTACAGTCAAGCAGCAGCAGTTTAGTAACATTTTCACTGAAGAAGGCCATTTGTTTCATGGCCGTCTTTCAGAGCTCAAAAAATAATTAGAATTTCAGATTGTTTTTTGGGCAAGTAGTTCCCAAATGTTGCTTGCCCAGGGTCACTTCTTGCTCATCTAAGTTAATGATCTTCTTAGAGCATAACCTGCCTAGACCCTTGCTTATTGGGCAAGTAAGCTTTACAAATTACTTGCCCAGCAAGGAAATCTACTTGTACCGGACTACTGGATGGGAAGTGTTTTAATCCCTGATCTTGATAACCGTTGAAAAGGCTGGGTAATAGTGTCACATGTGCACTTGTTGTCTCAATGTTATTGACATTTTAAACTCAGATGTGACTCGCGCAAGCTGTAGAGCATGGCCAAAAAAAAATAGCAAAAGGCAAGATGGTAACAAAGCCTGGACCGTATGGTGGTGTTTCAAATTCTTGAATAAATTCAAATGTGATATGGAAAATTGTAATTTTGCGCTCACTATTTGCCACACTGGTATAAAATTTGTGTGGCATTATTTTTAACAATGCAAAAATTCTGCAGTGCTATTCTCTAGAATGAACCCTGCTTTGGAA